ATAAAAACTTGATTAAGCATTTTTCAAATTCAAATGAATATTTAATAATATTAATTTACGATTCATGAACATTTTTAATATGACAAAATGAAAAAAACTACGTTTGATTCAATTTAAATATCATTATATTAAAAGTCGTAATATGTATAATAATATTATTTTCCAAAAAGTATCTAATTAATAATATTATTATCCCAGATAAATAATTAAAAAATGTAAATATCTCTTTCGTTGGCTCCAGTTCAAGTGTGTTTTATATTTTATACTAAAATATATTTCGAATCCCAGAGTTTGAAACATTTTCTTTCTCAGAGAATTGTTGCAAATTGATGATATTCTAGCTCAAAAGCTAAACGAAAAATTGATGAAGAGAGCAACAGGATCCATTGATTAGTGGTGTTAGCTGGCTACAAAATGAATTTGCAATCATTTTTGGATTGCGAGCGATTGCCAACTCCGTTGACAGCGAATTGTTGGATGTTGCTGCTAATGAATACTGTTGAAATACAACGTTGAAAATCAGTTGCAAAAATATTTGCGTACACAACTCAGCGGCATAATGCGGTCAGCTGGACCGGATACGGCAAACGACAGTCCGACAAGATGGACACACGGACGGGGTCAGATGGCCGTAGTTGAACTGTAACAGTTACGGCCGCATTTGTTCGATGCTGACTAACGAACATGTGCACATAAACTTCCATTAGCAAGGCTTTCACTCTTCTGCGGAAAATCATTTGCACTTGTCCACTGCTACCATATGTATGGCCCAATATATATACATAAACATATATATCTATATATATACATATACATCATATCGCGTATGTTATCGTTGTGTTTGTTATTGTTTCTACCCGTGGCGTGTGTATGAAAATTAAAATGGTTGGCAATTGTCATTTCTGTTTTATTGTTGTTGTTGTTATTGTTGTTGCTGTTCATTGTGTTGTCAGCGCTGTTTTACTGCGGTCTCGGTTCTTGCTGCAGTTGCTGTTCTTTTTGTTGTTGTTGTTGTTGTTGCCCGATGCCACACGCAACTAACCGCATTTTGATTGCCATGCATTCGCCAGAATCGTGCTCCACGACAAATTGAATGCATTTTCCGTGCAGTGGATTCCAAAAAAAAAGAATGTCGCCAGGCATTGCATGTGTGGCATCAGGACTGCTGCTGCTGCAGCTGATGTTGCTGTTGTTGTTGTTGGCACACGCACGCAGTTCCTGGCAGTAGTCTTCAACTTCAAACTCAGCCATTGGCTTGTGCTCTGGCTGCTAATTCTTGCAGCTTATTCGATTTGCTGCCGCGCTTTGCACTTTTTCATATCACACACAAAAAAACAAAAAAAATCATGCTCAGCACTATTCAGTTCAATTAAAATCAAAGCCAGTAAGCATTTGTGAGGCTTATTGCAATTATGCTCATCAATTTGCAAAATTGTCAAAAGACGACGACAAAAAAAAAAAAATAAATAACATTTTGCAAATGAATTACGATGGCTTTTTGTGGTTTTTTGTTGTTTGTGTTGTCTGTACGTGATTTATGGCGTCTGGCCACCAACAAACACCTCCCACACCGATGAACGTTGGCCAGCTCATTACACATTACACATTACACATTTTTAGGCACTGACTGCATAAAATACCTAAATAATGCCATTTGCATAGGGTGCCCGCTTCTGGTCAAATATTTTGATAGCAGTGGACGTGCTGCGGGCCAGCATTGTGGTTGCACAATCAAAATATGTACATTCATTCGGGTTTGCGGTGCCACTTGCTTTGGCCTCAAAACATGAAAGCGTTTATATAATTTACTGTGAATTTATTTAGTGCTTAGCTGCCAAACCAATACCAATCACTGCCAATTGAAAATCACAATTATTCATGATGTCGCTTGGCTAACTCAATTGATTTCCATACCAAACTTCAATGAAGCGTGACTCGGACGTAATTACATTATTCTATATGCTACATCAAGCATACTTTTTTAGAATATCAAATATCGGATAGAAAATGCCGCTGGACATAGTCTTTTTTCCAGAGTGCAAATATCTTAAGGAAAACCCTGCAGGAAAGTTGATTATGTGAGCATAAAGACCTGAACTTGGCATGTTATTTATATTTGTAGGACTAAAAATCACTGCTTCATATAAATAAATATTAGAAGAAAATGTGAATCGAAATGTGGAGTATATTCATATCTATATATAGAACATTATTATAAGAGATTCCTTTAATAAGTAATGTATTTATTTCAGCATATCTTGCTTAAGCTGAATAGGAGAAAAAAAGTGTAAAATCTGCTCTGCTTTTTCATGCTTATGCTTTCCCGCTGGGTAGTCGAATAGGAAAGCCGGGCCACAGTTATAGTAGAGAACGTCACGATACGTTGAGGCTGGCAGAGAGCGCTGTTAAGTTCATTAGGACCACAGAATATAACATAATTATTCACTTACAATTTACGCCACGACGCCTTAGTTTCAGCTTGTTTACGTATATGGCGTATACGTAATTTTATTTAGATGCCTGTGAGTTTTACCTCTGAAAAGATTGAAGCACACGAATGAAGAGTGAAGAGTGCATTTTGACTTTAAGGATGACGCATTTGCAAAGTCAATAACAGTCTCAACAAAGTCAACAGACAGACTGCTAATGCCATTAAAAGACCTCAAACCACCCGGAAAATTCGCATAGAGCGAGTGAGAAGGCAAAGGGGCGGTGGGGCGGCAGTGATAAAGACAAAGAAACAAAAATGGTGAAATGGATGAAACGTTGGCTTGTTAAACCGCAGCTCATTGCTAGCAAAAATAAAACCAACATTGGCCCAGGACCCAGCACAGGCCCATAAATTCCAACATTTGCCAATAAGTTGAAAGGCTAAAGTTTTACATTGGTAACCGAAAAATATGCAAAGCAGTCATAATTTTACTTTGCAACGAAATATTTTTTGTATAAAATTGTTAGCAAACAAACTTTTTTATGCTTCAACTAATTTCAATCAGCTAACAAAAATGTGGTGTGCCTCGTCTCTAACTCCTCAATCCCAAACCGTGCCCCCGTGCCCCCGTTCCCCCGCCAGCCAAAAATTCACAAAAACACAGGACGCACAACTTTTGTCAATAATGCCGACGCCTTAAACCTAAAAACCCCAAACCAGACCAACAAGACCAACCAGAGTGCCAGTGTCAAGACAAAGGCACAAACACAAAGAGCACAAGCCAGAAATGATCCATGCACCTGTCGGGCTGCTCTGGCTACTTTCTGCTACCCCTGGCCAGCTGCTCCTGCTCCTGCTTCAGCTCCAGCTCCCAGCTCCTTGGTAGAGTTTATTAAGTTGGATGTCACCTTTTTCGGTGAACTTCTCTCCCAGCACATTGCAGCCCTCAGGCATTTTTTTCTCTTTTTTTTTTGTATTTTTGTATGTTTGCAACTTTGTCTGCTTGTTTTCGTTGTCACTTCATCAGCACGTTGCCTCCGCTCGAGGGTGTCGTCAAATTCTCACAAATATCCCTAAGACAGATGGTAACAAGTATTTCTGAATGCCAACAACTTAGTATATGCGAAATGTGAATGCGAATGTGAAAACGGGATCATTTCAAGTTTTGTGTCACCTTTGCATATTTTGTTTGTTTCTTTTTTTTTTGTATTTTGGTCGTTTTGCATAATTGTCAATTGCCATCAATAAAGTGTTTATTAAAAAGTTTTCCCGTCCAAATTCATTGTTCATTTCACGTGTGTTGCCTAGTCCAATTTCAGTGTCTGCCTGTCTGCCAGTCTGCATATGTAAATGTGTTTGTAATGCTCAATCTTTTGAAACTTGTGCCAGTCTCTGTGCTAACTCATTAATTAACTTTGCCGCCATTGTTTGCGAATGCTATTTATTCTTGGCTTATCACTTGGCCCAAAGTGTCCGTTGTGCCAAAAAGAGAAAATGCTTTCCCTGGCTCTGGCCCAATAACGAAAACAATAACAAGTGCGGGGGCCGCTGCTTCGAAATCCCAAAGTTTTAATGAGCAGAGAGTGTGTCTGTCTTACCTACAGGTAAGTAGGCTCACCTTCTAATTAACATTTAACGAAAATTCATTTAACTTTTCACATGCCCATATAACATTGAGAAATGGTGTTCTCATTACTAGATGGCTCATCAACTGCTAAACTTATGTATACACAAATAGATTAGCGCATTGATAAGCAACCCGGATCAATGAGAAAGTAAATAGTATCTAATTATCTGTTCATTAAAGTATTCAGTAATTTATTAAGTTCAAAAATAGTAAGCGCCACCTGTGTGCCCGTTTTGGTAGCTTAAGCAATGAACTTAGCCTTTGCCCAAAAGCGCTTTTATCCAGTTTTCTCTGCTTACCCTTAAATTATATATTCTTGCCTTGTGATTATCAATATTGTCTCAGACTGATTCAAAAATAGTGCACCTCAAATAGCAATAAAGTAAAAAAAACTCAAGTCATTCTGAAAAATAAATAGCTTTAATTACTACGACAAAATTTGGTACTAAAAAATGGCAATCATTGTACTTAAAAGCTTTTGCCATAGCTTTCAAAAGTCCCAAAGCTTTGAAAAAAGATCCCTGCGCAAAATCTTCGATACCAAAGCTTTAAGCGGCAGTACTTTTAGCACGGCAATGAATGGGACTTTTATCGGGCAGGCATGTACAACACTTCGAGCGTTGCACAAAGTTAATTTTCTCATACAATTAATAATTTAGTGCATGATTATAAAACAGAACATAAGACAATTGTGAAATTATTAATTGACTACAATAACAAATAATCTTTTATAATTAAGCCCAAATATCGAATGTGCAAACAAGGTGGCAACGCCGTCACTACTAAGCATGTGTGTTATGTGCAAGGCCTGACATGTGTTTGTGATTATGTATGTGTGGGTGGGTGAGCGAACCAACGAATGAGAGAGAGAGTGAGAGAGGGAGAGTTTTTGCTTGAATTGCTCTCTTGGCACGCATTTGACTTTACTTACAATTGAATTTCAGTGCGTTCTCGAACAGCCTTTCAAAACGTTGTGCTATCAGCCGAAGCGGATGGCAGACAACAAATCAAGCTAAAGAGAAGTGAAGAAAACAGAGAAGGAGAACAGCAAGGAAAACAGTGACAAACTAAAAATGTTAGCATACTTTTTCGAGTTGTTGCTTACCGATTAACAGATTTAGTTTAACATTTGCAAATTGGCCATAAAAAACTAAATAAAACAAGCTTGCAAAAATGTGACCCAATTTGACATGTGTGATTGAAAGAAAGAAAAAAACAAAAAAAAAAGAAAATAAACGCCATAAATGCATTATTTGCATTCTCGTGTTTAAATACAAATATTTTGCGACACACAAGAAATAAAAATAACAATTAAAATGTGTTATTTTCACGTGCTGTGTGCTGTACGTGAATTGCTCAACTTTGTGCATTTGTCGCATTTCAACAATTAAAAAAAAAAACATAAATACCCCAACTTTACGTGTGTGTGTGTTTGTGTGTGTGTATATGTTTGTGTGTGTGTGTTTGCGTGTGTGTGCGAGTCGAGCAGCACCCCCAAAGTTTCCTTTGCCTGGCTGCTCTTTTAACCAACCAGCTAGCAGCACAGCTGATTGTCAACGGTACTCCGATTGAGAGCCAGCTTGTTTGGTTTAAGAGTCACAGAGAGAGAGATAGAGAGAGAGAGAGAGAGAGCGACGAACACCATCCTGCACTAGCCTGCACCACCCCGCATACAGTGAGTTTCGCCCGCTGACTAACGTAACGGGTTTCGAGACACGCACGCCACACGACCAAGTACAAAGTACACGTAATATAGCCATAATCAAAGGTAGCCCTCGCCAAAGCCGTAGCCATAACCATAGCCATAGCCATCGCCGTCGCCATAGCCCAGGTCAACAGCTCGAAGCTCTCGGATTGGCACGCACGTGTGTCTGTGTGCCTGTTTCTGAGTCTGTGTGCGTGTGTGTTTTAGTGTGCGTGTGTGTGTGTGTGTGTTTGTCTGTGGTAAGTGCATAAATTGTATCATCTCTTGATGGTACTTTGCAAGTTTTACAGGCCAGCGAATGAGCTCAAATGAAATATTTATGCCTTTGGGGTAGCGTATCTCTGAACCACAACTCTCGTCACAGCTTCTCAAAAGACACTGCACTTGGCATAATATATATAAATTCGATTCTAGAATTCAGAAACTTGAAAAACACACATTTTTGATTTTACCAATCGAACTCAACTTTAAAACAGATTAAAAGACATAACATGATTTTGACTTGAGAAATAATACTTATCTAAACTCTTATTCTTTATGAACAATACCAAAAATAAAGTCAGTTCTAGAATTTAGAATTTTTGATTTTAGAAAAATTTTAAGCACTTGTTCTTAATAATCCCAAAAATATTGTGGTTCATTCAACTTCAACACATTTGATATCAATCTAAGATTAAGGATTTGGATTTTGGATTTTAGAAATAACTTAAACCACTGTTCCAACGTAGTTAATTCATCATCTCAAATCAATCTATTACTGACGTGCAGACATCTGCTAAGTAGAAATAAAAAACCTTATTTCAAAGCATTCAAACTGCCTTAAGTGCCACAATTCTTCCACTTTTTAAACATTCCAGGCTAATATAAAATGTGATTAAATGCCTTGTTATATCTGCTTTAAGCCCGGTTGTCATGTCTTATTGAATAGATAACAATTATGGTTACTGGGTAACCATTGTTATATGTACATACATATACAGTTTGTCGAAGTTCAATTCTCTGAATTTGAAAAATCATATTGCCATTGCATAAACATTCACATTTGTTCATTCATATTTACATTTAATAGCGGCTTGTGTTCAGCATACACCTGTTTTCCCCATAAATGCTTTTGTACACAGGCACTCAAATAGATTGAGGGGATCTGCTTTCATGCTCAATACGAATATGCGCCAGTGTGTGGGTGTGTGTGAGTGTGTGTGTGTGTGTGTGTGAGGGTAGTGAAAGTGGTGTGCCCATACGGCAACCTCATACATATCAACCAACACCTCTTAGCCATACACCACTATGCAAACATGCGAGCATGGACACACACATATGTATATTTATGTATTTATGTCGGCACTTGTGCTGATGTTGCTCTTGTTATTGATGTTGTTATTGTTGTTGTTGTATTATTCATTCAACCCAACCAGCTGCAGCCACACTCCAAGCAGAGCACTTTAAGTGCCGTGCTGTGCTGTGCGTCGTATGCTTTCAGTCATTTGTAATACTTTTAACATTTTCCGGTTGCATATTTATATTTCGTTTTAATTGAAAACATATGCACATATTTATGAATACATATCGATATATTTCTAAAAATACACGTTCATAATTTTAAACATTTATTATATTTGCTTGGCCAGATTGTGTCAAGTTTTGATTGAAACCTTAGAGCACATACAGATTACATAATCCATATATAACACACCCAACATACATACATATATGTAACAGAACATAACAACTGACAATAGATAGATAAAACATGCAACTTATCGCATGGCATGCAGGATGTCATGTACTTAAGCACACACACAATACACACAACACACACACAACACACATACTATGTGATATGCTTATGTGTCTTGTTAACTGGGTCGAGCCATAAATTGCAAGTCGACATTCGCAACAAATTAATATCTCAGCCAATCGGCTGCCAATGCACAGGATTAGTTTGAAAATTCAATAATTGCAAATGGCAAAGGATTTGACGACAATCAGATTTGTTGTAACTGTTGCCATGGCAATCAAAAAGCACATAATAACTGCCAGGTGTGAAAGTCTGAAGTGTCTCTGCCCCACCTGTGAGATGCCCTGTAACACTTAAATATCCATTATCATAATCATAACTATTTTAGCACCCATTTCTTTGTCTATTTTATGTCTGTTACACACATTTGTACAAGCTCATTATACTCTTTCGCATATGTTATGTGTACAGGGTATACAAATGGATACCCTTTGAGCATTCAAATTATTGTACTTTTATGATAATCATATTTTGTGTGCTGGTCCCAAAAGTAAGCATTATGATAATATTTGCTTGACTTGCAGGCAACTTTGGTAAACAAGAAAATATGAAGCTCTCGGACACAATGGCGACGCCGATTGAGGAGAAACTCGATCAAAATTTAAAGGTACGCCAAAAAGCACTTCAAGACTCATTTCAATGCACATTAATCATCCCTTTCGCCCCACCCTCAACTCAAATAAACCCGAAAAATATAACAACGCAACAGGTGCGCTCGGGCATGGTTCATGTCAGCGATGGCAAATGTAGACCAGAACCACTCCGACTTAGCCTAACAATGGAATTGTTGACCTTGCAAAAGTTGGAAATTGTTACGCCAACAAGCTCCCAGCTAAATGGACCACCAATGGAATCCAAGGTATGCTAATAAACTGCGTTGTATGCGTTAATTAAGATGAAGAAGTTGAATACTCGAGCCAGAAACACTTGCGTATTTCAGGAGCGTATGGTGCAAATAACGAGACAGAAACAGGGTGGATTGGGTCTGAGCATAAAGGGTGGCGCAGAACACAAATTGCCCATATTAATATCGCGCATCTACAAGGATCAGGCGGCCGACATCACAGGTCAACTGTTTGTGGGGGATGCGATTATAAAAGTGAACGGTGAATATATAACCGCATGCCCCCACGATGATGCTGTCAACATTCTGCGCAATGCCGGCGACATTGTTGTACTCACTGTGAAGCACTATCGCGCCGCAACACCGTTCCTGCAAAAGCAATGTGAGCAGCGCCCCACAAATGACAACGTGACAGACACAACATTCACATCCAACAAGACAAGACATGACACGACATGACTAACGAATTTTATTAAAACCAATCACTCATTCGTTGTTTTGGTTCCATTTTTAGTAACAAAAGATACTCCTGACTCGGACAACGATGTCACTTGTGCCGAGCTCAAGGCAGATGAAGGATACAAGTCCTCGGTTAATAGCGGCACCATAAGTCGCAGCTGCAGTCGACCAATGTCAATTTGCTCGGAGCCAGAGAAACGCTGGGCCGACGTTGTGGCAGGTATATATATATATATCTCTCATCTCAAGTGTCGCAGCTTAGTTATTTTTGACATTTGTAGTGCCGCTAATGATGGCCTACGTTACACGCTACATTTACGGCACGGACAAGTTGCGTCCGAATGCATTCGAGGTGCGTGGCTTGAATGGCCTCAGCACCGGGGTCATACACTGTGATGAGCTGGCGATACTCAGTCAGTGGCTCAAACTGATTACCGATAATGTTGTGGGTCTCACACATCTGCAGGTTGGCATCCACCCAATATAATATTAACTAACTTTACAGCTGCGTAAGACCATATTGAATATATATTATTTACTTTGCTTAACTTTATTAACAGATGAAACTGTACAATCGCAATTTCGCTGTGGGCGAACGCATCGAGTATATGGGCTGGGTGAACGAGGGTGTTATCAACAACAACATATCCTGGCAGAGCTATAAGCCCAGATTTTTACTACTCAAAGGCACCGAAGTGATGCTCTTTGAAACGCCACCCGTAAGTTGCAAATTCAATAACCATTTTTTGGGAAACTGTGAACGGTTTTCTAAAGTAAAAAAAAGCATTATTAACTTAGATTTGTTCCTCAAAGGCTTATATCAAATTTGAGACTTACAGCATTATATGTTAAACAATATTAAATTGACACCCCTATTTTGTGGCACGTATGTAATTGGACATAAAAGAATTTGCAGCAGTGTCTGTGTGTTCATTTTGCCTGAAGTTGTTCAAAGCAACTGCAGTTGCTATGCTGCGCTAATTTTATGTGTCAAGATTTAACCCCACATGAGTTAGATACGACCCACAACCAACCCCAACACACACCCAACACACACACAGACTCATGCATACACACTCACAAATACATGTGCAAAAAATATAAAAATTGTACTTTTTGCTCTAATGAGCAGTCTTTGCATAGCAAATGGAACTTGGCTACAATGTTGGCCAACGGGCTTATGAGTTGATTCTGCATAGATGCACTGCACCACTGCACCACTCCACTCCACTCCACTTAACCTCTCCTCTTAACCCACCTGTCAGTGAATAGTTGTTGCGACGCGCTTTGATATTATGAAGTGGTCCTTGATATACTTGACAATTGGATGTGTTTTTGTTAATCTTATATAAAATCCGACTCGATTGCGAATTGTGGAAATCGTTAATCTCATTGCAGCTAAATGTGGCTGGCATTAGCAAGGCCTTGGTGGTATATAAGGTATACCAGACCATGTTTCGCATTGTGAAGGAATCGGAGACGGTGGACAGTCGACAGCATTGCTTCTTGTTGCAGAGTTCTGGACACGAGCCTCGATATTTGAGCGTGGAGACCCGACAGGAGTTGCTGCGCATTGAGAACAGTTGGAATGCGGCCATAGTAACCAGTGTTATTAAATTGGGCGTAAGTATGCCACACACACACACACATTAATACACACACACACACACACACATACAAATACATAGTTTTTGTATCTGTGTGAATTGCTTTCCGAATTTCGCATGTTTGTTTGTAATTAGTCGCACGACTGGTCGCAATGCAAACGACGAGTATCGTGATTGCCAATTGCTTGTTAATTTATAAGCAAATACAGCCCACTCCCCCAGCCAGCCTTGAATCGAAAGGTCATGGCTGCTGACCTAACTACGAAATCGATATGCCGTACTTTGAAAGCCACAATTGAAGTATTCTACATTTTTGGCTTGCAGACAAAGATATGAATTTGCAACAAGTTGTTTTCACACCTTGACTTCGAGTTGTTTTATTTATGATTTATGTAAATATTAGAGAAGTGCATTGACTTTTCATTTGACAAGTAGATCCTACGCAAAGATAATTGATGCCTCTTAAATATTTTCCTAAGAATCCCTAGGTAGATAATGATAAAGCAGCCACATAGATATATATCAATGTCTCCCCATCTGCCCAAATTTGAAAGGTTTGTAAACTGACCACATGGGTCATAAAAAAATTGAACACCAAAGAAGACCTTTCACTGAACTCTTATCACCAATCAAGTCGCATATTATTTTGAGAAATTCGCATTAAACACAAACTCTCAAACAAAGTTTTGGTATCCGTGCTGAGACACTGCCCAAAAGTGTGTAACTTTTGTTTACACACACAAACACATATACAAGTTGTATATAGTAGATATATAAATATATATATATATATATTTTTATATGTATACACAGTGCTGGTGAGCTGTTTAAAAGTCACAGCCAAGCCAATGACCGACATAAATGGCGCACAAAGAGGAATTTTGCCCATGCCACGAATCGATTCGAATTTGGTGTGCAATTTGGAACATTTAGTCGAGCATGCACAGACACAAAGAGATTATTGAACTTTTGTGTCAGCTATAGTAGTAGATGGTAGATATATGGCCGAAGTTGCAGTTGTGTCAGCTATTAGAGATATCGCGTATACGTAATAAATATTAAAAGTCGATTTCAATCAATGTTGTCTGCCCCTCATAAGTGTCTAGTGTTAATAAATAAGTTCAGTTACACATGCAACCCAAGTTTATATACATCTATCTATATTTATATCTATCTAACTGACAACATAGCGCAAGACCTTTGCCGTTTCGCATCAAGGCAAGAGTGGCGGACTGACACTTGATTGGCAGGCGGGTTTCTCACTGACAGAGGGAGCCGATGCCACAATGGTATGGCAGTATAAGTTCTCACAGCTGCGCGGTTCCAGCGATGATGGCAAATCCAAGTTGAAACTACACTTTCAGGACAGCGAGACGCGGGCCATCGAGACAAAGGCAAGTTGTAGTTATATTTTTAGAAAATGTAATTACATTTAACCCTATTCAAAGTTAATTTTAAATGAGCTGAACGAACATATATGTATATATATATTAATCATGTGCATCTCTTTCATGTCGTCATCACATCAAATAGGAATTGGAATGCCAAGTCCTGCAGAGTTTACTTTTTTGCATGCATGCGTTTCTCACCGCCAAGGTTGCTTCCGTGGATCCAGCATTCTTGAGTTCAATACAGCAGACCTAAGCTTGGCTAGCGAACGCATACTGAGAATCAAAAATTTTATAGGCTAAGTGAACTAATAGTTGTATTTCAAAAATACGCAACAATTACATAAGTAATTTACAAGCTATAATAATTAAGCAAGTTACATATACAACATTATTACATTATATAAGTACAATGCGAATGTATGTAAGTAAATGGAATTAGTTAAATTTGAATAGCTTAAAATACGGAGTTAGATTTGATATACTTATATACTACTTATTAAATGTATACATCAACTTGCATACACACATAAATAATATTATATGCATATATATATATATATATGAAATGTCGAACGAAACTGAATGATAAACTTAAAGTGAAATCTCTTGGTGCAACACATGTAAATTTAAGCGTGCTCTAGGCTTCTTTTCCTATATAATCAGATCAAGTTGTCGATATAATTGAGCGTACTATCTACATACATATACATATATATGTATTGAGCAATTAGACAATTACACTTGGATACGTATGTATTTATTTTATCAAAAACTTAGGCATTATGCAATTACTAATCACAAAACGAAAGCTACTACGTCATCTGACATCGAGTAAATTCGAAATGGGCAAAAGCCCATCATAATTGTCAACTACAACATTATAAATGAATGTAAACGATGTGCATTATAGTGAAAATTTAATTTTCAATTTTAATGAAGATGCTATTGTTAAAACTAGGTATTTATTCGAATGAATGTTGCGCTTTTTAAATTCAATTCTTTTATTTATTTACTATCTAAGCATGTCAGACAAACAAGTTTCAGTTTCAATATAATCGCTATTTAAACACCAAAATTTTATCATTCTCAAAAACAACAACAAAAACCAAAAAAAAACACATAAACAGCCACCGAAATTTGCATTCATATTTTTATTAGATTTTACATAAGGATCGTGTCAACTTTCAGACTATATTGTAAATACATATACTCGTACATGTAAGCATATGTCATGCGTCAATTCAAATGTGTCTTTCCATTGAGCGATTACACCAACATACAACAAACAACACACAACAAACATAGCAAACATTTTGCTCATATACATTAGGCATTTCTAATGGAACAAATGGTTGATTTATTGTACGTATATGTATACACAAATCAGTTAAACATATAGCATCAGCTTAATAATATATTAAAATGTACTCAAATATGTATGTATATTCAACGTCGTTCTTGTAATTCATGTAAGTTGCAAGGACGCACACAGGCCAGAAACTGTTAACGCAACTCATCAACGCAATCATATCAAATATATCAATTATCAAGCCCACGTAATCACTTGTAGATGTACACGCATATATGTATATGTATTTGAACCAAAAAACAAAGCTAAATGTGACACAATATTACACAAGATTACCAGAAATAATTCATGTGACTACTATTTGTAAAACAGGATACACCAGCAACGAAAATCTTCGGTCTGCCGAAGACTTAATACCATTGCAGATCATTCACATTTTTCCAATGATCGAGAATGTGAATAATTATATCTCTCATTTAAGTATAGAGTTTAGTTGTTTAAGTTTATTTACATTGATTAACTTTTTGATTTGTCCGACTCTCTTTCCGAATGTCAAAGTCGATCTCAAGGATTAAATGAGCTTCAAATAAAATTTTATAAATGAAACACAATAATGTAATTATGTAATGTATTTGTAGTGTAACACTCTCGAAATAGGCATTTATGGCTAGTCTCTGGTCCGTCCTCTGCTGATATTCCCAAATGATCACAAACACACAAAAATGTCCGTAAAATAGTCCAAGTTTCTTATCACAATTCTGCACAGGTATTTAGGTAAAACAAACACACTAATTATACACACATTCATACAGGCAAAATAGAGTATTTACGTAGAATGCAAATTTACAAATACAAAACCAGCGATTAATACTTGCACCTGTATAAGCGCTATCTGAACGATCAGATATAATAATAAACTACATACATATTTACAAAATAATTGTACTACTGTATACCAAGTTACATCAGTATATATACATATATATATCTATATATACATATGCATAAGCATAAATATCTAACAGAACACATTCAGACACTGCTTTAATAAGCGCCAACAAATTGAAAAGGCCATTGAATTCACAGGGATTGGCACTCAATCGAAGTAGCTGTGGACTCCAAGGAACTTTAAAATTGATTCGAATAATGAAATTCTGTCGATTTGTGTATTTATTTACCACTTCAAGGCACCTAAACAGACCAAAATACGTAAAAATGCACAACAAATAATACATAATAATTAATCCAAATAACTACCCAAAGCAAACTATTTTTTAAAAGCATACGCAATGAAATTAAATATTCCATCTTCGGAATGCCGACGATTAAATGCTCTTGCAGACATTTGACAGATGTTCGATAAACCCACGAGTATTCAACCAATCTTGAAATTCTTTATAATTATAAACAAACAAGAAAAAGAATCCTCTGCAAGGGTATAAAAACACAATCCATACGAATACCAAAACAAATAAACAAATCTGTGTATACCATATACATAAATCCATAGGATCATACTTATATAGCGCACATATTATTGCTGTCTAACTGAATAATCGAAAAGTGCATTGCTGGATACGCAAATGATGAGTTTACAGCTATAGTATAATATCTATCTCAGAAATGTATTGTTAATTTTCAATGTAACGCACAGCAACAATGAAATACATCAGAATCAGATACATTTACATTTACATACATCAACATACGATAAGCTTTAAATATGTACACATTTAACTACATCTTATGTAGCACATATATTTCTGTTAAAAAAAAAAAAACAAAAGAAAAAACAGCATTTCCACCCATTACCAATTACTTTATATACTTAGCATTTATAATTGATTTGCAGTTTTTATATTCCAAATATATTATATATATATATTTATATATGTATTCGTTTGAGATAAAGTTAGGCAAAAACAAATACAAAATAATAACAATAAAAATAATGCCCTTAAATATGCAAACTGATCAAATTGTTGTCATTATTGATGAAGAGTGGAATGGAACAAAAATCTACTAAAGGGCCATACTCGAGCTTATATTAGCTTAATCATATAATATATATATATATATATATCATTAGTTAAAAAATGAATAATACACTGAAAGGACTAAATTTGAGCAATTTTTATGTTAATCATTGATTGACACAGTTTGATAATAAATTGTTTGACAAACTTATCTTTTCGTTTTCCTCCAAATATGATCCATGATCCATTCAAATCCACTTGGTTAATTAAGGTATTCAAATTTAAAGTTTACCAAAAATGTTGCTTTGGAATATTCCCATCTTCCTGCCCAAGTAAAAACACATTTTTCTTGTAATACCAACTTAAAATACAATCTTTTAATCAAATATAAAACAACTGAATAAAATAGTTATTTTGTTTATGTTTTCTTCTGTTATTTTGATATTTGTTCATCTCATTGCACTTTTACATGGCTGAGTAAAAATGCACTGAAATTCTATAATAATAATAATAATAATAACGTTGAAGCAAAGTTGATGGCTGACAACTTTGCATTAGTTTATATTTTGTAACGGTAACACTTAAGATTTAGATGGCAAAAAGTATACAAATTGAAAATGATTCACAGATTGAACATTGAAGAGTTTAAATATTGGCTGCTTTAAACCCTCCATTGTTTTCTTGGATTACAACATATAAATGTAAAATTATTAAAATTCTATAGCAGTGTCAAAATCTTTTTATGGCTGTATGAAAAAGATTTCGATTGCCCCGAGTTCGGCAAGGGTTTTATTTTTGTATAGTTTTTGATAATACTGCAACACTGGTAACACTGGCTATTGATTGCTTAACCTTATATACATAACACATTCCGGTTAAAGCTTCTGCTAGACAGATATTCTAGATACGCACTATATAATAAAGCTATGTAAGTATGTACATATACAAGCTCCCATATCCATTTAACGGTCTTGAGAGTTAATCGTACCTTAAATTCCCTGTTGCATATGCGCACACAAATTACGATTTTGGTTTTTGGTTTTGAAAGTTGGCCTACCAATTTGAGATACCAATTACCACTTACCAATTACAAATATTTGTTACTTAAATATTTCTGTATTATCTACACAGCGTTTGGTAAATATACAAACATACTTGTCTGTATGTGTATCATAGTATATATGTATGTACGTACGTATGTATGTATGTATGTATTTATGTAAGTAGATTGTATTATTAATATTTGTATTACGGTAAATGCATTGCATTGTGAAACTACTGGCTAGTCTTAACTGTAGACTTATGGTTTTGAGCTACAACATGATTTTTCTTTAGTGTCGAAACCTAAGTAAGTACGTTGTATGCGAAATTTGCATTAGTTTCCTAAGGGCCCTTGATGCCTTAGAGCTAAGCTAAAAGTGTGTGTGTTTTTCTTTTTTATTTTAACATAAATCAATTCTATCTGCAGGCCAAACTACCAAAAAGCACACATTCAATTTAAAGTTGATGTTGAAGTTTTGCTAAATTTTTGCTTAACTTCTCAATACTATACGTAATATATTTGAAATCGGGCCATCGGTCGAACTCAGACATCGGTTGCATCGGTTGCCTCGGCGTCAGCCAGACGGACGAGGGTCACCGTCACCTCCGTGGCAACTCCGTTGACAGCCAACTGCTGATCCCGCCACGGAGTCGTCAGTGTTCGTATACGCTGCCTAAAGCTGCCGGGTGTAACAATTAGCTTGTAAGTAGCCAGACCTGGTATCATAATGATCGAGGAGCCAGCTATGCACCAGCCCAATGCGTTCGCCCAATTGGGATACACGTAATCGCCATACGTTAACGGTTCATAGCCCAGCAGTCCGTAAACGGTGATGAAGAGCAGAAATAGGGGCGCCACAAAGCGCCAGCAGACCACCCAATAGCGACCCGGTGGAAAACCAATCATGTCGCGTATATCGTCACTGAAACGCTTGGTGCCATATATCCAGGATACAGCTATCGCCTCGAAGAACACCGCCACCAGTATGGAGTAGCCAGCAGCATAGCGATCCAGCAGATGAAAGAAATAGAAGCCACCTTGGGTGCAGCTGGCCAGGCCAACGACAAAGTACAGCGAGAAGAGTCCGGCCACAAAGAGTTCGCGGTTCCTTTTGATCTTGGGGAACTCATCGCTTAAAGCCGTGATTATCGCCTCCGAGCCGCCAAACTGCCAAAATAATAAAACAAGTTAAAATATAATATTGCAGATCTATAATCTATTGTTCATTTGGAAGTGGAAGTTTTTTTAAGAAACAACATTTAAAAAGAAGAGGTTTTCTAACTCAGTCACAATAAATGTTTACCGAGCTGTCCAATCCGAGAGTGAGCAGCATCATGAAGAAGATTAGCGCCCAGAAAATGCTGCCTGGCATCGTGGCAATGGCCGCTGGATAGACAACAAACACTAGACCTGGTCCCTCGGTGGCCACATCCTCGATCCTGACGCCGGAAGTATGTGCCATATAGCCCAGCACGGAGAATATCACAAAGCCCGCCACAAAACTCGTTGCAGAGTTTATAAAACTTGTAAGCAGGGCATCTCTGTAATACACACAGTTAATCAATAAGCCATACAAATCAAAAACCAAAGAAGTCAAATTAAGTTGGAAAATGTAACTTACTTGTAGACATTGTTGTGATATTTGTTATACGAGGCATAGGCGAGCAACACACCAAATCCGGGACCCAATGAAAAGAATACCTGTGTGGCGGCATCGACCCACACTTCCGCCTTGTAGATGGCATCGAAGTTTGGACTCAAGTAATATTGTATACCCATCGCAGAGCCTGGCAAGGTGATGCCGCGTATCAGCAGTATAAGCAGCACTGCATAGGGAAAGAGTGCCGTGAACCAAACCACTTTGCCCGATGTGCTGATACCCTTCCACAATGAGAAGTAGCAAATCAGATAAACCATCAGCAGGCAAAGCGCCATATCCCAGCGTATGTGGCCCAGATCATGAATGCCCTCGCTATGATTTAGCTCAAGTATATAGCGACTGGGAATAGAAAATATATATTTATATTTAATACATATGCATACACTCAGAGAAAGTCGCAGTCAAGTATTCAATTGCATATAAATCACAGTTATAATATTACATTTAATAGAAATCTATACAAAATATTGTTTTTAATTTTCAAATCTGCCATTAATATTACATATTTTATCTTTTTCTGATAATCTTGTGGCACTTACTTAAAGTATTCGGATGCCGCCGATTGGAATCTCTCCACAGGCACAACTGGTGCGATGCTCGCAAATGTTAGATTCGTATAGGATTCGTTGGCAAAGAAGAGACTCTGATTGTTGAAGGCATAGAAATCGCTCAGATTGCCAACAACCGGACGTGTATTCTGACCCTCAAACTGTGAGTGATATCAATTGTTAATAATAAGATTAATGTTTAGTCGAGAGCTGCCTCAATTGGCATTTACCGGCTTGCAGTTGGGCGTATTCCAGGCATTGTTGCACGAGGTCCAGGGCAGCACATTGGTAAAGGAAGCGAAGAAGAAACGCAGTGACCACGCAATAATCACATTGTAGTAAAAGTCCACATAAAAAGCGATAAGCACCACCGCATATCCTATGCCTAAAATTTCAATTCCTTGCATAACATGTCACATTCACAACTAGACCATTTTCTGTACTTACCCTTAAAAAGCGGTACCAATCGACCCCAGCATGTAATTGCACCCTTACGATTGTGCTGTCCCAGGGCCAGTTCCATATAGAACAGAGGTATGCCGCCCACAACCAACATAATGCAGTAGGGCACAAGAAAAGCGCCTGCAAAAATATTTATTTGTGGGTTTTGTGATTTAGACTTGTGATTTACTAAGTTTATAAAGAGATTATTTATTTGCCGATGGTTGCTTTAGCTATATGCTATATATTATGCGATTTCCTCCTCTTAGTTCCTTAGTTCCTCTGAGTAACAGTTTTAATTCTAATAATACTTCAGTCATATTGCAATTGCTGATCCTTGGAAGAGGTGCCAATAAGCGCTGCTTTGCCTACTAAAGGCAATTTGCCTGCTACTAACTAATGAGTGGCCAGTGTCGTTATGATTAAAGCGCAATCAAACTTTATAATATTTAAAAACACCCGAAGCACTATAAATATTATGAAAAAACAATGTGTGCTGGGTGCTTCTAAGCGATTGGCTGTGTGTGTGTGTGTGTGTGATTGACCCGTGTCAGTGTCTGTTTTTGTCGGTCTATGGCTTGCACATAGACATCGGCACACACACAGATACACACACACACACACACACACAGATACACACAAAATCAAATTGTTTCACAAGTGCCACTCTAAGGACATTTTAAAAACATTAACAGCATCGCATCCCGGGCTGGCAATGGGACAAGCATACATACATAAGGACATAGGGACATAGAGACATAGACAGACACAGGGACACAGGGACACAGGGACACAGGGACATAGAGAGAGAAGCCATGGACCGCTCTGCTCCGGTTCAGGCTCGGCTGTCTCATGCAGTCGTCGACGTCGGTTAGCTTCCTTCTCCTTTGTTCTCTGCTCCCTGCTCCGGCAATTGCTAAAGTGCCATCGATACTTTGTTGAGTGACAGCGGGGCGTTTTATGATTTGATTATGTCTATTAGCAGGCAAAGTGGGCGACAAAGTCGTTGACAACTACGACGACGACTACAGTGACAACGGCCATTATGCATACTAGTACACACACACACTCACACATACACTCATACATAAATTGGTAAAACAAAAAAAAAGGAATAAAAAAATACAAAAAAATCAGAAAAAAAAGGCTCTTGAACACTGTGCTGTCAATGATGTTGTAAAATGTAAAACAAAAAACGTCCAATGATAATACCAGACGAGATAAGGTTCTTAAAATCAAATGCAGCTCTGGTGCTGAAGCTGTAATTTCCGTTGCTTTGCCCCAACTCATTTCCGGTTTGTCACTGTCTATTTATGGCACAAAGTGCTATAACAAATTATTATTTCAAAGCGCATATTTATCAAGCCAATTAAACAGCTGCCATATTTCAGAATTGTCCAATCTCAATTAAACCTTAAAATCTTTTTTATTGCCGAATAATACACTAATAATGAATTGTCAAGTGGATTTCAAACGAAAAGAGTACGTTTTGACGAAAATAAATGTGTTATTTAAAACAATTTTAAGCCATTTTAATTTTGTTATCTTTATACTTGTAATACACTATATGCTTAAACTGGTGCTATAATATTAGATTTATATTAAATATACAATATGAACACTGCATTCGCAAGCATAAAAAAGCCTTAATTTATAATTTATACATTCAGATAACATTATGTACAATTTATGTCAAGCTATTGCAACTAAAGTCAAGGAATTTCATTTATTCAGTAGCTGGGAATAAGAAGGAAAAAAAAGGGAGAGAGAGGGAAATTAAATGCCCACTAAGCTGGGGGGGTGGCATTAAAAGCTAATAATCGCAACCTGTGGTAACTGTCACAACGTTGACTCTAACGGTAAAGTTAAGCCTGGCAACGCCAGTAGTCAGCCGCACAAAATGATATAAAATGAAAACTAAGCTGTCACTGATTGAGTGCAATGAAGCGTATGAAATAACAATTTATTTTTTAAGACCGCAGAGAAGAAGAAAAAAAGTTGCGGCAAAGGCCAGCACGACAACAACAACGACAAAATAGTCATAAAACTATAAAGGAAAAGGCAACCAGCACACACGCATACAACCACACTCACACACACACACACACATCCTGATTTACGAATGAAAATTCATATCAACGCCTAAGTGCCGCCGTCAAAAAACGTGTGCCGCACATGAATTTCAACACAATGCTTATAAGGATACACATACATATATACATATATACAGACATATACAGAAATATGTCTTGATTCTGATGTGCATAGCCCAGTAACAATAAAAGCCTAGAAAGCGTTTCTTACACCCCTCCACCCCTTGCGGAGCGATGCTTACTCACTCGCTGTCAGATTGCGGCAAAGGAGGTAAAGGAGGCCAAATGCGATTATGACTGCCAGATTTAGTTGTCATACAAAAGCACTTAACTTTGAAATTGTTTTGAATGATGGCGTTGCCAACAAAGATCACAAGTCCTAAGCATATGTATCAACTTATATATATATATATATATGTGTGAATGTGTGTGTGTGTGAAGTCGCACGTCTGGACTCTGGGTAATTTCGTATAGGAAGTACGCACTTAGAGCCGCAAGATTTCTGCCCCACCTCACTCACTGCCCAGTTAATGGCAGCACTTCGCACGCATTTTAGCCAGCACTTGTCAAAGTGTTAACAAGGCCAAGTCACTTGTTATGCGGCAACTTGAGTGAGTTTCTTGGGCGCTCAATGATGTGTAAAGCTTTATAAATGCCACAAGAATTCTTGTGGCATTGTGTCTCTAATTGGCACGCGACATTCCCCAGCCCATCCCCCAATCAACAGCAACAGATAAAGAAAAGAACATTTTTGTTTTCCAGTTAGTTACTTACCACCGCCATTTTTGTAGCACAAATAGGGAAATCTCCAGACGTTTGCTAAATCGACGGCGAATCCAATAACCGATAATAAAAAATCCACCTTGCCGCTCCATGTTTCACGCTGATCGTTAATGCTGCTATTATCGTTGGTGTCGTGTGGTGTGGACGTCTTTGCTATTTGTCCTGTAGGTGACATCGCCGTTGCGACGATGCCCGTGTCCTTGGCCAAAACGTCGTCGTTTTAGTTGCCAACACGCCAATCAAGTCTACAAAATCATAAATATATAGATGATTTTACTTATTAATTGCAATGTTGCATGCATTAACCTCCTTCAGTTCAAACAGTTCAAACAGTTCAACATATTGCATGTTTGTGGCATACGACAATTTTGATGCGCTGCTTGAGGGCTTAAGCCGACACTTGATGCCCAATTGAGAGATTAACATGTGTGTGTGTGTGTGTGTGTGTTGGTGTGTTGGTGTGTTGGTGTGTCACTGAAATGTCCATAACACTTGAATTCTGTTTGGCCACGACATGCTCTCTAGCCCTTCGAGTGTTTGTCCGTGTATTACGTATACGACGTGTGGTGACAAACACTTGACAATTACAGCACAAAAACCATACGTTGTGGTTTGCCCATCGACAAAATCTGAATTTCCTTTTATTAATTGTTACACAGCAAATAAATATACGCATGCATACACACATATATATTGTTTCTTTGCTTCTCTCATATGCGGGTAACATAATTAATTGCTCCACTTTAAAATGCTTCTCGCATTAGCTTAATTTAACCCGAGAAATGTGCTCAATTAAAAGCGCAGTGCTCAAGCAATGCTCAAGATTCAATTAAATAATTAAATTGCGTGAAGCTCAGTGAAGATCTCAGTGCAAACTAAATTGGCTTTTCATGTGCTACTTGATTTACATACAATTCAAGACTTTGTCTCATTTTAAAAAATTTCTTTTTACTATTAAGAAAAAACTATTTCTTTTTAGCTGATTTGTATTTATATTATAGCATTAATCATGGACTGAACTACAACTAATAATCATTATAGATTCAAAGCACCTTGTCTTGAATATACAATCTATATTTTCATAAATTAAAAGTGATCTTAAGTATCTTGTCCGGTGACTTCTATTTATAATTTAAATATGTCTTTCGCTGGATCCAAATCCAGTTTCTTTTACATTTTAATTTATGTATTTATTTCTTGTCAAATAAGACAAGTCATATATTCAACTATTTATTTGCCGCGCCGTTAAATCGCACAAGTTGTAATATTCTTATTAATTTACAGAATGCGAACTAATTGTATGCAATAACAAGTGCCATTAGAATATTAACTGGTTGCTGAAAAGTGCGTACACTTACAAAAAATTCCCATGTGTCAAAGCTATTATATTATTTGTATAAAATACTATGGAAAAACGGAGTATATTTTAAGCTGCGTCTTTTTCTTAATATAATAAACTTCTGCTAAGTTTAATATTATTTTTTTTGAGTGCCACTTTTTTAAGCTTTGTTTAAATTGGTTTTTTATAGAACCAATTGGATTTTTTGTGTGTAAGTAATCACTCTTTAGATTGATACATACCTGCTATATTCCAGTAACCTAAATCACAAACTTTTGCCAATCCATTTTAAAGAATTCTCAAATTCACAAATAAATTATGCCAAAAATCTGGATTAACAGCTCTCTCTCTCTCTCTCTCTCTTTCTCGCACACACACTCTCTGTAAGCGCCAACAGCCCAAAACTTGTGTCACTTTAATTAGGACTTGCACAAGCCACACATACTTTCACTTGCCTTAGAACAGTTGGCCAAATGTCTCAATATTAACTAAAGATTTGGGCAACACCAAAAAATTCAGTTGTTGCGCTAACGGTAACATTCAAACGTATGCAGGCAATTTCTTTATGCCAGTCACTTTTATAGCCAGCGACAAGTGGTTGACTGCACCTGCACCCTCCCAACAGACACACTCACACACACACACACAACCCTCTGTGTGTGTGCAAGTGTGTGTGTGTGTGTGTCAAACGCAGCAACTGCTGAAGTTTAACGTCGCATGCGCCAAGGAAACGTCGTCCAAACGGAAGTGACCAATTACAGTTGCCTTTGTGCGTATGTACGCATGTCTATGTATGTATGTATGTACGTTTGTATATGTTCACTTTATATACTCGTCTCACAGTAAGCTTTTTCTACATTATGTTAAGCAACGAGCTTATGCCTGCTTGCAGCTGAGCTTTTTTGTACAGCGCTCTGTTAACCACCTCTTTTGCATTTTATTGCCATGTTAAACTAAATTCAATGAATGAAAATAAAATAGATAAGCACACAAAATAAACAATATAAAATGCAGTCGCAATTAACAAAATGTTCATCTCATGCAATTCAAATGCTGAATAAATGTTGACTTTACAACTGAAAGCAAACACAAATATTTTCGTCAATGTGTAACACTTTCAGGTACATTTGATTATATCAAAAGTTTGGCAAGATCATTTTATATATATCAACGAAAGTAAGGCGGCAAGAGCACTATTTATGCCAAACTCTCTCTCTCTCTCTCTCTCTCTGAATATTCTCAAAAAGCTGTCGAATATGTTTCGAAAACTTGAAAATATATATTTCGAAAATGCACACAGACAAATGAAAACAGCGTAAACAAAATGTCTTATTTTAAACATCTTCAATACAATTTTCCTGGCCAGCGACAAAATCGTGAGAGTCGAGAGCAGTTGCCAACGGGTTTTCATCGAATACGGCCACGAGGCAACATGCAGCGCTAAGAACAAAAAATAGAAACGCATTGTGACCAGTGCAACGCATCTCAAAAAAAGAAAATTAAAGAAAATTCGGAGAGTGACAGAATATCAATGTGCTCGCCGATCCTATAACTGCAGCTATAACTATAGTTAGCCCGCTATAAATAATAGTTAGTGGAATAATCAAATGCACACTTGTATCTTGTGTAAAATATCATATATATTCTCGAGTCGGTTTATGTTTTTATATAAGAGGCAACGAGCATTATTTTTAATTTCGCTGTTGATAATATGCAAATGTGTAGGCAAAAGAATAGAAAAGAATTGAGAATTTGTACAAAAACCGAAAAAAAAGTAAACCTAGGCAAAAACACAATCTGAACTAAACAAACTAAATAAAATATTTGCAAGCTTTACAAATTCTACAACATTGTGTGTGTGTGAGTGTGTGTGTGTGTGTGTGTGTAGAAGTGTATGTGTATGCGTGCAGACAGCTAGACGGCTCAATTAAATATTTGTTTGACAACAAGAACAAGAAAAACTTTAGCGAACAGGAGCTAAACTAATTATATACTACACCGAAATGCGAAATAACATTGAACTTAAGCCGATTGGCACTTAATGCAATCGCAATCGGTATTTTTGGATACGGCGAACAATGTGTTTTGCGGTGCATCTCAACACAGAGTTTATAAATTCAATTAATTGGCGTATTTGGCGACCATTTTCCAGGAAGTGAACAATAACAATGAAAACACATTTGCGCCAGCGAGTGAAATGAAATATGTGAGACCAAAGTTGCCGAGATATTTACATATATTTTGCATTTTTTTTAAAACAGATGCAGATGTAGATGCAGATGCAGACGCGTGAATAAAGATACAAAAAACACATGTAAAATAGGCCGACAAAGATACACATACACATACATATACATATACATATACACACACCATAAACATGTATTTATGTGCAGATTGCCTTTGTGCAGGCCGCTATAAATATTTACAACGCTGCTGCTGTTGCCGCTTATACGGAGAACCAAAATACACATTTCAACGATTTACGATTAATACAGAATTCTATTTATTTATCTAGTGCATAAGTCGTGCATATGTTTTTAGCTGTGCAATGATTTAAACAAGAACTGATGTGAATTAACTTAACCGAATCACAGACACTCCACGAACATTCTCAATAATAGCAATAATAATAGCAAATTATTCAACACATGTAAAGCGCAACTCAACGGCTAATTAAACCATTGAAAAATGTCGAAAAAACCGCGAGGGCATATACACAAAATTCGTGAATTCGAATTGGAAAAGGTAACAAACTGACTAACTCAATTCCTAAAATTATTCAACAAATTGCACGTAGTTAATGTTAAATGAATAATTGACCCCCCACAAACATTTTTATGGTTGCAGCTGGAAAATCATAAAATTCGGGACAAAGGCAACAATTGCTATTTTGTCGAATTTCACATTTGATTATTATTACTTATGTGTATTTATTATGCATATTTCTTCATACATATATTGCACGCCTTTGCCAGAATGAACTTCCTTATGTATTTTGTGGTTCTTAGAAACAGAGCATTGGGGTAGATTTCTATCTAGAAAAGATGAACTGTAAGCAGGCGAAACGATTCATCAACATGATTTTATCGGGCAAAAAAAAAACACTTTTGCTTCTTCATCTTATTTTTATGGGATCATAGAGGCCCTTTTCGAATACCCTCTGTCTGAGTAGAACATCATCCCATACGAAATCGACCCAATTAAAAAGAATAATTAATTCATTGGTCACGCGTGTTCCGACTCACATTTTCCAAATATTTATGTCTATTATTTTGTTGAAAAATTGGTAAGAATGTTATTGTGTCAGAACAATGATTCTTCACTACAAAGAACTCGTGTTGCGAAAATCAACAATAAATCTAAATTATAGAAACAAAAGTAATTTCACGAATTTTAATAGTCATGATTATTTTCGATACAAAGACATGTCAGCTTATGCTTATCACTTACTTGATTATATAGTTGTACACATTTTATATATAATTTAATTCAATAAATATCTAGGGTATTTTTACTTCGGTCAGGCAATTATTTTAAGTTATTTTCAGTTGGCATAAGTCCAAAAATCTCTTCGCTAAGCTAATGGTTAACGCTAACGTAAAGAAACCAACAAAAAAAAAACTCATTTTATTGGGCAGCAATCAGGGGCTGGGCATTATGTCAAAAATAGAGTAACATTTAATACGATTAACCATATTTAATATTTATATACACATACAGATGAGGGAGGTGTTTATAAAACAAATCAAAATAATAAATATTGTTCAACAAAACAGATTCAACTTGTGGATGAGTTTGATATCATTCAAATTGTCGGTGAAGGATGGTTTGGCAAAATATTGCTGGTTGAGCATCGGGGATCTCAAACAGAAATGGTACTGAAGGCGGTTCCTAAACCATACGTGACTCTGCGCGATTTCTATCGCGAATTTCACTATGGACTCCACTTGGGTGTGCATCGGCATATTGTAACCACATATGATGTGGCCTTTGAGACGGCTGGTTTCTATGTATTCACACAGGAATACGCACCACTGGGTATGTGTGTACAATGTTTACTGATTTAGCCATAAAATATAACTTTCATTACGTTGATTTTAGGGGATCTTACATCAAATGTGACTGAAACTGGGGTGGGTGAAGTTTACAGCAAGCGTATAGCCAAACAATTGGCATCCGCCATAGATTACATGCATTCAAAGTAAGTAACAAGAGCAGATCTTAAGTGTTATCTTATTGATAAGAGATCTATACTCACTCCCTCTAATTCTCTCACTCTCTGCTTGAATGATTATATCTTTATATTTTTATATTCTACGCAACTATTCAGATCAGTGAAATAATCATGAAACTCTGCAAGCCTTACTTAAAATTTGTATACTCTTAAATAAACAAAAATTAAATTTCTCGCGTCGGTTCCTCGCACACCATCTCTCTGTTTTTATTTGTAGAATTATATGTTTATAATTAGTATACCTTATGCCCCATTAACACGGTTTTTATTACAGAGACATTGTGCATCGGGACATTAAACTGGATAATGTGCTCATATATCGTTCGGATTTTCAACGCGTCAAACTTTGTGATTTCGGCGAATCATTTCAAACTGGTACTACAGTGGAACGTCGCAATGAATGGTTGCCCTACAGTCCGCCCGAAGTATTAGAAGTGAAGCCAGAAGGCACCTACAAGTAAAAAATCAATCAATTTCAAAACATACAAATATAAATTCAATGAAATGTTTTTAAAGAGCCGATCCCAGTCACGATGTCTGGCAGTTTGGCATTGTTATATTCGTCTGCCTGACTGGCTGTCTGCCCTGGCAAAAGGCATCCTCCGAGGATCCACGCTATGTACGCTATATGGTCTGGCAAAGCAGCATAATGATGATGCCCCTCCGACGAACACCCAAACTGTTTAAGGTAAACCCTTCGTTGTAAATAAAATAAGACATATATTTGTATAGATATATATCTTTTATATAGCTGCTCACATCGCGCGCTCAGCGTATGTTTAAGCGGTTTCTGGAGCCACGCAGCGGGAGCAGGCCAAAGAGTTTGGGTGACTTAACCAGGTTTATGGATGATCGCTGGCTGGCCAAAACGGCGGAGAAAGAAATGGCCGAATATGAGACAGACGAACTGTGTCCCTCAATGTATTCCTTTCACAGCAGCCCCGACGAGAAGAATCGCCTGCTGTACACATTGGCGGATTGTGGCATCGAAACCAATGTCGATCGCCAGCTGAAAAAGAATCGCATAAAAGACTGGATAGAGTCTTCCATAATTACGGAGGAGGATGAAGTAAGCAACATGATTGTTGAACTCCAGATATTCATCTATATAGTAACCGATCATACCAATTTGTGATAATAACTTACCTTGATTTTTTTAGGAGGAGAATGAAGAAACCAATTCGGCATCGCCGTGTTCATCGATATCACGCGAACCGGTGCCGGGACACATCTCATCCATTCGACAGCCACCGAAACCACAGCCGGATAAGCCCAAAGAGATAAAGGGCACATTGAAGGACGCGACACAGAAGCACTTTGATCCCCGAACGGGTGCACTGCAGCAGGGGCCCAGCGAAATGGGCATGGCCCTGCATTCGGCGCGATCAACGACTATCGCTTCCACATCGACGCTGAACAATGCCGATAGTATGCTGACCTTGGGCTCCCGCCAGGATATGTTGGCGAGCAATTTGACCATTTATAATTCAATGGAAATGGAGCTGAATCGCTTAGGTAAGGATCAGATGTCACTTCTGCAAGTCGGTGGCTTTATAAACCAGTCACAGAGCAGCAGCAGCCTACTAACCGCACTCGATGTGCCGCCGCCACCGATGCACGTCGTCCACTCTTCCACCAACTCCATCGCACCTGTCAAGAACTCGATTGGCGTCGGCACACGCGGTCCCACCAAGAGCATCCTGCAACGCTCCAAATCCGATTCACTACAGTCGGCCATGTACAACAGCATGCCGACCATTGACAACGCCCACTCCTCCTATACAGCCGCTTTTAACACCAACAATAATGTTAATCTTAATCTAAATCAGAGTCTGCAACCATTGCAGACCAGCTATGCGCCAAATGGCAGCGCCTTCTTTAAAAGTGGTAATAATAATCAAATTGGTAACCGAACTAATCCAAACAACAAAACTGTGACTTTTTCGGGCTTAACTAATGCCTTTCAATCGCTTGCTCAACTCCCAATGCTGGCTAACAATTATGTCCCGGCACCGACATCATCGATGGTGCCAGCTGTTAACTATTTTAATCGCTCCCACAATGATTCTCAAGTCAAAGACAGCGCTTACGGATCGACGGACGTAAACGAGACGACGATGAGCCATCTACTGCCACCGCCACAACATGGCAGCACCACAACGCCCAGACAGATGGTTTACAATGGCACTCGAGAATCAGCACATCAAACAAATATGAAAGATACGGCCTACGACCGGACGGTGGTAACCAATAGCAACAGTGCGCGAAAGCGAAGATAGCTTCTATCCACATCCACAATAAACTAAATAATATACAATTTGCAAGTTCCAATAAATATTAAACGTAAAATTTGTTAACATTTTTTCCGCTGGTGGTTTTACTTAATTGAAAAAAGCAACTTTACGTTCTTAAAAAATTACGTTTCCTTTATTACGCGCGTAAAAATCCAAAAACAAGCAGCAGACATCGAGTCCGGTTGCGTCTACTTGAGGGGAATAAAACGTGAGCTGTGTGTGGCACCGATACCGGGACGACCGTGCTTGACGGGCTTGTAGGTCAACGCAAATTCACCCAAATAGTGACCGATCATCTCGGGCTTGACCTCAACCTGGCAAAGGTGGGAAACAGAGAACACACGTTAGTAAATACAATTCAATATTAATTATGTACCATTTATGTGGCTCACCTGGCCAAAGTCCTTGCCATTGTAAACGCCAATGATGGAGCCGGTCATCTCGGGCACAATGATCATGTTCCTCAGATGGGTCTTCACAATTTCGGGCTTCTCATTTGGCGGTGCCTCCTTCTTGGCCTTGCGCAGCTTCTTGATCAGTGCCATCGGCTTGCGCTTCAGGCCGCGCGAGAAACGCCTGCGTGCGCGGCTGTGCATCAGCTCCACCAACTGGTTGCTGCAGTCACCAAAAAAATGAGGTTAGTTTTTTTTGTGGGGGGGACGCCGAAGTGGATTTTACTCACTTGGGCATATCCAACAGCTGGTCCAAGTCCACACCGCGGTAGGTGAACTTCTTGAAGGTACGCTTCTTCTTAAGAGTTTCATCAACTTGCTGTTTGTGTCAGCCAATATATAAAAAACAAAACAAAATGCATATTAGCCAAAATAGTCACTTCTATTTGTGATATAGCACACAAAACTCTAAAATAACATTGGCATGCATGTGCATTATATTATATAGGCTAAATATGGTATACTGTAGCCGTTCTGCACACGGATGTTCAATATTTTTTTAGATTTTTGCACAAAAATTACATCGGCCATCTTGACGTTTGCAGTCTGGGGAACGGAAAGAATCACAAAACGAAGCGTTGCCACCAGACTAAAAATTGGCATTGCCAGTCTGTAAACAATTGGTTAAATATTTGGTCACATTGATAAAAACTAGAGATGCTCCTGACTTTTTGGAACTAGTTGTGAGCGTGCTAGCGACAGCTCAACCGCATTTTATACATTTTGTGGTTTCAAGCGCTGATCTGTCAATATTTCTCTGTGCTTTAATAAGGAATATATATTTAATTAGCTAAGTCACTTTCAGTGTCAAGAAAATCGCTGTTTACAAAGTAGCCAAAGTCTGGCCATGCAAAGTTCCAAGAACTGGACAGTGTTGAGAACAGCAGCTGTTATTGCACTTGTCACAGCTTTTGCAATTCATTGATCTTTCTTTAATCATCCAATAGTTAGCTTTAAATATATACTATATACTTGTAAAGTAAACACAAAATTGTTTGCTAAATCAACATATTATTCGATTAACGTGAGTCGTGCCACTCGCCTCTGTTCACGCGCACATCACCAGTACAAACAGCTGTTAAGCGACGGCCGTGCAGAAACCCAAACAATGCTGACGTTACCAAAAAGATGTTTTAAAAGACACAAAATTTACACAAATGTGAACGACGTAAAAACACAATTGCCACCCCTCCAATAGTATTCAACGCGCTTTCAAACAGTATTCGCCGCCAAATGTGAGCCACAAGCCACAAAAACCCACTGCTTTATGTTTCTTCGACTATTTGCTTTATTTTGTTGTGTTTTTGTGTTTTCTTTTTGCTTGCGCAAGTGGCGTCTTTTGCATTTGATTTTTTTGTGATAAAAACAAGTACGTCTGCGAGTGAATTGCCATCAAGCTATTTCCTTGTTTATTTCTCTTTCTTTTATACGTTCTTTTTTGCTTACGGACTTAACAACTTGGTTTAGCTCATCCAAAAACAAAAAATATTTCAAGCCAGCCACAGGTGAAAGCGAGATTTTTTTTTGGTTGCAGCCATGATGTTCTCACATTCGGGCCACGTTATGACTCTGGCCAATAGCATAATTGGCGTTGGAATTCTGGCCATGCCCTTCTGCTTTCAGAAGTGCGGCATTATTTTGTCCATATTGCTGCTGATACTCAGCAATTGGATAACACGTGTCTGCTGTCATTATCTGATAAAAACATCGTTGCTGACACGTCGTAAAAGCTTCGAAATGCTTGGCCTGCATGCATTTGGCGCATCCGGCAAACTGTTGGCAGAACTTTGCATCATTGGCTATCTAATTGGTACGTGCATAACGTATTTTGTTGTCGTCGGCGACTTGGGGCCACAGATCGTGGCTAAACTGTTCAATGTGGACATTGCGGAGAATCAACATCTGCGCACCGTGGTCATGTGTGCCGTCACCGTCTGCTGCATTGTGCCGCTGGGCATGCTACGGAATGTGGACAGTTTGTCTGCAGTGTGCACCGCCTCCATCGGATTCTATGTATGCCTCATGCTGAAGATTGTGCTCGAGTCTGAGTCGCATATTGTGGCCAACGATTGGAAAGAGAAGGTTGTCTACTGGGAACCAGCGGGAGTTCTCCAATGCTTACCCATCTTCAGCATGGCACTGTCCTGTCAAATGTATGTTCTCTTTAAAATTGTATTTCTAAATCTGTATCTTTAATATGCAACTCTTTACTTGCAGGCAACTTTTTGAGGTATTTGAGAGCATCAACAATCAAAGTCTGGACAGACTGAATGGCATTGTGCGCAATGCGACCTGGATATGTACACTGGTCTACATAGCTGTTGGTTTCTTTGGCTACGTCGCCTTCTGTACGCACAGCTTTTCCGGTATGACTTCAATCACAACGCAACAACCTACGTACAAATTATTAAATGTTATCTTTGATTTTAGGTAATATTTTAATTAACTTGTCGCAGTCGTTTGGCAGTGATATCATTAAAATTGGTTTTGTGCTATCGGTGGCATTCAGCTTTCCTCTGGTCATATTCCCCTGCCGAGCAAGCATCTACTCCTTGTTGTACAGAAAGGTATGGATTGCACTTACCTTTTCAAGTTATAAAATCATAATTGGTATGTGTTTCGAATTGCAGCATGGACACACAGAGACCAGCAGTTATATACCCGAGCAGCGTTTCCGTTTAATTACGCTCTTCATCGTGTTCTTCTCGCTGTGCGTGGCGCTTGTGATTCCATCGGTTGAGCTGATTATTGGCCTGGTGGGCTCCACAATTGGCGTGGCGATTTGCATCATGTTTCCGGCATCGAGTTTTCGCCAGATCATCCAAAAGGAATCCATGGAACGAAAGTTGGCACAATTTGTATTTATCAGCGGCTTCTTTCTGATGATTCTTGGCACGTATGCCAATTTAAATGCGATTGATGCCCAGAGTTCGGGTCCACAATTTGATGGGGGAGTGCAAGTTGTCACACCTCTGTTGCCCAACGATACACCACTATTTAATGCACTTCACAACGAAAAGAAGCCTGTGCTGCTAAAACATATAATGAAAACGCCAAGCGATATGGAAGTTAAAGAAATATTAGAGAAACTGGAAGTTGGCAAGCGGGAACAGAACGCGGATAGTAATAATATTGTCGAGAAGCCAAATGTTTTAAGTGCTTCGGCGAACAATCCACCGATGCCGCCGCTGCCCGTTGATGAATCCCATGGCGTGGAACTGAAAAACGATTCACCTCTGGACAACTCGGAGAGCTTGCCAAAACCGGAAGCTAACGTTGCAGAAGAAGTGAAAGAAGTTAAAGAAACGCCAGCTGCAAAGAAAAACTTGACCAAAGTAGAAAATCCTGCAGTGGCAGCAGAAGCAGCAGTAGAACTGCCTGCCAAGACGCTGGAAGAGTCTAAGAAATTAGAAGATGGAGCACAGCAAACAATTGATGGGGCTGCCATTAAAAAGGAAGAGGAAATTACGGCTGAGGAGCAAAAGGATAAACCAAGTGGTGTTGAGCTGCGTGAGCAGGAAAAGGAGCTCAAGGAGAAAATGCAGAGGCTGGAACGCACCGTAGATAAACTAAACGAAGAGTTGGCCAAACAAAAGCCACAAAATCCCGCTACTATGAAACTCTTGGAGCGCAGCGTCGATAAGCTGACCCATCAATTGGAAAATCATAATCCTGTCATTCCAAAACATTTAGCTGTTGATGAACTAGCCAATGCACTGAATCAGGTTAAGGAAACCAATCGTCTAGATGAGCAGCAACAAAAGCAAAAGTCGGAGCAGCTGCAGCCACAAACACAACCTCAACCAGCCAACGATACTGTTAAAGAACGCAAGCCAGTCTCACTGATGGAGATGCTGACAGAAAATGCGCATGCACGAGAAGAGCAGGAAGCCCACGCTGGCGTCTTTGAGCCACTTTCCTACAAGACGGGCGAGCTGTTCAATAATGCATCAAAGGCGGGGGCACCAGTGTTGGCCCAACGACTACCACTGCCTCTCGCATTGATTGCCAATTCCACACAGAAAAAGCCAAACAGAACCTTAACCGAAGAACTGGCAAATAACAAATCAAGCAGCGTCGACAATATTGAGGCGATAAGACGCGAATTGTTGCAAATAAAAGAGCAAAAAGTCACGTCTGAGTCGACCGTGTTGCGGCTCAAACGCGACGCAAATGTCGACAACAAAGAGAACTGTCTTCCGAAGCCCCAGCTGAATGAGGTGAAAACCAGTGCGCTTGTCGGTCTCGGCATCCAAGCTGAAAAAATGGGACGCGAATTGAAATCCATCAAGGATGAGGATTACGAGACGACGACCACGACGACGACGACACCACCCACCACAGTACTTGATAAAAGCTAACAATTGCACTGATCTGAACTGAACTGAACTGAGCCGCAAGCACTGCGTTAACCCAAAAATATGATATATAATTTCATAGAATGTGTATTTCTAACTAGCTCGAGCGTAAGATTGTTCACGGGGCCCAAGAAGCTTTATGTACATATACTCTATATAACTTATGTAAATTGTATTTATTGATAAAATTGTATTTATTAAGTGTCAGGCAGGAGACACCCAAATATGCTAAGCAATAAACCATAAGTTAACAATAGAAAATACCTATCAAATTGAGGTCTCCGAAAACTGTTGGCCAATTTTAATTGAGTTGCAGTAAACTAATCTTTACCAAGTCCATTACATATGTATTATAAATCGTAATGATCCGATCTGGTCTAAGCTTCATCTATGTAGCAGGCAGGCTTTACAAATTGTTTATCAGCTGCTATAATTATTTCATCAAAATTGTTCAGTTTTTATATTTTGAAACATGTCAATAGTATTGAATGTTGTACAAGAGATTGTTTTGCACAGCATATACGAGTTGACCTGCTCAGCAGCACTTCAACTATTCAACAGATACAAAATCGTGAGTTAAACCCATATGAAATATATGAATTTGTAAATAACAATGCATATATTTCAAAGTTGGATCGAAAATCAACGGATAACTATGCAGATCAGAATGAAAACGGTGAAATCCAAAACAAGATAATCGATAATCAAGTACGAAATCCGTCCAAAGTGCCAAGAAATTGTTTAGAGTTGGAGGCAATGACCAGTGACAAAGATGTAGGATCAGACAGCGTGATCTCACAACTGGATGAGGCTTACATGAACACCAGATCAGGGCCAGAGTTTGCCGAAGATGTCCATGAACTGGAATCCCGTTGCGTGATCACGCAATCTTGCAAAAGTAATGGACCCATTTGTCCGCCAATGACGTCCTGCATGCGAGTGACCAGAAACAGCTACTTCTCGTAGAGAATTAAAGACACAAAGCCGGTGTCGTAGGATAAAATAACTTTAATTGAGAGTACAGATGAACCATAACAATTGTGTAACAAATTGAACAACTATATAACTTCATGGCTATGCACATCAAATGTATCACTAAACTTCGAATCCTTGAATGAAGTGTGTATTTCGATTAAGATTTTTGTTAAATTTTGATAAATAATTTTGATAAATAGGATCTCCGATCAGCCAAAAGTTTGATTAAGAACTGATGAAACTTTAAACATCGGCGCCAAGCGCATGCAAATCGTTCAACACTTCGAGGAGTGTGCCAATGCTCCAGGCCTGAGTGCGGCAGGAATCGTTGCAATAGCTGCCATTGTCGTTGGTCAGCTCGGGCAGCCCACGCCAATGGGATGTCTGCATCTCACGGAGATGGGCACGCAGTATCACCCACGTCTCCTCAATGGTCTCGTCCAGATAGCCGCACTTCTTGGCAAAGATGAGACGGGCGCGCAAATAATAGCCAATGGGCCAGACCCATTCGGGTCCCTGATGATAGTTGGCGCCATGAGCCACGGTGCAATCACCCGAATCATTGGAATTATCATAGTTGGCCCTGTAATTCCAATCATCCGGATCCAATGTCTTCATGCCCAGCGGTCCCAGCAGATACTTCTTAGCCTGCTCCAGTGCAGCCCAGGCGCATTGCGGATTACATAGATCAGGTGCCACTGTCAGCGCAATGGGGAAATTGCAACGCAACTGGAAATCTGTCCAGTCCTGTGTGGCTCCTACACTGTCCTTGTAGATGCTCTTCTTGTTGGCCACTTTGGTGCTATCCGTTTCCTTAACAAAGAAGTGCGCATCAAAGTTACTCTGTATGCGATCGGCCCAACCTTTGTAGGTCCACTTGGTCACCGCACCAGACGGACCCTTGCGCTGCACACCACTGTATGGGATTAGCTTTTGCTCACTGATGCCCTGCAAGAAACGCAATACGGCATATTGTAGACCAATCAGCTCGACGGCGGAACCATCACGTGGCGTGCTGGGACGACCACGATTGCCGGCCTTCTCGGAGGAGCCCATTTTGTCCATCCAGGTGCCGCAGTTGGCGCTGTTGCCGCCAAAGACGAAACCCGTCTCCGGATGCACACCAATATGATTGTTAAAACCCTGATCCGTCATGTGTGCATCGATTTCGTGGCCAGCATTGCGTTCGCGATATTGCAGACCCTGGAAATGGACCTGGAGTGCCTCCTGCATCACATCGTACAGCAGCTGGTCGAATTCGCCCGGTGCATGCGGCTCCGAATCGTCATAGGGGAAGATACGCGACACCTTATCCTTGAGTATATCGCTGCCCTTGGGCGCAGCCTGCACGTATTGGGCGATGCTGTGCAACCACCACCAGACAGCATCGCGGCAGTTGAAGCGCGGCTTGGTGCCATTGTCCAACAGATTTGGGATCAGGCCATGACGCATCGCCGATGCGAAACCAATAATGATATAGCGTGCCTCATTGAATCGGCCAGTGAGCAGCAACAAGCCACGCAATGCGATGAACGTATCTCGTCCCCAGCAGCGCATATATCCTGCAAACAAATACATACAAACAATCAGTATAAATATTTATTAATGATGTCCACTGGTTACCTGTGGAAAAGTGCGGCAAGCCGGCAGATAAGGTGACGCACAGCTTGGGCGGCTTTGGTGGACTGAGCGCCAAACTGAATCCAGGCAGATTGGCCGAGCGGCAGGCGGCGAGGAACTGCAGCGTTGCCAGCGCCAGCGATTGAGTAAAATGATGGCCATCGCGTATGAAACTAAACGATAAACAAATAATTATAATATCTGTATATATATACATATATTTATACTCACCTGGGCATCAATTGGTTGACCTGGTTGACGAGTACATTATGCACACCGCTGACAATGGCATCAAAATAACAGGGTATGAGATAGCGTGGCACATTCTTCAGTGGCTCAAAGGTTGCCTTCATCCACACCGAAAGCGGCTTCAAGTCATCAAAATTGTTGAGACGATCGGCAATGTAATCTGGTTAAAAGAACATCCATAATATATATATCCATTACAGCTTCAAAGTTGTAAGCAAAACTCACCCATCATCCAGTTGCCGTCACGCAAATTGTTGCACAACGGATGACCCAAATCATCGCGTGGCGATATTTCCGTTAGCAACGAGACGAAGCCCTGCAAGCCACAATAGACAAGTGGTCCAAAGTTGGGAATATCATAGGCGGAGCCGCCCAGGCCCATGTCACGCTCCTCCTGATCGCCGCTGAAGAGCGCACGGCTCAACGCGTTCAAATCCAATTTGGTGACAATCGCTTGGAGATCCTCACACTGTGATCCGGACTCTGAGCGCAGAGCATTCGTCACCAGCTGCAGGCGATCGAAACTCTTGCGGGCAATGGGATGCATGGAAACGCGTATGGCGACCACTGTGCCCGGTCGCAGATTGGCAAAGTTGAGCTGCGTATTGTTGCCATCCTGATAAAGATTCGTCTCGAACACCTGCGACTTGCTGAGCGGTATATGCTCCTGCAGATGCAGCTGGAACTGTTTGAAACCATTCAGCACATTTGCATCCTTCTTAAACGGTGCCGGCGAATCGAATGGCTTGTCGCTCTTCATCGTCAAATTGGCCTCCAGAATGATCTCGTCCAGAATGCCCTCGAAACGCAACGGACGCACATTGGTCGCGCCCGCATTGGGATGTGGATAGCTGAAGGCGGTGTGTGCCACCAAAATGACCGTCTGATGAGTGGTGGGTGAATGGCGAGTCACTGCCACCACATTGGGATCCATTTGATCCACATACACCTGGGTGAAACCTTCCTCTGCCAGCTGGCCGTGGAGTATATTCAAGGCGCGCTTCGCGGCCACGATGCCCGTCTTAAAGTCGACAGCCTTTCCCCACTCCTGATACGGACGCTCCTCGTCCACCACATGAATCTGTGAAATAAATATATATATATATATATGTATAATAAACAGGTATTTGGATAGCAGTTGGGACTCACGTGATGCGGCACGAGTTCATCATAGCCGCGATTGCTGCCCGTGGCACAACAGGCCATGGCCACCAGAGCCGATGAGGGCAAGAGATCGTAGACGGTGCGTTTCTCCACTGCCGATGGATTATCGTGGGTTAAATCCATGAAGAGAGCATGCGCCACACTGGAGGCAACATCGCGATTTGGATTCGCATAGAAGCCGCCAACGGGTGCGCCACCATACCGATAAACGAGACGACCCTGCTCATGGGAATCCCAGGCGGAGAGCGCTTCGCGTATCAGTGACGTGATGCCCAGCCGATTGACGAACACATTGTCTGTGGCATCGGAATTGGTGAATAGCTCAGCGACAACATAAAGCTCCGGATTGATTTTGCGTGCCGCATCCAGCAGATATTCGGCCACATGCAGCGGCGTCGAATGGCAGTTGTCCAGGCGAACGCCATCGAAAATGCGAGCCGTTGTCTCCACATACTCGGTCATGTGGCGCCACAAATACGGACTATCCTCCGGTCGCTTGCCAAAGCGCAACTTCACACTGTCGCCCCAAGCGATGAGTTCGCGCTTCAGGTAAACATTTGCGCGCGTCGGTTGCTGTTCGGCAAAGTCCAGCAGGGGATCGCTGGTGCCCATCACCCAGCCATTGTGAGCCATAAGGAATTCGCCCACCTTGCCGTACATGTCCTGCTCGATCTCCTTGAGCGTCTTGCCCTCGGTGCCCGTGTGGGTAAAGTATGTCATGAAGACGGCATACTTTATGGAGATCTCTTTCACATGGGGTCCATCGTGCTGGACACGCTCGTAGCGCACACCAGCCAGACAATTATCGATGGCATAGCTGAGATAGCCCTGAATCTCGGCACGGACACGCTCGTTCAGCCAGTCGAGATGGTGACGCAGTGTCTCCGCACATTTGCGGAAGCGGGCCTCCTCATCGAAACAGTCGCCATGGAAAGCATTAAAGATATCCAATGCCAGCTCAAAATCAATGGTGCTACCCAAGCGTCGATATTCCGGATCCTGTATCAGTTGGATCTCCTGGAAGCGCTCATGCTTCGTCACATTCTTGGGCGGCTCACGGGTCCGCACCTGAGTCATGAACTCGTTCACATAGCCCATCACATCGCACTGATACAGTTCGTGTATATTGACCGCGGATAGGTAAGCATTATGCAAATGGTACTTTAATGCTTCCAAATGGCATTCCTGATCGATGATTACGGGCACGCCCAAATGCTCCAGCTTACCGGCGGCAATATCAGCGCCGCATTGCGCCAGTGCCGCATCCAACAAGAATGCGGGACGCAAATAGGGGCATGTGGCACACGAATAAGTTGCATCCGGATGCTTGAGCAGCCACTCCGACTCGTTGGCAGTGTGATTGAGCACAATGTCGCAAATGGAGGCAACCTGGCAAAACGTACACAAAAACGGATTAGAATTCAAAAATACTTGCGAATAATTAGCCATACTTACGCCCCATTCCTGGCGGCACTTTTTAATCATTTTCTCCACATCGTCGAAGGTTACTTTATCGCCCTTCTTAGCCGCAAAATGTGAATTGACACTGAGCTGATCACGCAGCGAATAACCAGAACGAGAGCCACCCAGCTCCTGGATGGGCGTAAAGTGGATGACATTGTAGCCAGACTCCTTGGCCACGCGCAACTTGGCCTCCCACGTGTTCAGTGGCCCCAGCAGCTTGGTCATCACCGTTTGACAACGCACCGAATTCAAGGGTATTACCTTCTGTGCACCCACGGGACCCACATTCAGCGTCGGCTCCACCTGCACATACAACGCACCATCTGGTGGAGCATCTGCTTTGCGTTCACTGCAAAAGAAATGGGAATTTGGCAAAGTGAAGTGAACTTCTAAAGCGATTCATATTTTTTAGCTCAACTCACCGATCGGCAAATGTGAAGTAGAAACGGAAAGTGCCCGAAATCTTCAGCAGCAACTCGCTGTAGATGTCTGTATCCACGACATGGACTTCTGGATGATTTTCGCTGGTGATCGGCTTGCCATCCTTTGACTGCCAGTCGAGAATGCGATATTCGGTGCGCACAAATTTCTTGCCCTCGGCGGGGTAGTTGGTGAGCAATATGATTTTACGGCCCAGCAACGAGACATCCGGATGGACGCCCAACTTGGAGCCATGTTTCAAGCGGTACAAAACATGCTCAGCATTTACGCCCTCCGCAATGGGTATGCTGTGCGATTCGATGTCCTTGCTCATTGTCAATGCCTGCTGGGAGTAGTAAGCGATACTATTTATATATGTATATACATATTAATATATATATGGTTATATATGCAATGAGTACATAGATTACCACACAGACATGATTGCCAATTCGATTCGATTGGATTCAATTCAATTCGTTCCCAATGTCACCCCAATAAAAAAAATGAGAATACAATTCAAAATACGTTCAGCTTCAGTTACATTCATTAAGATTTGTTAAGCCGCACCCAAGCTATTTCATTAATTAAAATTTATGGTTAGAGTGTCTTTTTGGCAAGTAAACAACTGCGATCAATTATTAACTAGAATCTATTTTTAATTATATCAAAAAACATTTCAGGCATATATGTATATATTTATGTGTACTACAGTCTTTTTTTATAAACTTCAAATTGCGTTAATTAGAACGATTTAAATGTCTCTCCTTGGTTAATTTAACCACTGTAGGGTAGGGATTTTTCATCCCCTTTTATTTCATGATTTTAATGAGGCAGGCGCCAATCTATTTTTAGTGAAGATAGGTTTAGCGATTACAACAGTACAGATTATAAGAAGCACACACATAGACAACCAACCGCAGGCAATGCAGTTACAACACCACAGCAGAAGTAAGTTATAGAATTACAAAAATATAGAAAATAGAAGCGTTAGCTATATATATATATATATATTTAGTAACTATATAGATAGAACACGAGGAGCACACGGCACAGACTGAAGCTTGTCGCCAGGTTTTTATTAAGTCTGTGCAATGCTTTTCCAGCACAAGCAAATAAATATGCAAATACATATGTACATATATATGTACGTCTATGTGGATGTATGTATGAATTTGTGTATGTATGTATGTATGTATGTATGTATGTATGTATGTGCGTATGTATGTGCATATTTACTACATAATTACAATCAGCGATTGTGATCATCATACCTCACTGTGGTGTTTTCGTAAAGATTCGCTGCTGCGATCGCGGTTGCTGGTGCTGCTGCTGTTGGTGATTTTAATGCTGCTGCTTTGGTTGCTGCTGCTTTTACTGCTGCTGCTTTGGTTGCTGCTGCTTTTGCTGCTGCTGCTTTGGTTGCTGCTGCTTTTGCTGCTGCTGCTGTTGCTGCTGCTGATCTGGCTGCCTGCATTCCCCATGACTGCTGTGGCACTAAGCTCATTCGCGCTAATCTTGACTGGCGCCGACTCAGTTGGCACAGCTGTTGCTGCTGCTTCTTCTTCGTCAGCATTCGCTTGCTTATCAACAGAAGCTTGCACTTTTTGCATTTGCATCTGCGTCTGCATCTGCGTCCCGCCATTTAGCGCACTGATGAGCCAGCGAAAGAGCTGATAGCCCATCAAGATGTTAAGCAGCGCATTGAAATTGCGCCTAGTGCTTATAACCAGCCACTTGATACCCTCCGAAAGCATTATTATTATTACTATTATTGTTATTATTACTATTATGTGTAATAATTATTAACGTGCTTTCGTTTTCTCTGTTTTCGTGTGAGTTTTGGTGCCGGCTGCTGTGCTAAAGCTACTGAAATCTGCGCTTAAACAAAAGCCACTTGCAAGCGTTAATTAAGCATTTTAAAAATAATCAAAATAACGATGTATGTATGTAATATGTGTGTGTATTCATACATACATACGTACATCAAGTCATGCATAAGCTTTGAAACGGAATGAATTTAAGATTGCCTTGACAACTTTATTAAAGCTTTTCTCAAAGCTTACATGCTAGCGGTAAAGTTCGTTGAGCCGTATCGATTTGAAAACTCATTACTGATATCAGTAAAACCACAAACAAAACATTAAACAATAAGTGTGCTATGACATTTTGAGAATTCTGTGAAATGAATTCCTATTTACTAAGCTAACTTAACACTTTTTCAATATACACATTTTCCCAAATCCTTAAAACCAGGTTAGCTGATAACCGGGCGGAAAAGCTTTCATCTTTTTGTACCGGTTCAAATTTACATACATACACATAATATATACAGATATGTACATGTCTGTATAACAAAATTGCATTATTTTGCAGTAGATTTGCATTTGTTTAGTCGTTTGTATAAAGTTTTAAGTCAACAACACTTTTGGCAAATAGTTTAAAAATAAAATGAAATTAAATTGCGTCCATTGACCCACATTCATCTGCATAGTATTATCTTTACGTACGAACAATAGCCCTGATCGAAAATTATAGCTTGCATAAATGAAAGAGGCCCAATACTGATCACGCATGTATTAATCACAAAAAATATGTATATATATTCGATGTAAACACTTAGATAATATGTTGTTTGTGGCACTGAACTAATGTTAAGCCTTAAATGTATTCCCATTTGATTTCATTTTAATTATTTGGCAATATTTTCAACAATACTTTAATAAATAATGCACTAACTATTTTATTAGAATTTTTTTCACCAATAACTATGATCTGCAACTCAATAAAACGTTACCAGCGAATAAATTCCTCAATTCGTTTTTTTATTGAGCTCAAGGTGACCTTTCAAGTTTTCGTGCGCGCACCAGCTGCTTCGGCTCGAGAATGTCGCACCCTCCACGGGTGCTGGTAAACAAAAATCAGCTGTGCGCCCGCATAAGTGATTTCTGCTGCCGTTGTATTGCCGTTCATTGATGCACACGTGCAACTCGTCTGGGTGCCTGTCTCGGTTTGTTTGTCTGCTAGACTGTCGGAAGCGTACAGATGACAAACGCAGAGGGCATGAATGAATTTAATGTTTACGCCAGCAATTATTATTACTTTATATATCCAATCAGCACAGTGTTTGTTGGAAATGTACAATTGACAATTTTGCGCGTATTTTCATAGGCAGGGCATTAGAATATAACTATTCTTAATTATATTGCTGCACTGCGGTAATACCAAATTGATGAAAGCATTTTTGGAATCAAACAAAGCAAAACTGGACCCAGAGAGACTAACATATACCTATCGATAACGATAGGTTACAAGCTATCGAATCTAGCTTTGCGTAACGTAAGCATACGCTAACGATCTTACGCTCGCGTTACAGCATTTGAAAATAATTCCGTTAAAACCAGTTGGAAGTTAAATTAAAAAAAAACTCTTTATATTGTTTGTAAAGCTTTTTATTACTTTTAATTGTCTTAATCGTCATATGCATACTTTAATGTATACCAGTGCGCATATTAAATATATTACATAGTAGTAGTGTACACACTAGAACAATATCTATATCAACGTATTACAACGGTTAACAGGGACACACACATACAAGTTTCTTGAAACTAATCAGCCTAATTGTGACTTAAGTTAACTGGCACTTAAGTAAAAAGCACATATTGAATCTTAGATTTGTTATTCTAGTTGTAGCTGCAAATTGCCGCAGCTGCATTTCTTATCATTTGCGCACCGTAAACACCAACGGTGCCGACTCATCCTCCTGCTGCTCGAGCAGCGTTGTTCTAATCGCATGAATTGTCTGATGATGCTGCGCCTCAACATCATCGTATTCAATGGACGAGGAGCGCAGCAGTTGAAATTGTGGCGTTGAATCATTTTTCGTAATGATCAGCGATGCGGGCCGTGGACCTGATAGACGGAATAGATCTGTGCTGTTAATGGTGAAATAAATTTGAAATATTGATTTGAACTAACCTGATGGTGGCTTGGTTGTTAGGCGACCCTTGCTAGTGCTAGCTTGGGCAGCAGTTAATTCCATTTGACGCTCCGATACATAATCCACATTTGATGCTAGCTTAGCACTATTGTTATTGTTATTATTGTTGTTTATCAGATTAGCCAGGTTGCTGCCGCTGGGCGTTGGTTTGATTGATACTCGCTTCTCGGATTTAACGCTGCCTTGTTGTTTCAATATCGAGTCGCGACGTTGTTGTATCGGTGAACCCGAGCTGTGCAACGTTGGGGTAAATAGGGGTCCAGCACTGGACAAATCGAGGTCTACAAATTACATTGACAAACGGGCGAAAAACAACATTAGATATTTACATAGTACAACAAATAAAAAGGGGAAAACACAAAAAAAAACATACATAATTAGCAGCCAGTTGCTTTTGGTTTTTTACAGACAGATTTGACATATTTGTTTTAACAATATTTTGACGACTTGATGGCAGTGAGGACCCCCTTTTATACTATTCATTAAATACAACTTACTTATATGTGCCAACACCTTTGTTAATTATTTTATTATTTATAAACTAATCAATATAAAGTGCAAATTTGTATCATGCAACAACAAAACAAAAAGTAAAATCAAACCACTTTTTACCCATCCAAAAAAGCAGGAAGGCGGTAATAAAATGTATTCTAATCAATATGTTATATATTACAAACTACAATTAAAATGCAATTATAAAAAGGTTGTTCGCATGATTATTTATTTGATATTTTCTTATAAAAGTTATTAGCTCGGTCCTGGGAGCAGCCATATGTTAAATTGTTAGTCGTTCTTGGAATTATGATTTAGATGGCAACTTAAAACTAATTTTTAATAATCGTGCAGTCAGTTTAATTTAATACAAAATAGATATCCTTAAGAGTTACGTTTTGGATATCTATCTATCTTTTTGCTAATCATGTACATATAACAACTAAAGCAATAAACAAAAATGCAACGTTTAAATCAAATTTGTAAAGCGTCTAAGCTTTTGAAACCAGCACCAGCAGCATTAAAGTATTTGCTCTAAATGACACATTTCCACATTAGGTTAGTAAATGGTTTTAAAACTTAAAATATGTACTTAGTACTATTGCAGACCTGATGTTATAACATTAATCAATACTTTTATTATTTATACTATTTTATATTAATACTTTTTAAATGTATAATATACACACTGATCATGCAGATAGTATATTATTTCTATAATTATATTTTCCGGCTTTACAGGTGTTCGTTGGTTAAGTGAAGGAAGCTCATTTTCTTAATACAGATATGTTTGGTAAGTGTATAAATATAGTATTCATCTAGTAGAGATGATCGGTTTATAATTTGGTATCGTCATAGATTATATCACTGTTGGGCACCACCACCACCGTTGGCAACGTCATAAATGCCGCCATGGGCTCGATCAGGAGCTCATCACCAATGGATGTTGGACGCTTTAAACTATGTTGACTATAATAACTACTACCAGCACCACCATCACACGCATTTATCAATTCTGTGGCACTGCCGCCATTACCCAGACGCATTTGCAGCCCACCTGAGGTGCCACCAGAGGCGCCGCCAGAACCAACGCCAGCGCCAAGACTTTGCAACGAATGCGAGCTGGCGCTGCGATTGTATTCAGTATTCAAATATTTAGCACTGCCGCTGGCCATATTGTTGTTGCTGCCACTACTGTTGTTGTTATTGTTGTTGTTATTGTTGTTGTTGGTGTTACGCAGTAAATTTGTAATTTTAAGCTCATCCGATGGCGAACCGAACTCGGATGACTCACGAATGGGTGCTAATTGCAGCTGTGCGGCAGCAGCTAACATCTCACCTGTGGGCATACCAGATGGACTGGGTCTCTCACTGCTCGCCACATCCTCGAAAGCCTCCTCGTTCAGCGTTTGCAATGCGCCACAAATCATTTGCTCCTCCAGCGTAACCTGCCCAACAGACAAACTCATTACAAATGATATTCAAACTTCATCAAAAGTTAATGATAAACTGGCAATATGAATATACCTGCAGATATTCATAATCATGGATTTTCGACTGTTTCGTTTTGGTAAGCATGATTCAGAGACAAAATTAAACACATTTATGTAGCACGTAATTCATGTCTATTATTAATTATTAACTAACCTGTTTTTCCATATGACTGACAGAGTTTCGACGCGATAGCGAAGGCTGAGCATCTGTTACGTCCCTGATTACCGGCACATTTGGCACCGTCTCTGTAATTGCGGGTTGCGGGCGTATTTTCCGGGGCATTCTCTCAACATCGCGCAACGTTGTGATTAGCAAACGAAACAGCTCCCAATGGCCAAAGCTCAGTCCCAGCACCTGCAAGCCGGTATTGGTTAATAAACTTGAAGTTTCATTTGTAAATTTGTGTTTTCAATTTACCGCCTTCAAATCCGTCAGCTCACAATGCTTGAGGACGCGACCGTTGATTGCATTTTCGCGCAGGATTGGCGCCAGTTTCTGTAGCGTTGGCTTCAGATCCTCAATGCGCTCCAGCAGAGTGATGACGCCCTCAACGGTGAGGTCCGTCAGCCTCGTTTGCAGTACATCATCCTGTTATATATAAATAAAACAATTATGATACAAAATGATACTCCAAATTGAATGACTTACGCCAAAGGAATCGCTGGGCGATGAAATCAGCGGTGTCTGTGGCTCAATGGTCAGATTACGCGATCGCAGCTCATTGGCAACAAACTCGTTCTGCAGTATTTGATAAGGCGGATAGCCTTGGGGCGAGGGCACATAAGTTGTGGGCGCTGGATGCGAACGGATGTTATGGGATATGCTGGGACGCGTCTGCAGGACAAGCGAACCTTCGTCCTCGATGATTTGCTGATCCTCTGTAAAAGAAATAACCATTTCAAATAGACTGCTTAATGAATTATCGGTGTGCTTACCTTTGAGCACCTTGCGCAGATATGGATCGAGATTGATTGTAAATGGCAAGAATATGCGCAAGTCCGCAACGAGTAAATCGGATTTATGCAGCTGCAGAAACGCATCCAGTTTGCGCTCATCTCGGTCCAATTCCAGCAGTGGAGCTGCCTCACGCAAACATGTCAGTTTTGGACGCACTCTGAAAGAAGTAAAAATGAATGATAATAAAAATGTGAACCTTATTTGATTCAAGTAGTTCGCTTACTTTTCATAGACGCTCTGCAGCGAGATGTTCTCATCGGCATTGGTGTCCATAAATTGATCGTGATGCAGGACAATCATGCTGGCGCGCAGTGGCCACTGTTCGGTGAGATTAATCCACGAGCTGAGTCGATACCAGCTAAAATCAATCTGGAATGCTTTCAGCAGCCGCACCGTAATATAGATGACATTCATCAGTCGGCGCATGCTACGCGGATTCACATCGCTGAAATAGTCATCGGTGAGCACAATGCGAGACAAGTCGACGACGCCTTGCGGATTCTGACCGAGTCGATGCAAATTGGAGCCAATTGAGCTGGCCACGGATTCGGATAGACGCAATTTCTTGCCAGCACCACCGGCGCCACCGGCGCCACCACCAGGACCACCGCGTTGTTGATTGTGTGGGGTGCGCAGCTTCTCCTGGCTGGACATGATCTCCGAGGCGTTGGACAATCTACGCGCCGACACCGAATGGCCCAGTGTTGGCAAATCATCGCCCTGATAGTCTGCACCGCCGCGCTTAAACAACAGCGCCGTCATCTGGGCACGCTGCACTTTACGCAATCCGGAATTCTGCAGATAAACCGGCAGATGGACCAAATTGCGCAGGAAATCGTGACCACCAATGCCGCCCTCGGTGAACAGACGTCGACTATTCGCCTCGGCTGCCTTTGCAATCACATGCGGATCCACCGAGATGAGCAGCACAAACGGTCGATTCGGAGCCGAGAGAAGCGTCTGGACAGCATTCAACAGTGTCAAGATGCGCTCCGTATCACAAGAGTCCAGCGCATCGATAACGCCCACCAGGCGACTCTGCTGATTCGTAAAGGCATCCAAACACTTGACCATGTCCGTCAACACGGCCACCTCGGCGCCGAGCATGGTCAACGGTGCATTCTCATTGGAGCGCACGGCTCGCTTCAGTTGCCGCTTGTGCGAGATGAACAGCGATCCACAGATTTTGGCCAGCACATGCAGATGCGTGCAGATCAGCGTCACCAGCACCGCAGCAATCACATAGATGGCAACCAGAATCTTCTCCCGCTCAGCTGCTGTTGCATACGTGAAGTAGGCAATTGTGAGAGATATGCCAGCCACCAGGGTGATCAGACCCAGTTCGAAGAGCAGCACAATGGGCAAACAGCACATACGACGCCAACGCCAGCCCACATCCATTTTCAGGCACTTGGGTCGAAAGGCACGATACAAGCGTGTGGACAGCCAGCCATAATGGGACTCTGCAATATGCAAATGAATGGATTAGAATCTTTAAAATCTTCTTCTCAACATGAACAATAGAAATCATCTATATTCTATGACAAATACCAATTCATCATCATAATCCTCACCTATTGCCTCCAGCAGGGCGGCCAGCATGTGAGCAACGGCGCCATCTCCAGTGGGTGAGGCGCTGCTTGCTTCCGCAAAGTGAAAACGCACGGGTTTGGGCTGCGTGTCCGCCTGTGGTCCAGGCGGATGACAGAAGGCCACCTGCATTATCAGACGCAGCCGTGTGATGCGCTTCTGCAGTCCATGCAGCACCGAATAGGCCCAAAACATGTCCATTTGATAGTTGAAATATTTGGTCGCCGCCAGCAGTATATAAGCCAGAACCAAAAAGAGTACAGCAGCTAATAAGCCCCATAACACTGACCAGCTGCTCAAGCCCACAATCGTTCCGATTAGCAGCGATATATGCAGGCAGACAATGAAGAGGAGGCCGCTGGTCTTCGCTGGCGGCTCCGCCCACTGTTTGGCAAAGTTGTTCATCTCCTCGCGCAGTTTGTTGAGCAGAAAACTTTTGCCACTGCCCCACTTGGCGTAGAGACCAACCGTAATCGGTGTGGTCAACGTGGGCTCGCTGAGCACATCGGCTAACGCGGAGGAGTACAGCTCATAGCCGAGCATGCCCTCAGAGTCCTCGTTGGTATTCAGGCGTCGTGCGCCAAACACCTGACCGAGTATCGTCTTCTGGTGCAGGGAGTCAATGTTGTAGGGTGTTTCGCCTGCCTTGTTCGCGCGATATAGCAGCTGGCTGTGTTTCGGATTACGGAGGAGTGCCTCCACAATCGCCTTGGAGCGGGCACGCATCGCAATGTGGAGGCAGGTGTCGCCACGCTTATCGCTCGCCGTCACCTTGGCCTTGCGATCGAGCAGCATGTGCACAATGTCCAGATTGCGATTGCGTACGGCACGTAGCAGTGGCGTGTCGCCGTCTTTGGTGGATGACTCCAGGTCGGGATTCGTTGAGAGCAGCACTTTCACAACCGCTGTGTGACCCTTTTCCACCGCCGTATAAATAGCCGTCTTGCGATCCTTGCCCTGTATATCGACATCAGCGTGCTTCTTGAGCAGCGCCTCGACCACAGTCCGGTGTCCACCCTTGATGGCATGTATCAGTGGCGTATCGCCACCACGATCCTGTATATTGATGTAAGCGCCGGCGGCAATCAGCGATGCAGCAATATCCTGGAATCCTTCACGACTGGCTATGCTCAGCGCAGTCATGCCATCCTTGTCCAGGGCATTTACATTTGGCTTCTTCTCCAATATGGAACTGACACAATCTGTATGCCCGCCAGCGGCAGCGACCAACAGCGGTGTCCACGAGTACATGCCAGCGGTGTCCACATTGGCGCCAGCCTTGAGCAGCGTGTCCACAATCTCAACGTTGCCCCGACGGCAGGCCCACACCAACGCCGTAGTGCCATATTTATCGCCCACATTCACCTTGGCGCCACTTTGCACCAGCAGCTCAACGACGTCCTTGTAGCCGCGACCCGCTGCCCAGAGCAATGCGCCGAGATGATAATTGCCATGCGCATTGCCATCCGCTCCCTTGTCCAGCAGCAAACGCACCAGATCCGTGTGTCCCCGATACGAAGCCCACATCAGAGCTGTCCAGCCGCCCTGCAGGAAAACAAATACTGAATTTCACAATTTTCTAAGAAAAGGCGAGGCATTCTTACCATATCGCGATGCTCGACGTCGGCGCCATGGTCCAAGAGCAGTTGCACCACATCCAAGTGTCCGTTGCGTGTGGCACACAGCAATGCCGTCCAATTGTCTAAATCCTCCGCTTGCACATCGGCACCACGAGCCAAAAACTCACGCACAAATGGAGTCAGGCCGCGACCGGCAACCACCATAAGTACCGTTGTGGAGTTCTGATAAAAAAATCAAAGGTTAAAGGTTAAAGTAATATAAAATAAATAAAAATGTGATATTTCAGAATGTTTAAGGACATTTTTTTTAAAGATAAACAAAATAACATCATTTAATGAAGATATAAAAAAATAAAACTGGAATGTTTTTTTTTAATGATTTAATTTTTATTTTATTTGTTATTTATTTATTGTTTATTACTTATTTACTATTTATTTATTATTATTATTTATTTATAGAAGCGCTACAAGTATGCAACTTAAAAGTTATTGCGCAAATCACAAGAAATTTGAATTAAAACAGATAATAAAATTAAATAGATTTAAATATAATCAAATTAAAATTAAATGTTTGCGCACTTAGGTAGTTAATTAAATAAATTGATATACCTTGTCATTGTTATGTTTTCATTTAACAATTTAGTAGCAATTTTTAGCATAAGTACGAGTGATCTAGCCGAGACTCAAACCTGAATGTACCTATGCATGTCTTGGATATGAAATTCCAACACATTAAAAATGCATGCTAACTAGGTACATATGTACCAACGGTCTGCATGGCTGCATTCTAAGTTGAGCGCCTCCATTGAATTGAATAATATATATATTGAATAATAAGTTAATACATTGAATATCATTGGATGTGATCAGAGGGAAAGAAAGAATTCAACGACAAAACAATCAATTTACTCAAAGTACAATGAATGCGGAATTAAATGGCACAGGTGCGGTCTAGTTTCCTGGCAAGATGACAATAAATAATATATTTAGACAATATGCCTAAGCACACACGCATAAACAACAATAAAACAAAAATTAAAGACATTCATAAAATAGTATACAATAACCACCCCTCACTATCACGATGGGAAACGTGATTTTCACAGGCATTTTCAATGTTTTTAGAGGTTATTAAAACCTTGAGCTGCCGAAATCTGATCAAAGAGCGCTTTTGTAATGTGACAACAAATCCATATGCATATGTTAATAAAATCATTTCTCTGATATTGACTGACTGACAATATTACACTCAATTTTCTCATATTGATACTAACAATTAGCTGTCGATGCGCGACAACACAACATATTTCAGTACATATTCTTTAACATCAGTTAAAAACGCTCTTCAGATCTATGTGGATCAAGGTGAATCTTATTTCAACTTTTATGAGATAGCTGTCAATCACTTACCTCATCGCGATCATCGATGGTTAGATGACGACTATCGAGTATAGCGCGCAGACCGGATATATCATTATTATCAATGTACTGAAGCAGTGCGCGATGTCCGAGCGAACCCATGGAATCTCCGTATCGATTGATATTCTAAATGTAGACAGAAAGTAAATTTAAATAATTGTCTCTTGTATGTTTGCAAATAATTAATAAATAGCATGCAGTCCATTTTCCGAGATTAGTTTTTGTTCAACTTAATTGGGTTGTGTGGGGCAGAGTGGGAGTGGGGTTTGAGTCTTTTCATTAGGTTACATCAATGCAAACTTATGTTAATAAATTTTAATCAGCATACCAAAAAGAACTTTCATGTCTGATAAAAAGAACACAACTGAACTACACCTAAGAACTTTTAATTGTGATACGCACATTCAGCAAAGGTAAGCAATAAATAGAATTTTTGAGGGCAATAAAATAAAGAGACAAAGATTGTTATTTATATAATTTTTTACAAAGCGATTATAAATATATATTGATTTGGCATTGCCAGAGAAACAATGTCATATTGATAAGAAATGTCTCGAAGCGAGTATCATTGATAAGCTTGCATTTCATTGGGATAACTTGGCCTGTCAACACTCAACAGCTTAGACAGCGAACTGTCCGAATTTTAATACCAGTTTCTCGAAAAATAAAACATTTGATAGTGGCGCCTAATAAATCTTAAAAAAATAAAAACGTATCCACACCGCACCACACACTTTTAAATTCGTTCTCTTTTGATTTAAATACGTTTTTGTGTGATTATGCATATTTTATGATAGCGCTAGAAAGATTAGAGAATTTGACATGGTTAAATAAGCATCAAACCACTCACGTTTTGCAGTAGCTTTAAAGACAAATACGTTTTCACTTTTTGTATTAAAATGCTCTAAATCAAACAAACTAACTGTCTCAGTTGACAGTTCTAAAATAAAACCGGTGATTTCATGGGGTTCTCAAGAGCAAAGCACAGAAAATGCCGCAGAAGAGGTCGCATCTTGAGTGCATCAATTCGATTTCGTAGTTTTGTCTGAGGCCGGAAAATAATTATTAACAACGGTTTGTAAACAGTCGTTAACAGCGTTAAGTTTTCCACTAAGTAAGGGTATTAGTAAAACTGTTAGTAAGTACTTCTGTTTTATCTATCTATCTATCTATCTATCTATAATGATAGTAAACACTTAAGATTAATTGGCGGCGAATACTAAACACTTTTCTTATTATGATAGTTCTACTTTGTAGATATCAATAAAAGCCAATGCCTATCTGAATGACCTTTAGAGATGATTACATAAATTATTGTGGAATTTGCATTTTTATATTTTTCATTTTTGATGTACTTATGGATAATGAGTTTAAAACTGCGTTTTTCATGCTATTTATAAAGTTCAGAATATTTATAAACAATTTACACAAGTGGCTTAAATCTATAAAAAGCATAATTTTAATGCTGCACAATCTAATATTTAAATACTTTTGGTAGCACAGAACGTTGATTTTTCTTAGCAAAGAAATGCCACACATAAAAATATTAATAGATTTTTTTTGACCACTTTGAAGTTTAGTGCGGATTCCATATCCAGATGGGTGTATAGACATATTTAACAAATAACTTAAGACTTAATGTAAATGATTACTAACACTTTTCGCTTTTTTCTTTGTCGGTGAGCGCAGATTATTTAAACTTAAACGCGATGCGCTTAGAATCAACTCGTCCAAACTTTTGGATAGTTTCATTTTGTTAACTCGTTTTCTTGGCACTGCAACGCGATCTGCTTTATGCAGCTGATGATGATAAATATTTGCCAACGAAATGTTTTATTTATTTAAGACAAGATAAAACACATGATTTACAAAAAGTGCAATGATTGCTGTGGCACCAATAAAAACTAGATACACGTAATTAAAACTGTCGCTAAAGAACGCGTGCCTTTCAATTAACACAAGTTGCATGTTAAATGCTTTACAGCATTTTTTTGTTTTTTGTTTTGTTTTTAATTCGTATTTATTTTTTTTCTTCGTTTTTTTTTAATGCTGTTTATTAATTTGTATCTGAAAGAATGCTTCTGCGCGCCACAAGCGATGGCCTTTGAATGCGCGACGAACGAAGCTCAGAGCGCTGAGCAGCTGAGCAGCTGCCATGTGCAAGCTGCTGCTGCTACTGCTGCTGCTGCTGCTGCTATTGGTTTGGTCGGTTTTTGGACGACTGCTGGACTGGTCGACTGCTGCTGCTGGGCTATGGTCTCGGGCCTGGTATCGGGTATCGCATGACGCTGTTGCTTATCAACAGACCAAACTGCCGCAACCCGCCTTCCCGCTCACTCACTCACTCTCTCTCTCACTCTATCACGTCACAAACGGTGCGAATTCAAGCGCGTTCGTAAAAAAAAACAAAAACAACAACAACCAAAATGTAAACTTAAAACTCGAAACGCGGCACTGATTACAACTCCAACTAAGAGGCTCACACAGCGAGAGCGAGAGCGAGAGCGACGGGGGAAACAAATTTAACTACAGAGAGTTAAGTAGATACATGGATATATGATTGTTGGATACGTTTTGCGCGGCACTCTATGAAATGCTGTAATTTGATTTTAGTGTGTGTCTGTTCCGCAGCCACACACCACAACAAACTTGTTTGCCAATTTGGCTACATTTAGGCTGCATCAAAAACGTAGTTTTCCTTAGCGTTTAAATAGCCGTCATCAAATGTATTTTTCCTTAGCCGCCGCACACGCTCTTAACTTGAACACGCACCGCCACCGACTGACTGTCTGACTTTGGAAAAAAAACAAAATAAACAACATACACTGAGACTAAGACCAAGTGACCAATGACCAATGACCAATGCAGTTTAGCTGGAATTCTACTCTTTAAGCCACAAATGCTGCCGTTTTTTTGCACACAACTGCGCACATAAAAAGTTTCACTGGCATTGAAAATGGCCAACTGCAGTTAACCGCAAGTTGGCAAACACCCAACCTTAGTTGCATTTGTTAATTGATTAATCAATTTTCGTTCAGTTTTCCGCTGTTGACCATTAGTTAATTGAAAGTTACGCTGTCTGTAATTTAGAAGATAAACGCATACCATAAATTCAAATAATTGCCAAACTAAACAAGTCTTCTTACTTATATTCTGTGTATTTGTGTATTTTTTATCTTATTTCTCGCAGTGAAATTGGGGATTTTTTTAGCCGTTGTGGTTAAAAAAATCACATCTTATTTGGGTCAACTGCATTAAAGCGTCCCTTGATTAAAGTTGGCAGCGTGCAAGAGTCAACTTTCTGGTATGCAAATGTGAAAGCAATATTAATTAATTCTTGATCAGCCAATTGGGTTAAATTTGTATCACTAAGCCTCAATTTCACACTAACTCTAATAAAAAAAAAGCAATGTAATTATATAAAAGTATCATTTATATTTTCCTTATTTACTTTTAGGTAATACATTAATGTCCCTCTACAAATTTCTGATGGACAGTTAGCGATATTATTCAGACATTTCATAAACGATTACCAAATTTAAAGTTGATTTGATGGTAAGTTTTATCTATCGCATGACGCAGTAAAGTATTTGAGTAGTTTACCTTTTTGGCAGCACGCAATTAAAACATTAAGTTCCAATGACCATAAAGACACAAGGGATAAAATAGGATCATTTAGAAACTATTTGTTAATTCATAGAACACTAAAAAGTAATTGTTATTCATAGGCAACAAGCTTAAAGTTGCAATGCAGAGTAACCCACAAGAACCACAGGCATGGAAAGAACATTTAGCTTGTCGCATATGAGAGCTGCAGAGAAGATAAAAATAACAACAATCAACAAGCGAGCAAACAACAAAAAGTAGCTTCGCATGTTTTATTTTTAGATGGAAGTACACCAGCAGAGAACCAGGCCAGGACAGGTTACAAGCGCACTGGACAGGCAAGCAAGGACAAGGGTTAGAAGCAAAGCAACCAAACAGCCAAACAACCGAACTGAATATCTGTTAGACAGGTAGTTGTAGTAGTTATGGTAATGGTAGTGGTAGTGGTAGTGGTAGTGGTAGTATATAAAAATAGATTGGATTGAGTGTGGAGTAGTACATGGATGTGGGAGAAGCGACGCAGCGCCAGATTGAAGTGACTGAAACGTCGTGTCGTGTTGGGTGTTGTGCTCGAATCGTGTTGAAGATCACTGCCGCTGGCGCTGATGCTGACGCTGCCACTGCCACTGCCGCTGCCTGCATCCCCATTTAACTGCTGCGGGCCAAAGCGTTCTGGGGTTAGCGAACGTGCTCGCGCTGGCGAAGGCGATAAAGTGCCTGCCACACTGCAACTGCCACTGTTGTCCGTCGTCGACGTCGTCGTCGTTGTCGCTGTTGTTGCATCGGAGTTCTCAAAGTTGATGACCAGGCGCGGCAACGAGGCATGCGGCGCAATCTCATTGAATCTTCTGCTGCTGCCGCTGTCGCTGCGCCTGCACTTCTCATCGACGCATTCGAGCAGCGGCCGATGCAGCGACTGCACATCCGTATCATGTAAGACACGCACCAAGGCGCCAATCGTGCGCTGCTTGCTTGCCACATTGGTCTGTGTTGAGCTGGCTTTAGCTGCTGCTGCTGCTGCTGTTGCTGCAGCATTTGCATTTGCCATCGTCTTCTGTGGGTCAGATGCTGACGTTGATGTCTTTGTTGTTGCTATCGCTGTTGTTGGCTTTTTGATTTTAAGCTTGAATAACGCTTTATCATCCGACTGCATGTTGCGTGTGCTCCTCTTCACTCTTGCTGACACAAAGAGTATGGCGTGCGAACACTTTAGGTTTATCTCGCAAGTCTTGCGCTGTGTTTATGACTCGAACAACAATATTGAGCGCCCCTCCCCCCTCTGGCTGTGTGAACAGAGAGAGAGAGACAAAGAATGAGGGGAAGAGAGCGAAACAGAGAGCTGCAGCTGCCCTCTTGGTCGAAACTGATTAGTTATTATGTATTTCAGTTTCATTTTGTGAATTTCTTTTTGTATACCCTGCATTAAGTCGCATTTATTTTGCAGTCGTTTCTCGTTAGCATTAGTTACTTTGACAGGTTTAATTGACTGAAATTATGGGGACATATCAAACAAATTGTTGAATGGACAGTTACTCAGTGAGAGTAATATTCATACACAGTACTCATGAATCAAGAAGGAAAAAACTTGTTAACCGCTTATGCTGCATATACACAACTTTGTATACATGAATCAAACAAAAACAATTACTGAGAGCTGATTGGTTGGAGAATAAGAAAATTAATTAAACAATATGTGTGTGGATAGGGAGAAAGATTGCCTTATCTGGGAAGGGGGAAACCAAACAACTGACTCTGATTTTGAGAGAGTCTATTCTTCATAAGAAAAGTAATGGGAATAAAAAGGAAATAATAATAATAATAATATTAAAATTAAAAATTGAGCTTCCTAACTTGGGATGGGATTACCAAATAGTTCATTCACTCATTTATTATCTTATAAATAATTATTGCTTTGTACATGTATACTTATCTACATTGTACAGAATAACAAAAATCACACAACTATTATATATAATACTTTAAGTAGTTTTTTTGTTATGATTATAGCACACACACCTCGGATTCGCCCGGATGCGTTTTTAAACGGGCTTTAAACATTTTGGTCAAACTTTCGCCGCTAAGTTCCGTTTTGAAGGAATTTTACTGAAAACTATATTGAAGCTTTTATCTGGTATCGACCGCTTGCCAGAGACGTTCTATGGAAACTGTCGGATTTAGCCCGCAAGCAAGTGCCATATATGTATAATTGCACAATAGCTAAGCAAAGTTTGCTTTTGACTTTTAATTAATAGAATAAATATGTGTCTCACAGCTTCACCGATAAGCCCACGCAGATAGGCAGCGGATATTAAACAAAATGTATACTTCGTATTTGCCAATATGCAAACTTTGCCTTTAACCAACAGATTTACGCTACTATTATCATTTTGTATTTATTTCTTTCGATTTTTTTAATATTATTTTCACACTTATGCGAATATAAAAGCTCTGAAATATCCACGACGACGCGTTCCAGGCTACGAATCAAATAAAACTGAACAAAAGACTGTGACTTTGAGTGAAACGGCCCGTGGAGGGCATTTGCTCAGAATGCCGACTTTAATTATGACAGGCCTACTTTACTCTACTTTATTACGACTGACAGTGAGTGTCAATAGTAATTTACGGCCTGCTAGGCAGATGCGTCCAAGTTACGTATAGAAATATGTACGCTGATACACTATTTATGTATCTATAATTTAGATAATAAAGTAGTAGACATATATTTATTATAAATGCCAAAACTATGACTAAAACAGTATTGCTTTTGAAAATCGATTCACTTTTGACGAAGTTATGGCTGTGGAAATGCATACTTTTGGGCTGTTGAAAAACAAACTATACTTTCAGGGTTGTCGATCAACAGATTCATTTACTAAATTTACTCACATTTCGCGGCAAGATCAACTGTCATAATAAACCTGGTTACATAAGCACATTTGCATTGACAGTAAACAGATATGAATAATAATTAATATATAAGCAGAAGCTCATATTTATAATGTGTGTATATCTAAAATTACAGTTCGTAGAATTCTAATCAGTATCCAACTATATACAGACGTGTACACACATGTCTGTATAAACATTTGTTTATTTTGACTGCTGGCTGTCTGGCTTCCCACGCGAAAGAAACAACTTTGTTGTTATCAGAAAACCCAAAGAGTTCATATTAAAACATATGTTTGAGCTAATCTTTGACAGAAACCCACCTGAATGGAGTTACCGCTACGACCAAAGGAGCTGCGAAAAAAACCAAATGGAAATATGCTTCCATAGCCAGCAGAATCGTGGCGCTCATGGCCGGAACTCGTTGTCGGTGGAGTTGTGGAGTGCGCCGAGAGTGGGGGATTTAGCGGTGACATCTCGGAGTAGGCGCGACCCAATTGATTTAACTTGGGCGTGCGACTCATTTTGCAACGTTTGCTTTGGATTTGCAGTGAAAATATTTATACACAACACAACAGTACACAGACAAATGGAAGCATTAAGTTTGTAGTACATATACAGATATATAGTTTCCGTTTAGCACAGATTATTCAGTTGAGAGCAATTATTTGCGAGCAAATATTGATTTGCTGCTGATAACCCATTTTAAGCTAATTACGTTTTTGCGTTACGTTTGCCACTGCACCGATTCAACGGAATTAAATATTAATTATTATTGTTTTGGTCTTTTTGTTTTTTTTTTTTGGTTTTTAATTCCGCTTGTAAAACGCTGTGAATTTGTCGAGCACACGCCACGCGCACGGAAGAAAAACTAACCGCAGCCAACCAGCCGTGCCGACTTTCTGGACAGACAGCGCAACAGCAACAAATGCAGCTCAAAATAAAAACATATGCCTAGGCACTCTGCTCACTTATTTATACCCTCTTACTAACGACACATGTGATTTAGATTTTTGCTCATGTGTTTAATATTTTATAATTATTCGCAAGATAAGCTCGTCTATAGGATGTATGCATAATTAAGACAGAGATTAACGCCTTTAATGTCATACTCTCTTTGCATATACTCAACAAAGTTTAGACTTATTCACAGGGTATCCGCTACTCGTCAATATTCTTCACACAGCGTTTCTCTGATAAAATACAACAATTTAGCGCAACATTAACGGCGCTTATATACAAAAACACATATGCAGAAAGCACAAAAAAAAGCACGAGCACACACACAAATACACACACATATATATATATATATATATATACAGCAACTAAATGACTAGCCCCAAAAATGAGCAATGACAATAGTTACTAAAATACGTACATTTGTATTTGGTTATCGTAACAAACAAGTGTTGCTGTTGTCATTTTTGTACGGCATCAATTCACTCACAGCACCTTTCTCCCTCTCTCTCTTTCTCTCCGTCTTTCTCCCTCTCTTCATCTCTCTTGTGTATTTGCACTACACTCTCTGGTTTACTGATGTTCCAGACTGAGAACGATCTCGTTGACTGATAAGAAAGCCGGGCAACTGTCTGCCATCGTAAAACACACAAATAAGGAAAAACAAAGTACAAAAAGTACATTGATATGTACATAACTAGGTATGTATGTTTATTATTTAAACGCATTGTTTGTTTTACCGTAACCTTAACGACAGCAACGCAACTACAACTGAGCCTTCAGAAGGGAAAGAGGGCGTGTCCATTATCTAAACACAATACACTTTTCCAGTGAATGTACAGCTACTGGATAAGGCTAGGTAATAAGAAGCCAACAAATATTGTTAATTAAATCTTTCAAGAAGCTATCAGAAATCTAATAATCTAATATGCTCCATTAATGAAGAAAAAGTGTATTCAGGAAACAACAATTTCAAGCAAAACGGAGCAGATTATGTAGGTCAAGCAGAAAGGATAATTTGCTGTTGCTTGGCTGCGACTTCAAGAATGCCAACTATATAAAATGTTGCATACTTTACGGCGGGTGCAGAAAATACAAGAAATTTGAGTTTGGTATGCGGAGCCCTGACACAATAATAAATTCTATGGCATTCTTTGGTTTATATCGAAAACTAGCAACAAAAAATTCGCTTTTTCGATTCGAGTCTAATAAAATTATATGCAACAATATATTTCCGAACCGAATTTTGTCTGGCTTTGTGTGGCATGAGAGCGATGTCAACAGTTCCCAGAATAGCTGAGACAGAAACAATGCACGAGAAAACAATCATTTCGCTTTGATGTTCTGTCATTAAGGCATATTTGTTGAGTGCCTGTGTGTGAGTGCATTCCAAGAAGTGTCAAGTAACAAATGCAACTACAATTGTTGACTCATTCCTAGTAATTCAATAGATGGATGCATGGAATAAAACTCACTTGCGTCATGAATGTTCCCTCCGTGCTGTGTGCCTCATGGTTTTCCACAAACTGTGATATGGAATAAATTGGAACATTTGCAAACATTTTTGATAAATTACTTGAAAGACTCTCAACTGACACTTGGGCGGACATCAATAATATCTGTGACACTTTCAGAATTTCGTAGCTAACTGCCAAATTTTTTTGGCCAATTGCTGCCAAGAGTTAATATAATTTATTAGTCTGGACACTTGTGAACACACAAATTAACATCAATTTGTGGCACATTAGTTGTATTATTACAACTGATCGACGCACAAATACCCTTTATATATTTATTATTATTACCCTTTGCTGAACATATGTTAATAATAATAAGAAAGAATTTTCTTATCATATTTAAAAGTACATCGGGGAAACCACAATTTAATGCAGACGTGGAAACATTTCCCAAGACTCCTTTTAACAATTATATACAATAAATAAAGAGCAGATACCCTGTCTAGACTATTCGTGCAGTCGAATGGTTTGTATGTACTTAGAATTAATCTGATAAATGACAATATAAATTAGCACTCAAAAGTAAATAACAACGTTGTATAATGAAGATCAATTTCAGACTAAGGGAAATGTTTGATGACACTTTAAGTAAAAGCGCAAAACTAATTTTAAATTACAACTTCATCACGCGTATTATAGAAACTATAATATATTGATATCGACAAAATATTGAGAGGTGGCATTAATCACAAAAACACTGCAATCTTTTGGCAAATGCACTGACAACAAGACGCAAGACGCCGTCAGATTGCCATAACAAAATTTATATGCTGAACATATCTAGACAACAAACTCGCTTATCACCCAATTTCGTTGATAAGCTCGGTGAATGTGTGCCAACCATAACCAGTTGGTAAATAGACAGAATGCCACAGACAGAAACAGTGGAGATTAAGTGCGCTTACTTTCGAGTATGCTCGCATTATGACAAATTCATTTCCATTATGACTGATCACAAAGACAACTGACCCCATCATGGTAGTTATAAGAAGGAAGTGGTTTGATTTTTCAATTCCGCCTATTAAATACTCATTAACTCAGTTTTCAGTGACAAATGGATTGATTACTAAATACAATTTAATGAATTGTTTACTAAATACTTTTCAAATGAAACTACTTTAACAATACTTAGAAGAATTTTAAATATGTTATACATATAAAAAAATGCAATACCAAGAAACAACTAAGATACTTTACGAGAGCATTACAAGAGATTTACAGATCTCAAAGAACGATTCTAAATTTGTAATTATGCTTTATTTGTTGATATTGATAAATAATGTATGAGATAATAAATAAATATATACGTATAAATAAGTAAATATTTATTAATTGCACTGACTGTGCAAAAATTGCTCCAATATTTTAATATTCATTATATTTTGCAGTACATAAAAACTACAGACAAGCAAATTGATTGTTCACACACATTATTATTGTACAAAATTAGCGCCTCAACCAAAAATCATGACGACGCATAATTATATATAAGTTAGCGGACAATTGACGACAATTGCGTGGGGAATGTATCTAAGGATTCGTGATTTTACTAAGCATTAAGTCAAATACCAAATATTAAATTATATAATTTGCGATAGTTTTGTTGATTAACTGCAAAAATAAAAATGGTGAATTAAATAAAATACATACTAATTATATAATTAGTATGATTGTAAGGTTTTATATATAAATATATATCCAAAGTGAATGACACTCACCAATTGGACTAATCAAGGCTTGTTGTTGTTGTAGAAACGATTTACCGATATTCAAAAAGTTGGCGCGAAAAACAAAACACTCTCACCAGGATCAAACACATTGACAACAACAAACGACAGCTGAGCGAGCACAGCTGAGCGCTTGCCTGAATCTGTATCTATGTATACACTGTATATGTGTATATGTATGTGTGCACACGCACGTGTGTTCTTGTTGTTGTATGCGAGTTTTGTATGTGGCGACAATGAAACGTCGATAAAAAGCGATTATTTGTTTCGCTCACGTTTTCTTTTCCACTATTCTCTTAAACCTAAGCACTTTCGGTAGTACTAGTTAAAATTATATAAGTTATATGTAAAACAAAACAACGGGTTTTATGTATTTTAAATAAACTGTCACGAACACACATTAAACTATATGTATAATTATATACATATATTCACGTACAAATATACAATGTACATATACATTGGCAGAGACACCAAGCAGCACTCGCATCACACTGCGCGAAAAGCGATTCGTTCACTGTAATTCACACATTTTGCACGGTTTACATAAGTAAATTTTAATACAATTATGAAACTATGCTCTACATGCTCTATTATAATGTGTACTATTATTAAATATAAATTACATATATGGCAACCGAACACACAATTCTCGATGTTCGCTGCGGTTTGCTACCCAACAAACAATGGCCAAGGCATTGACGGATTTTCATTCAATCGAGCAGTTGCCGAAGTGTTTGCTTGGCACTGGTCTGATGCCAAACGTTAAAAACGTTGCCAGATTGCCAAATGGCAAAATGTGCATAATTTTGACAAACGCGCCACAGCAAGCAGTCTTATGATTATCGATATACGATGTGCCAAAACAAAACTTTCGTCGAGTTTTTATTTGTAATATGTGCTTAGAACGCCAACAGCAACGACTTACATATACATATATATAAATATATGTTTACCAAGCTGACTTTTATGCCTCCTACATTTTCAAAGCTCAATATACAAAACGATTAACATTGATAGCATTTGTGTAATTTCGTTAAAAAGTTGTTCCTTTATTCTAAGACACGATCTCCGACACTTGTCGACAACAGCAACAAGAACGAATTTCGGGGCGACGAATTTACAATTTAACAGGCTTTGGCTTGCCCTGCTGGCTGGCGACGCGCTCCTTGTAACGCTTCACTGCCTCCTCGCGGGACAAGTTGCCCTTACGAGCATAACGCTGGTTGATCAAGAATTTGACATCCATCTGTGGAACGACATAAATTTTTAGTTGTTTTCATTTTGGATTTATCTCAAAGTTAGACTTACGCCCAGGCAGGACTCGTGGCGTTTGCGCATTGGACGCTTGATGCCATTGCGATGCGCCTTCTTGTTCTGGTTATGATTTGTGTGATTCTTTGACTTGGCCATTGCGAATTATCAAACTGTTCTTGGAGCGGGCGGCAACACAACATGAAAACAGAAAATATTCATTAGAACACATAATTTATAGCCCATTTTATTCATTAATAATTGCAACAGTTGCCGATGCGTTATTATAATGCAATTTTTTGTAGATTTCTAATTGATATTTATTTTACTGGCGACCTACGTTTTTGACAGCTCAGCGGAAAAGAAGATGAAGAAGCAGCGTCACTATCGATAGTTGCCAACAAGTCGCACTGTCTTATCGATATGTCGACACTAAGCAGCTGATTGTTTTGTTCAAAAAGATGTGGCAACCCAATAACCATCACTGAATACTAAAAACCAATTCAATAATACGCAATTCTATTGCCGATTTCGAAAGTTCTTTAAAGTTAAATTCTTGTTTGTTGTATAATATATATAACATTAAATTTGCGTAAATTTGGTAAGTGAAGCAGCAGCATTAAAGGACATGTTTGTTTGAGCTTGCTATAGTATTTGAATGTGTGCGTGTGTGTGTGTTTGGAAGCGGGTAGCGGGTGAGAGGCGAAGAGGCAGCTATGAGTCATCATCTAAAACAAGTTATCACGAAAACAGCTTTGTTTTTTTTCTCCCTCTTTCTGTTTTTTTTTTCAGTAATCAGTCTGACGTCATAATTTGAAGGAAAAAAATGAAAATATCTGCTGCTTCCGCTGCTGCGCTCGCCAGCAACACAAACAGTAATAATTCCAACGCCGCAGCGATCATACCGAAAACGGAACCGGAACCAATCCCTGCTGAAGACTCAATGGAATTTCAGACACCCAACACCAGCATAAGTAGCAACTCAACGCCCAACATCAGCAAACGTCCCGCATTCCTGGACCTCAACAAGAAGAACAAACGTGCTGTGGCGCCTTTGCTAATCGATTCACCCGATGTGCCCGGCAAGACACTGAACACACCCGATCTGGAGAAAATCCTGCTGTCGAGCACAATGATGCAAACACCACAGCCGGGCACCGTTTTCCCCTCGAAAGTAGGCGCTATCACCTCCGAGCAGGAGGATTTTGGCAGGGGTTTTGAGGTGGCGCTGCAGAATCTGCACACCAGCAAAAATAGCCAAGCGCTGCTGGGCAGTAATGGCAACAATGCTGCTGCTGTTGTTGTTGCTGCTGCTGCTGCTGCAGCTGTTCCTGCGAGCAATCCGGCTGCAGTGGCAACCACCGCAATGACGGCCGTTAATAATGGCATCAGTGGCGGTTCCTTTACCTACACCAACGGTGGTCAGTTCTTACACATCATCATTAATTATTAATCTTATTGATGAGCTTCATTTTATATTTTACAGATGGTTATCCCGTCATCAAGGATGAGCCGAATAATGTGCTCAGTTCGCCAACGGTTAGTCCCATCGATATGGCCGATCAGGAGAAGATTAAACTGGAGCGCAAACGTCAACGGAATCGTGTTGCCGCCTCCAAGTGTCGCAAACGCAAACTGGAACGCATCTCAAAGCTTGAAGATCGTGTCAAGTCCCTCAAGGGCGAAAACAGTGATTTGGCCGGCATTGTAAAGGGACTCAAAGATCATGTGGCGCAGTTAAAGCAACAGGTCATAGAGCATGTGGAGGCCGGATGCAGTGTTCAGTCCATTACCAATGCCGCACTGATGGCGGGCAAATAACATAGGGAGCTCAGCGCTGAGGCGACTGTGCAGCGTTATATGTCCAGTTTAATATCGGACGACAATGACAATGACACAGATGCCGAGGAGGACGCAGAAGATCAGGACAACATCATTGAGGACACTATCGCAACGCCTGTCGATCCGGAAAATGGTGTTGTGCTGCTCTCAGCTGTGGCCATGGAGCAGGAGATATCCTTGGAGCTACTACTTAATGCATCATCAAACACATTCGATTTGGACGCGCTGCCAACAACTGGCAATCATGTCGTTATCGACACAATAGATCATTTAACCGACTGCAGTGAGTCCACGTGCTAATTATATATGTATATATATATATATATATATCATTAAGCATCGAGTGCCTTTATCATCAACACAAACAGCAAAACTTGAATTATTCTACCTAAACTAAAATTATACTCCCAACGTGCAATGATTTATTTGCACCTGATTGAATTGCTTTTGAAAAGTGCTTTTTTATTTAGTTCTAGATGTATATACACTATAAAGATTGTACCCCTATATATGTATTTTTAAGATCAAGTATTAATGTAAGCAAAATCAATTGCTGAAAAATACTTTTATGTTCTGTGGAGCAGTTTTGCAATTTCTCTATTTGAAGTTTTAATATTTACCTACTTCGATTTTTAGTAATTGTATTACCTAATAATAAATTTCATTTATATTGAAAAAAATAACACTCTTTCATCCAAATAACAAATGTATATTGTATGCTTTAATATTTAAAAACTACACATTTAATTGTAACGCATATTATTGTTTATTAAGAATAGAACAGAATTTTTGTATAATATAAATATACACTTAAAAGATTACATATATATATATCTGTAACCTACCCTAATTAAATTCTATTTGAATGTTTATTGTCACCATTTTGCCTTAGGCTATTTTATATTATTGTCATGTTATTTCGACTAAGGCACGCAATAGAGCACGACAAGCTCCCATCTCTAATTCAGATGCACAGTGGGTCGAGTCTATTTTTCTACCAACAAAAGATACAATTTACATAGATACAAAAAACTATATACCTTTTAAGAAAATATTTAAATTGCTTTTTTCAAAATGTACTCAAAGTTCAAAGCGATAAACTTGTTGGCATAACAAAAGCCACAAAATAATGGAAATAAAAAAAGTTTATTGCAAATGCGCCAACAAAGTAAATAAAAATGTGATGTGAAAAAAAACCAAACTAGATGCTGCTACTTTTTAAATATTCATGACATAATTAATTAATCACACCTTGAAAATTATTTTGGTAGTGGAAGTCCGTCGATTAGCAGACTCTTCTCATCGCCCAGCTGGCAGGGACCCTCGCCAATCTTGGTGTGAATTATGTATTTGAGCGTATTCCTGGCGTTGATGTGGTAAACAGAAGCGGAATTCTCCCCAAAACCATTCTTTACAGCCACTGCTGGCACTGGAATCCCTTTGAGATATTCGACACTCTGCTGGGCATCATTGGGAAATGCCAATTGAATGGCAGCCAAAAGATGGGGCACATGCTCATCGAGGACATAGAGGCAACCATTAGGACCCGCATCGAATGTGTATGCCACATGCAGGGAGCCCGCCTCCTCGTTGTACTCGTGCACGAAATTGACAATGGAGTGGGAGACATCATTCATGTAGACACACGGCGGAAAGGTGTCCAATGCGATTGCGTGCAACTGATTCGATTCCTTCATCGTGATTGTGGCAAATGCATTAAAATCACGCTTCTCAATGGCCACCTTCAGTTCCTTACTGCGTTGTGGCACCACCTGCGTGGCCCGATGCTGTATCAAGGCAGAGGTTTCAACGGCACGTTGCATGCCACTTGTGGAGCCAGTTTTTTTGCGTGCATCATTCACAACCAGAATCAACATGTGCATATTTGGCCAATGCGTGGCAGGCGACAGTTGCACAGCAATCGAGTCACTGCCATCAGCCGATGAACCACGTTGCCATTGCACAAACCCGCCGTATAAACTACGGCAGGCTGAACCCGAGCCCTGCCGTGCAATTGTCGTCAGCTGCTCGTCTAACGGCACATCGTACAGGCGTGCCAGTGTGTACACAAGGCACGCATAGCCAGCTGCACTGGAAGCGAGTCCAGCGGCTGTTGGAAAATTATTGTGCGATGCAATGTGAACTTTCCACGAGAGTGGAAACCTGTGTGCGCCGCCATGCGCCAGAGCGAGACGTTGTACGCCATCCAGGCAGCGCTGCAGGCGGGCATTCGCCTGGAAAGGCTGCTCGTCACCATTGAGCCACATGCGATTCTCCTTGAAGCTCTCCGAAGCGGCTACAGTTGTCTTGGCGCACATCTCGTTGGCGTCCAGCGTCATGCTGATGGAGTCATTGATGGGCAGTATGAGCTCCTCGTTGCGCTTGCCCCAGTATTTGACTAGGGCCATATTGACAGGCGCCACGCACGTTGCCGTAAACATATTTCTCGTTAGCAACAAACTAAACAATGATACATTCAAGTTTGAATATTACTTTCGCTAACTTTCACTGCAAATTGTGGCAGTCCGCCGATCGACCGATATACCGATAAGACGATCGACAGCGATATAAAGATTGTCACTTTCTAGTATTTTATTTGTTGGCATTTTTTGGTGCATTTGTGTGTAAACAATTGTCATTTGAGAATTTGTTCAATTATTAAAATCATATTAAACAAAAAATCTACATAAGAAAAATAATAAATAAAGAAAAATATGCCACTAACTGCAGAGAGCGCTGCCCAGCAAATTCAGGTGGGTAGTGGCTGCTAGTATTGTATAATTTCAAGTGCAATTGCAATTAAAAAATTAGAATGATATAAACAAATATTAATTTATTTTAGGATCGCTTAAAGGACATTCAGCAGCACATACACAAAGTGGACAATGAGCGCCGACGTGCGGAGAGCTCAATTGCCAGCCTGGTGCGTGCCCAGCAAAATCAGACAGCGAATTCCAAATTGAAAACGCTGCTCCAATCCAAGATTTTGGAGGCAACCCAAGAGGAAGCCACCATCCGAGCAGCCTTGGCCAAAATTCACGAGATCCGAAATATACGCAACGAACGACGTATACAGGTAAGTGTGTAAATGAAAAAATATATACATATATTGCAATTATAAACAAATATGCCATAATTTCTTTGCAGGCTCGCAATGCTGGCAACAAGGAAGCGATTCGTCGTGGAGCTCTCATGAAAATGGTTCAATTGTCTGCCCAAACATTACCCCTATTCGTTGGTAAGCCGGGCGAACGTGCGCCGGCATTGTGTGGCGCTATTCCTGCGGAGAGCAGCTATGTGGCCAAGGTGGGTGACAATGTGGCTGCGTTGGCCAAGGGCTCCGACGAGGAGGAGAACTGGATATTGGCCGAGGTGGTGCAATTTTTGCACAGGCAAAACAAATACGATGTCATCGACATCGATGAGGAGCAAAAAGATCGACATGTGCTGAGCAAGCGCAAAGTGATTCCATTGCCATTGATGCGCGCCAATCCCGAAACGGATGGACATGCGCTGTTTCCCAAGGATACAGTGGGTAAGGATGCTTACAATTGGAGTACATGTGGTTACATTGTTGTTACATTTCCAAATGTCTTCCGTTTTAGTCATGGCTCTGTATCCACAAACGACTTGCTTCTACAAGGCAATCGTGCATCGTCTGCCGCAGATGGCAACGGAGGAATACGAGGTGCTCTTCGAGGATTCATCGTATTTGAATGGCTATGCAGAACCGTTGCCAGTGGCCCAACGATATGTGATTGCCTACAAGCCCACCAAGAAGGGTGCGGGCAGTGGCAGTGGCAATCTCTCCTCGGCCTAAATTAATTAATAAACACGTTTATAACAGCTATATAGATATATAATTGTATACTTAATTTCTAAATGAAATCTTAGCTAAACTGTTCTCATTCCTCGTCATCATCCTCTTCCTCTTCATCATCCTCCTCCACGGGACACTCTGTTACCATGTCCGCCTCCTCCTCCTCCTCCTCAACGTGCAGTTGGAAGCCATCGTCCTTGGTCCAGGAGCATTTCATTGTCAAGCGAAACTTGGCCATTGGTTTACCCAGCAATTTGAGGATCCGCGCCTGTTCAGGTGTCAGAATTTTGCCCTCTTCACATACCGTATAATCACTGTAGATGGTCACCACACCCTTCTCCAGTTTCGTGGGCAGACCCAGCGAACGCAAATGCGGCTCCATCGAATGCGCAAATTCCTCCAGCGGGCCAGCTGGCAAAGTTACCGTTTCCGTTGCCGCAAAACCACTGCGTGCATATTCGACAGCCCAATAATTCTCGGCCCAGGCAAGCACATCTGCCTTGGACTTTTCTGTGAAGAGCAGACCCACCTGGCCACTCAGACGCTTCGATAGCTACAAAATGATTACCAATTATTATACATTTATATGAATATTTAGAAACATACTTTATGAATTCCTGTTTCAACTTCTTCGGCTTTTGTGCGTCCCAAGCCGATTTGCATGATGCGATTTTTGCCGAAAATGAAACGGGAATTTTGCTTCCATTCTTGGCGCAAATCCTTCAGCAGATTATTGCGCATATTTTGCACCTGGAACACAAAGATATTGGGATACTTCTCCACGCAGAAGCGAATGTCGTCAATGATGCGCTGCTTCCAAGCGAGACCCTTGCGATCCGTCTTCGTCAGCGAAACTATGAACGGTGAGGCAGGAAAATTAATAAATTAAACATAAAATACACATTAATACACACCTTTCTTATCACGTTTGGAGCGTGGCATTTTGCTTATTTATAACTTATACCCAACTCAAATCTTGACCAGATTTAAACAGCGGAATAAACACGTGCGACCGCTTTACGATGTGTATATTTATCGATATATCGATTCTTTTATGCGGCTGCCAACTCATTTAACGCCAAGCCGCAAGCCTGTTGACTGCATATTAAGTATTTTAATACTTTAGCCTGGTCACACTGCAACAATAGCCGACGAAAGGTGTTTTTACGTAGTAATTTTACATATATTGGGTTACAAATCATAATTAAATTACCCTAGTGAATTCAAAAAAAAAAACCAACAGCTGTGCTTTGTGCAAAAACGTTCGTTTGTTTCACATGTAATTTGTAAATTGCGCAGTGAGTAATTTGTGCCACAAATTATGGCACACTTGGAGCAGCGCCATATTGTCGGCGAGACAAAAAACCGCATTTTTCCTATTTATTGATTCTGAAACGCTAAGTGAATTAACTACCCCCATTCATGCAACACGTACAAAATGTGGATATACAAGTTGTGTAACATTCCTAGCAAATAAAGAGAATATCTAAACACATTCTGAACTAAATGTACAAATTTCAAGTAGGACGCTGATGACGTAATTCTACTGAATTCACCGAGTGAAACTCTGTGCGGAGCATTGCCAACAACAACAAAAATTTTTCTTTAATCAGTTAGAATTCAAAAAGTCAGACTGCTCCCAGCAGCGCTTGTCGGATATGATTTTTTGTTGTTTTTTTTTTTTTGTACTCTTGTGCAAAAACATTAGTCGTACTAAAGCAATAATTTTTCTGGGGCTTATCAAAAGCACATAATTGCTGATAAGCTGCCATCACAGCCAGTTGAAGTAGAAAAAAAATAAGTTTAATCAGTGTGCATGACGGGAGATAAGAGCTTTGAAGGTTCTCAAAACAGGTAGAATTTTGAGAGCTTAGTCCAAATCCTTTCAAGTGGTTATTGTTGAAAGAAATTCGCTATAATTATAAATTTTATAATGTTTGCAATGCTCAAATTGTCGCACACAATGCAAAGGCAAGGCAAGGCCGTCAAATAACAATTTGTAATATTGGAATTCTGAAAATTTAACATTTTACATACAATCCGAGTCCGAGTCTCATTCAAATTACTCAATTAAACGAGACAATTGCACACAATTGACAGCAACAAAGCTCCGCCCCAACATTTCTGTAGCATGCGTCACACTCATACATCTATAAAAATATAGCTTGTAAATGCCAACAACAACAAGAAATACCTGCATACAAGATTATTTTGCTTGCTTAATAATAATAATAATTTATAATAACCCAATGAACTCTTTTGTCAACAGGTCATTTGAAAACTTAACGAACCCAATTCACTTGTGACACACCTGGCAACTTTATTTTGCAGCCAGGTTGGCAACACTAACTGCTATTCACACACAATTTTTTTCAAACCTACTCTCCGGCTCTTTGTTCGCTCTCGCTCTCGTTCTCTGTCTCTCGCCTGTATCTTATGCTGTAGCGGCATGCGCTGCTGCCTGTCTGTGAGTGAGTGTGTGTCTGTATTTATGAATGTGAGAGGAACTACACACAGATACAGCGCTCGTCGCTTTTACTGTGTGTGCAACATTTGCCATCACTTTAGTCGTTCGCCGTTCGTTGGTAGTCGTCGTTGTCGTTTCGAGTGAATCGAATGTAAGGTAACCAGCCAATCTGCATTAGTAGTAATAATATGGGGCGAAATATATATATATATATATATATATATAAATATATGTGTGTGTACTTTTTTATCAATTATAAAACCTTAACTTAAGTGAATAAAACACGTGCATATTCTCTCGGTTAATTTATACATACATCATATTCTGGACTCATATCGACTGTAAAGCGAGACGAGAACATGTGCAAATGCCGCATACTGAAAAAAAAAATTTCTTCTACATGCTTCCATGGAACGATCGATAAAAATACTACGCAAAAAGAACTGTGAATTTGTGCAAAAAATACATATGCGTTCGCTCTGCATTGGTATTGGTACATTGTGTATCAGTGTGCATATACATATATATGTATAAAAATGTATATATGTATTATATATATATTTATATATGTGTGTATATATGAATATGTAGTAGTAGCGAGATTCGTCTGTAGCTTCGTATTTTCAGTGCTTTCGGTTGATTGTTGGCGGCCGTGGCAACAACTGACTGACTTGGCTAATGCGAAGAAGGCAGGCGAATTTCTGCTGCTCTGCTCTGCTCAAGTGTGTTCTGGCTTCTGACTGGTCGCTAGGCGTTTCAGTCGTCAATAGCTCAACTACACACACACACATATTTGTACGTGCTGATGAACGAATGTATGGATGTAAATATGTATGCAAGTCAGAATGTATTACGCATATGCACAAAAAAAGCTGCTTCATTTTTTTTCCCTTGATGTAAATGCAAATTGTTTTGCGATGAGTATTCAATTAAAAAAAAAATATATATATATGTATACATATATATTCTATATATACATTATGTACATAATGATGTATGGTGCAGTTTTACATTTTTTATTGGATTTGCTGTCGCAATTCACCATGCATATATGTGAATATGTGGAAATATATATGTATGTAATAATAATGTAAATGTGTGTGTGTATATCTGAAAAGATATGTGAACATTTTTTTACGTACGTTTAATGCATGTATGTGTGTCTGTGTGTTTAAGTTGTCGACACACGCGGTTACGTGTGCTTTTTATGCCGCACTGCTCTCACAGCCATCGCTGTTTGCTTCAGTGTAAGTGTATGTGTGTGTTCGTTCTCCTGTCGTTCGGTCTCTCTCTATCACTCCGGTGGGATTATTTTTATACTTTTTGTTGCGTGCTCTTCACCTCCCCCACCCTGCTCCTCCTCCCTCACACACTTGTTTCTTGGTGAGCTAATGTACACACATATATACAAACATTGCTACATCGATTGCTAAATGCAAGTAATTTTACTTATAGCCTTTTCAAATCCAAGAATTTACAATTGTTCATCAAATCTCGCTCTATGCATAAGGACATACTTATGTATGGATATATGTCTGTATGTGCGCCAGAATGGTGTTGAAAGCTCTCTTTTTGGTTGTCTATTTCTTAAAACTTTGTGTATTGGAATTTTCGTTCTTATCTGCATTTCTCTATAGCCGTATTTTTTCCCTCTACTGCGCATGTAGCCGCAGTCGAATCACCGTTGTCGCGACGACCTCATGGGGCCGGTGTGGTGAATTTAACATTTGCCGCCCGGTATGGTGTATTTCACACACACACATACTTATGCACTGGCAAAGCAGCGCTGTTTTGCACAGTAGTCAAAGTTGCCGTCATCGCAGAATTGAACAAACGGTTTCGAATTTTATTTTTGCCGTTATCCATCCACAATCTGTAATACACTGACCAAAGCCAATGCCGTCGTCTTTCTTAATTTACCTTTTTATAAGGCACACTTGCGCAAAAGTATGAGTGTTTGTGTGCATACATTTACATCAAAAATAGTCTGTGGTTGCCTCTTGCAGTTGTAGTCGTCGTCGTAGCTACTTCCTCATTGTAAGGCAAATCCACAAAAAATGACGCAGTCCATGACGCATACAGTTGACTTCATGGCTGCGAGTTGATTTTGTGGGTTCCACTCTATAAAGAGGAGGGAGTGGCTGGTCTGGCTGCTGCTGCTGCTGAATGCTATTTAAACACAAACCCACCCATACACCAAAATACATTTGTGTGTGTGTGTATGTCGATGAATTTAGAAATTAACAAAAATCATTCCAATGCCTCCAACACCGTTGCGGTCTACTTAGTTTAAGTTATTTTCTATTTTATTTTATTTTTTGTCAATAACTATACGAAAAGACGTCAATTGACCTAAAAACGAGCAGCGCCAAAAAAAAATACAAACCATCTATTCAAACATACAAAGCATGCTCTACATACGTACATACTTATATAGATCTATATCTATGTATATGTTTATATATATATATATATATATATATTTACCTGCACTTGTGTGCAGCCAAAGGTTCAATGTTTCTAGACTTTGACGGTCGGTTCAGATTAGATCGCGTATATATATATATATATATATATATATAAACATATATATATATATATATATATATATATAAACATATATATATATATATATATATATATATTATATCCAACAAGTGGGTGTGTGCAAATGTACAGTTTTTAACTGAATAATATAGGTTGTATATTCCATGGTTCAGATACAACTTAAAAGTCGTCTAGTATTACTTATCTTGTAAACACCTTAAAAATATTTCCAAAATTCCGAAAATTTCAACAGACTTCTTGTGAGCATGTTGAGATTTGTGCATTGGTGTCATTTGTGCATTTATCTTTGTCATTTGGTTGGATACATTCAAGTAATATGCTTCTGTCTAAATACATATATGTATCTGAATCTGTATCTGTATCTCTAGTGGTAGCTGTATAAATATATATGTACGTGCTTACTCAGATATACACACACACACATAAAAAAAAGCCACAGATTTCTCTCTTTATTTTATTTTCAATTTTTATTCATAGTTTATTTTTAACTTTTCTCTCTGTGTGCATGATGCTTTTTTTTTGTGTTTCTTTTATTTTCATTTCATTTGCTTGTCGTTGCCGCTGCTGGTTTTTTTTTTTTTTATTATTTTATTTTTGTATATTTTTCTTTTGTTTCTTTCCATTGATTTTGTATCAGTGTGTATCAACTTGAAGTTAGGCCCCACTAAACGAACCGAATTGTCAATTTGGCAGGCACGGCACGTGTGATGTGTGAATAGTGTTGGCAAACAATTTAAATCAGAAGAACAAATTTCACTAAGTAGGCAAGTTGGCACACCACCCCACACCCCACCACTGCTCCGCCGATCACTGCCATTTTGTACCTGTCAAAAGCACATTATGCTAAAAGCTGTCGCTCGTCGCCAGGTGCTTGAGCAAATATCCTCTTGAGTAACACGGACTGACAAACCTTCTCTTGGGTATAATAATAATTTTGCCATTATTATTATTATTATTATTACGTTAAGAGCCCAGCCCCCTTTAAGGAAGGATAATGGAAAATGCATCAATCAGCCGACGCCTCACTCGGCGCTTATTTATAAATAATAATCAATCAATATTTATGTAATGGCATCTATACACACTCAAACGTTTAAGGTCATCCATGTATGTGTGTGTGTGGCTGGCAACAGGTTACCCTTTTGCATTATAATATGCACGTGTATGTGTGAGTTGAGTGTGTATGTGTGTATCATATATGTTGTAATAAATACAAACGCGAAATGTATGTGTGGAATGTGACTCACAGCTGGCTGTTTAACTTAAACACGAAACGCAATTTATTGACAACTTAAGCAGTCAACAATATATATGAATTTTTTATTATGCGAGTCAACTTTTGATTTTTGTGCGCGCTCAAATCAAATGCAATGATTCATTCATTATTTGTTGTTTATTGTTGGAATGCTAATTGTAATTGTGAACTCAAAACGAAAATGTTAAACTTTGAATCATTTATTTTTTAAAACCAGATAATCGTAAATGTATATATATTGAATCATACTTTTATTACGTCTATGGGACCGCAGCATATCACAATATCATCGGGCGATGTGTGCAACGCGCAGCTGCTATTCTATTTGTTGCCACTGTGTTGCCAACGCCAGCAAGCTTTGCTCCTTTTGCACCAGCAACAGCCCAGCCTTTTGGGGCATGTTCTCTTTTTAGTCGAGTTTTGGGCCTGGTCGGAAGAGCAACTCAGCAGCGGTAGATATTTATTCGGGCTTTTTCCTCTTTGCGCAGCTGTTGTGAGTGTGCTTTTGCGTGTGTATTTGTGCGTAAGCCGCTATCCATATATACTATATAATATATAGAGTATATATATATATATATAGATAAATATATATATATATGTGATTGTATGTGTATGCGAATAAGTTGGCGGGAGAAATAAATGAATTAATCGTAGCTTGCAATTTAGTGTGTGGGTGATGCTTACGGCTTGCTCGTCAAATATTTGAACAGGTTGGCAATTATTAATATTGATTGATGTCTCGTGAGAATTTCAAACTAGAATTAGTAGCAAGTGCGATACGATGTTTATTATGTGTATTATTTTTAAATCTATTTGTATTTATCTTTTGTATCTTACAGATAACCAGTCACATATTGTGAGCGACGCTTTGAGCTGTGGATTCCTCCTTACTTTAATTAATTTCTCTGCTGTCTATCAACGGTAACAGTCGTGAACGTGGGCAAATTACACACACGAACACTGACACACACACCAGCCACACACACACACATACAAATTATTATTAGTTTGGTCAAGTAACTGAGAAAAACAACAAAAGCAAAATGTCGACAGTCGATAAGGAAGAACTGGTCCAGAAGGCAAAATTGGCCGAGCAATCAGAGCGGTAAGTTATAAGTGCACAGCATAAATAATTGAATTTAAATATTAATTTTGTGGTTTCCCTTTCGATTTTGTTTTTCCTGCTTGTATTCTTTAGCTACGATGACATGGCCCAGGCCATGAAATCAGTCACAGAGACGGGCGTCGAGCTGTCAAATGAGGAAAGAAATCTGCTCTCCGTTGCCTACAAAAATGTGGTTGGAGCGCGCAGGTAAATTCACCGCTCAACACTTGAAGATATATATTTATATAATATATATATATATATATATTTGTATATTTCAATTAAATATATATATTTGTATATTTCAATTAAATATAACAACAGGTCATCGTGGCGCGTCATTTCCTCCATCGAGCAGAAAACCGAAGCATCCGCCAGAAAACAACAGCTCGCCCGCGAGTACAGAGAGCGTGTGGAGAAGGAGCTTAGAGAAATTTGCTATGAAGTTCTGGTACGTATCTACATAGCAGCTGCTATAGCTATGCTCTCTCTCGCTCTTGCTCTCTTTTAGCGCTTTTTTTTTGCCCATGACCATGAACCTTGTTAGCTCCTCATAGTATATATAAATATATATATATGCTATATAAATGTATACATATATATACCCCACACCCATTCTCACCACACGGCAATAAGCAAATTATGATGAGGACAACTGACTCTAACAAAGCGCCCAACTGTGGCGGCTGTGCACTGCGCAAGTGCTCTGTGCCCGAGCATCCATCCTCCTTTTGCTTGTACCAATACCAATATATATATATATATAAGTCTATATTGTCGCGTCAGTTTCGTTAAGGGCTAGTCTGAAATTACAAACGCCGCATTATTACTATAAAAGGGCTTCGATGGCCCACTGTGCACCCTGGTTTCTTTGTGTGCATGCGTGTGTCTGTGTGTGTGTGTGTGGGCCAGCGACAAATTGTATTACAATCAATAAATCTATTTTTAAAAAGAAAATTTTCCAGACATGTTGCTGTTGCTGCTGCCACACTGCACATCCATTCTATAAGCTATATACACACACACACCCTCCACACACCTATATATTTTAGAACACGCACACGACGAAACAAGCAAGATATACTCTTTTTTTATTTATACACGCCAAAGATAAGATAGCCACAGCAATAGCAACCATCAAACCAACTTGCCTTGATTAATGTCAATTTAATTACAGTCTTTTTTTTTTGTCTGCACCTAACCATATTTTAAAACGTACGACAAGCTGTTGACCTATTGGGCGGAATAGGTTTTAATGTCAGTTTAAAAATAGGTGGAAAAGTCTATCGGTGACATGTGTATATTGTAAACAGTCCCCAATGAAGGGGGTGGTGGGTGTTTGGCTTCCTCTCTCTGGTTACAAAAAATCGATAATACTTTGAAGTGCTGTAGTCAACTGTAAAATTGGCATACATATAATGCATATACATACATAAATAGCTATTTATATTTGTAGCTGTATACAAAGTGGCATAAGCTGTAAGCCTTGCCTGACATAATATTGGATTATGGGCACCTTATTTGTGAGCATAGCAATTACGAATGTTTATTTATATGATGGGTGCTGTGCTCTGATTTACAGGCAATGTTGTAACATGCAAAGCTTGTCTTTAGATTATGTAAATGAAATGTTTTTTAATTTAACTTAATGTTCTTTTTTGTTCAACAGGGACTTCTGGACAAATATCTTATTCCAAAAGCCAGCAATCCAGAAAGCAAGGTTTTCTACTTGAAGATGAAGGGAGATTATTACAGGTATTTAGCTGAGGTCGCCACAGGAGACGCACGCAACAGTAAGTACCACATGCACCATCGACAGATGATGATGACATCGCCCAAATGTGCAAACTTATTATATGATAATACGAACGTAAAACAAACCCTAAACCAACCTATATTCTCTTGTGTGTTCATTAAAATAATGCAGCTGTTGTCGACGATTCCCAAACCGCTTACCAGGATGCATTTGACATTAGCAAGGGCAAAATGCAGCCAACACATCCCATTCGCTTGGGTCTTGCACTTAACTTCTCAGTCTTCTATTATGAGATTTTGAATTCTCCAGATAAGGCTTGCCAATTGGCTAAACAGGTTAATAATACAATACACACACAACAAACTCCAACGCCTTGTCAAAGTGTCTGGCAAGCAAGCAAAAAAAATGCAAATGCAAAGTGCAAAAAAAAAAAAAAAAAAAAACCGAAACCAATTTCAATTTAAATGTATTTAAACTCGTTCGTACATATAAGCAAAAATTGTTCATTTATATAGTACCATATATGAAAAAAAAACAAAACTAATTGTGTACTTTGCTTGTTTATTTTCTTTTTTGTTTCATTTAAATTAACGTTACCATACAATTAATCAGACGTCGTTGAGGACTCGAAAAAAGCTTATCAAGAGGCATTCGATATTGCAAAAACTAAAATGCAGCCAACACATCCAATCAGATTAGGTCTTGCACTCAACTTTTCCGTCTTCTATTACGAAATTATCAATTCACCAGCGAGGGCTTGTCATTTAGCTAAACAGGTTCAGTCTTTTTTTTTTGTTGTTTGTTGCTCTTGTTTTTTGTTTTCTTACACAATATTAAGTTATTAAATTATTTAACTATTTGTTGTTGTTTGATGTAACTAATATCCGTAACGCGTCTGCTTCTAAATTAACTCATAGTCTGAGAAAACATACACCACACACAAACACACACACATAAATATACAGATTAATATATATATGTGGAGAGCTTTGTAATTCGCATGTTCGAAGCGGCTTAGCCTGGCTTATGTGTTCGCTGCTCTTTTGTGTGCTGTGCCTGTGTCCAATAACCACAATATCCACATGAATCTTGCTGGTGAAGTTTAATGATTATTGTAAGAGAAAGTGCATTAACCGTTAGGTGATCTACATTAGTTTTTTTAGTTTATTTTTAGTTTTTGCTAGATAAATATGTTTATGATTTTGCTTAGTTTTGCTAAATGAAACAAAAAAAAAAATTAAAAAAAGAACAGTATTTATTTACAATCCACAAATACTAAAACAATTTTAAAGTCTCTATTCCACTCTAATTGAAAATGAATTGCTTCCGTTTTGGCACTTGAACAATAAATAAATTGAATTTGCATTTACCTCTTGCCGGCATTTTGCATTGTTATATAAATATATATATCCTATTGCTAATTAATTGTAATACTAAATGCTATTTATTTTATGTGTACGATACAAATATGAAATATAGGCGTTCGATGATGCGATAGCCGAGCTGGACACACTGAATGAGGACTCATACAAAGACTCAACACTCATCATGCAATTGTTGAGGGATAACCTGACTCTTTGGACCTCCGATACCCAGGGTGATGGCGATGAGCCACAGGAGGGCGGTGACAACTAACCAAACAACTAAAATGTTTCCTTTTTGACTATGCAAATATTATTCAGTAATACAAAAACCAACAAACAAACAAACAAAACAAAACATAAGCAAGATATATAAAAACAAACAAACAAACAAATCTTTGAAGTCGAAAGCAGCAGAGAGCAGTAATGTAATAATAAAAGCAACATCAAAACCAACATCAGCATCGACACAAAACACAAATCCAAACAAAAACAGAAACCAACACAAACAACAACAGCAGAAGAATACTTGATTCAGCTTCTTGTGGCTGTGTGATGATAGTTTTGTGTGAGTGAGTTGAGGCTAAGATGGGCAGGAGAAACTATTGTCATGCATACAACTGAGAAGGAAGAAGGAAGAACCAAATCTGGTTTATAGACAGTTTAATACGTATACGCATTACGTATACGTGTATTGCAATTGAGGGTCACATACAAGAATTGTTCCAATTGTTTGAAATGAATACATGCATGTATTCGCAGCAACTATTGTGAAATTGAGAGAACAAATGCCGATTAAAGTCTAAAATGAGAATGATAAGAAAACCAAACGTCTTAATTTGCTTCACATGCCGTTCAATTTGTCATTGTTTACAAAATAGTATGCTCTTGCAACAATTTGCATATACAAGATCAAATCTAAAAACAAAACACTAAACGAAAACTACTTTATCAGCCTATCGAGAATACGATGAATATGTGTGTGTGTGGCGGCAAAGATGTGAATTTTGTTTTGTGTAGTTATTTACTATTCCGCTATTTCGGCCAACAGCGTACACTATACATATGCCTAAAAGTAATATTATTTATTATAATTATGTTTTAATAAATAATTACATTTTGTTTTATATTAACATACAAGCAAACTACAACAACAACAGAACACAAGACACAGTCAACAAAAAACTATAATGTCTTTTATTTTTGTTTAATGCGCTGCGTCGCTTTCCTTAAAAAAAAAAACAAACAATAATAATAATAAACAAAGGCTAATTGGTTTACACAACATATGTAATTACAAATAATGCCCATATATATATTTTTCGTCGTCAAAGAAGAACAACCCCTGCATAACTGCAGAGCTCAAGCGAACCAAAAGAAACAAATTATGTATTATTTGTAATTCTTTTTTTCTAAAATACAACAAATAAAAAAAAACCAAACATAAACCCAAACTTTTATTTTTACTTTATCATATTCTTGCTTTTGTTTAATTTGACCAGTTTTAGTTTTTATCAGTTTGAAGCGGAATAAATTAAGAGCTACATAAATGAAAATTCACTAGTAGAAAACAAAAAACACATGTGAAATGTTTCAGGCGAGAAGAAAATAACTTGCGAATAGTATATCAAGGCATGAGTTCTATTGTGCCTGTTTGACAATTGTTTTATTCAATATACTCAAGTATCCTTGTATGTGTATATGTAAATTACCTATATTGGGTGAATATCGAAGGGAAGAAAATACAACTTAATAACAGGTCAGTTTGGCAGCTGGATCATGTATATGAATAATTCGTATGATCTATGCGATAACTATTTATAACGTACTTATATAAAAATACTTACTATATATGCAATTATGCAGAAGCAACAGCAATAACAGTATCAATGTGCAATTGTTATATACTTAAATGTCTCAGTGTTTTATTTTTATTATTATGATCTATGTGTTTTCGATGTAAACCCTCAACAACCAAAAAAAAAGAAAAGAAATGAAATGAAAACAAAAGGAAAAACCAACCCAAAATCGGTGTGTGAAGCAAGTGAATACATTAGAAAATCGAATTTTATTTTTTGATCGATGCCGATTGTTGGCATTGGCTTTAAAATGCTAAGTACTAACTTAACTCGTCTAATTCAACATCTTGCTTTATTGTTGATAAATATGTATTTACGTGCATATTTAGTTTTGTTTATGAAGGCGTTTCCTTGCAAAACTTCATCAACACAGGCAGTAACAAAAAAATAAATAAAATAAAATAAAAATAACAAACAGGAAATGAAATAACTAATCAAAAATACAAATACTTATATTGAAAGCAAAGTATAATTATTTTCAATTCAGTGAAGGCGACAACAAAAAGCCCGGTAATATTTACACACATATATATATAATATTATTGTCCAGGAAATGATAAATATTATACAAAAATGTATAAGCATTTGCATATATATATATAAATATTTATATATATGTGTGTATATATATATAAGAACAGTAACTGTATATTTTCGCAATTGAATTTACGCTTACAATATACATAAATAAATGTGAGGCATTTGAACGGTTTTTGTCGCAACGCTAAACAAGTCGAATAACCAAAAACATATAAATAAAACTGCAATACATAATACATAATACATTATAAAAAAAAAGAATGATTCAAAATGAGTTATAAACAGTGAGCACACATTAATTGTATGCTTAAAGGAGGCAAAGATTGATGTGCAAATTTAAGTTTATTGAAATTACAGTTTCTTAATTACCAAAAAAAAAAAAAACAAAATAAAAATAATAAAAAAAAAACAAAGAGAGCTAGCTATGCTGTTTGACTTTTATTTTTAGTTTTTAATAGATTTGGGATCGGACAACCTTGCTCAACTTGCCATAAATATTTGAAAATTTCAAAATCAATAAATTCTATGCTGCAAAATCTGGGATGCATTACGGAAAGTTTAAATTATCGAACAGGTATGAGCAACTAAATGATATATACACATGTGATGATGACATATCATCATCATCATATATATTCTGTAGGATTGCTTATCTCCTTGAGTTAAACTTAAACTGTTTAAGCTTGATTCTGGTTAAAGCCCTTTTAAATAGTCATATGTTACTCCCATGTGCTTCATAGAGGTGGAAGGTATCGATGCGCTTTTCTCAAACATCGATGTATCGTTTTTTTTTTGTGCAGCCCTGGCTTATGTAGAAATGCACGTTGCTTAAGCATAAAAGATATAATAATTTTTAAGTTCAGCCTATAGAAAGATATTAATATTGATATTAAGGGATCTTATAATTAAGCAGCCCACATTAAATAAAAACTAAACTGTATACAGCTACAAACTATATACGCTACAATCCCACAGAATTCAATTGTTTCTGAAATTACTGCCGGACTGCCATTTATATTGTTATAACCGTTACTCATCAAAAATGTTCAATCACGCGATCAAAGTCAATCCCATCAATGAGGTGAGTAGTCGCCATTAACTAGTTATCCAAAATCTTAAGATATCATATCATAAATCACACAGTATAATCATCAAAATGTTGTTGCAAAAACGGGAACTGAAGTCGTAGATAAGAACAGTATCTTGGCAGAGAAATTGAGGGATTGTAAAACTCAAATGACAAACTGTATGGATCCAATTAAGAAATATGAATACTTATCCAACATGCGGGATAACAATATCGAGTTGTATTATCATTACGCCTGCAATAATACGGTTGAGGTATTTTCAGTCTTCCATGCAGTCGATTTAATCATTGACAATTTTTATCTAATGGGCCAAGTTATTTTTAATCAGTAAGCATAAGAAAAATGTACAAAGCTTAATTGTAATCGGTTTATTTAAAATTTTAGGATCATCAAAAAATTGGAAATTTCCAGTGATGTAGACCATCTACGTAACCGTGTCAATGACCACAAGGAACCAGAATTTCAAATTGCTGCTGAATGCGCTTCAAATTCCAAAAATATCAAAATAATTCCGCTCTTAAAAGATGTGTCACCAATACCAAACAGCAAATATCATTATATGATATATCTTCAAACGAAATAAACAAAAATAATTATCTTCATATACATATATATTAAAGTTGTTTTTTTCAGCTTTCGACTAATGGTTCCAATTTGAAAACCGAAGTGAGACCAAATTACACATATAAATCGACTCAGTACTCACGCAAACTCCCGCAGGGTACCAGCACTGTCTGCTTAGTGGTACCATCTATGTGAAAGCACGAGCACAGAGAGCAGTGCCTGGTTTGGTTGTGTTAGTGAGTTCCATGCGATTACCAATACATGCAAACAGTTACTCTCAGCAAACACTTGTCTCAAGCAACTGTCGATTGGGGCAGACTTCGTGAAATTGAGAGTTTTACTGAGAGAGCCTTGGTTTGTTTGAGTGTATTAGTGAGGTGTATGGAAAACACAAATACTTATGAAGAGTTACGCTCATTTTGTATTCTGTGACAAATATGTGTAGGAACACTCGGGTAAGACTATTCGGCTGTTTAATACTAGAAGACAGATGCCTTTAGGTCGTCAGCCAGTTAGGATCACAACTGTTGAAATTTCTCTAAGTACTCCAGTACAAATTGCATCAAAGTTATTTGTAAGTTGAATAAGTGCTTATACGGAATGAAATTGTCTGTCCCTCAGTTAATTCAAATTTTTTTTATATATGTTTGTTTCCTCAGTAACAGTCTGAAATCTACAACGCAAAAAACTCGCATCTACTTGAAATTCACTGGTTATTTTCCATTCGACTTTGGTTAATCAACAAGCACAACAACATGCCACATGCTTATTTGTATGCCTGTCCTCGACTATTTCATTTGTAGATAAGCAACCTAGTTTAGTGGAACAAGTGGGTAGTGAAGAGGAACGTGTAACAAGCAGTCTGATAGAAATACAGGGTGCTACACATGATCAAATTATGGCAGAGAGTCTGTTTTTCAGCTATACTTCATTTAAACTTAATTCGAAGTTAGTTCTTAAGCTGCAAATCTATCCAATGTGTTGCAAGCCGAACCGAACCGAACTGAGAGTCGTGTGTGACACAACGATGAGCGTAATTTTGTTTTAGTGTTGGTAATTTGCACAGAAATCACTAACACACTCATACAAACTGTGGCTCTCTTGTTCTATTCCCGAAGTGACGAGTAGCTCAACAATTTATTTTCTATATATGAGACAATCTCTGAGCTTGAACATGTGCATGTATTGATAATAACATGGAATTCACTAACACTATCAAACCAGGCACTGCTCTCTGTGCTCAAAATGTGCTTTGGTATTGCAAATTGTATGACAGTCACTAATACTACTACATAAGTGGATGCTCTCTCAGCTTTTTCGGCTCTCTGTTTATGTTTTGATTCAGTCTGACATTTTCAGCTGCAGCTTAAAGAACAGTTTTCTGGTTAATACACCTTAATAACAAAGTTTGACATTCAATATCATTTGTCATTTAAAACACTTTAGCAATTTCACAAGAAATATGAAAAATTGGAATTAAAATTGATATAAAAATAAATGTAATACGAGTAGCTACTGGTAATTATTATTGTTACGTGAATGTGGTTTTATTATGCTGTAAATGTGTACATATTTATGCCGACATACGTACATAAATAAGAAACAAGTGCAAATCTATATTTGTTATACTGATATACGTATGCCAGATAAGTCCGCACTTGACAACTTTCGCTAGATCTCTCGTTCCCGCTCTCTCCCTCACGCTCTTACTCACACTATCTGCCTCTCGCGCGTACTTACTTTTTATGGCATCTAGCCAAGCTGTGGGCTGAACGTATAAAAGGCCTCGCCTCTGCACAGTTGCCATTCAGTCTGATCAAACAACTAAGCAACTAAACATTCAAGTTTTTCGATTCCACGCGAAAGTCACATAGAAATCAAAATGCGCCTGGGACAAACTATACCAAACTTTATGGCGGAGACCACCAAGGGACCCATTTTCTTCCACGACTGGCAGGGAGACTCGTGAGTATTATATAAATAAATAGTATTTCATTTATTTTATTTTATTTATTAAATATTTATTAACATCGCTCTTTACTGCTATTGCAGCTGGGTTGTGCTCTTCTCTCATCCGTCCGATTTTACGCCCGTTTGCACGACGGAATTGGGCCGCATTGCCGTACATCAGCCGGAGTTTGAGAAGAGGAACACAAAGTGCTTGGCGCACTCTGTGGATCCGCTGGACTCGCATGTGGATTGGGTGAATGACATCAAGTCATATTGCCTGGATATTCCCGGCGAGTTTCCGTATCCCATTATTGCTGATCCCACACGCGATCTGGCCGTCTCCCTTGGCATGCTGGATGAGGACCAGAAGAAGGATCCCGAGGTGGCCAAAACAATTCGTGCGCTCTTCATCATTAGCCCCGATCACAAGGTGCGCCTCTCCATGTTCTATCCCATGTCCACGGGACGCAATGTCGAGTGAGTAAATCTATTCACATTATTTCCCTTTTGGACAGCTTCTTAAGTGTATGTCTCCATGTCTTTCATAGTGAAATCCTGCGCACCATTGACTCACTGCAGCTGACCGATCGATTGAAGGTGGTTGCCACGCCTGCCAACTGGACTGTGAGTATTATTTGAGAATATAATCTGTAGACTTGGTAACTGATTGTTTGCTGTTTCTTCCAACTGCAGCCCGGTACCAAGGTCATGATCTTGCCCTGCGTCACCGATGCGGAAGCCCACAAGATTTTCCCCAAGGGCTTCGACAAGGTCACCATGCCATCGGGCGTTAATTATGTCCGCACCACGGAGAACTATTGAAAATTGTCTTCCAACTTTTGGGCCAACTGCAAATGCAATTATTTTTATTATACTCATATTTTAATTATGTTTTCTTAGTTTGTAGTAATAAATTATAAATAACTTTTATTCAAACTCCATAGTTTTTAATTCAGGTTTGATTTTCCATATCAGATAGTTTGAGAACAGTGTGAAGTGCATGTATAAATACTTTTAGTTACCTTTTTTGTAAAACTCTTCAGCTTTCTTAAAACTCTTTGCCACATATATATAATTTAAAAAGTATATGGACAGTTTCTCAAAACAAAACATAAACAGAGAACCCAATAGCCGAGAGAGCAACCACGTCAAACTACGAACAAACGCACATTTTGGACAAAGAGAGCAGTGCCTGGTTTGGTTGTGTTAGCGAGTTCCATGCGATTACCAACACATGCAAGCAGCAAAAGACTTCGTGAAATTGAGAGTTTTACTGAGAGAGCATTGGGTTGTTTGAGTGTATTAGTGAGGTGTATGGAAAACACCAATACTTATGAAGAGTTACGCTCATTTTGTATTCTGTGACAAATATGTGTAGGAACACTCGGGTAAGACTATTCGGCTGTTTAGTACTAGAAGACAGATGCCTTTAGGTCGTCAGCCAGTTATGATTACAACTGTTGAAACTTCTCTAAGTACTCCAGTACAAATTGCATCAAAGTTATTTGTAAGTTGAATAAGTGCTAATACGGAATGAAATTGTCTGTCCCTCAGTTAATTCAAATTTTTTTTATATATGTTTGTTTCCTCAGTAACAGTCTGAAATCTACAACGCAAAAAACTCGCATCTACTTGAAATTCACTGGTTTTTTCCATTCGACTTTGGTTGATCAACAAGCAAAACAACATGCCACATGCTTATTTGTATGCCTGTTCTCGACTATTTCATTTGTAGATAAGCAACCTAGTTTAGTGGAACAAGTGGGTAGTGAAGAGGAACGTGTAACAAACAGTCTGATAGAAATACAGGGTGCTACACATGATCAAATTATGGCAGAGAGTCTGTTTTTCAGCTATACTTCATTTAAACTTAATTCGAAGTTAGTTCTTAAGCTGCAAATCTATCCAATGTGTTGCAAGCCGAACCGAACCGAACTGAGAGTTGTGTGTGACACAACGATGAGCGTAATTTTGTTTTAGTGTTGGTAATTTGCACAGAAATCACTAACACACTCATACAAACTGTGGCTCTCTTGTTCCATTCCCGAAGTGACAATTTATATTCTATACATGAGACAATCTCTGAGCTTGAACGTGCGCATGGATTGGTTATTACACAGCACTCAATAGCATTATCAAACCAGGCACTGCTCTCTGTGCTCAAAATGTGCTTTGGTATTGCAAATTGTATGACAGTCACTAATACTATTACATAAGTGAATGCTCTCTCAGCTTTTGGGTGCTCTGTTTATGTTTTGATTCAGTCAGAGATTGTAAACTATATCGGTTTGTGTGAATGTATTAATATGTATGCATACAAACTACCAACACTTTTGTAGAATTACGCTCAATTTGTGGTCTGTAATAAATACATATTTGGAATTCTTCGGCTGTATTACAGTGAGACAGAAAGCCCGTTTGGATGGATTTAAACAGATTACAAAATAAGAGTGCTTTAACCTTTTCAGATCTCCTCCAGAATATGTTTAACTGGTCTTTACATTGCCTTTTTTCTAGAACGCAGTTGTAGAAATTTCATTAGATATGTTAGTCACCAGCAATTTTAGAGTTAATGTGAGATAAAAACCAGTCTTGTGGTGGAGGTGCGCAGAGGAAGGCTGTATGTAGATATGATATTAATGAAACAAGGTGCTTCAAGTAAAACACATACAGAATAGATAAAAAATAATGCCGATCACGAAAACAAATCAGTTAAATATATAGCACTAAATATTGTACTATTTTTCGTATTTAAATTAGGGATTTTTGCGCGCCTAATGAATTATTAATTCTGTTAGAGTTCGGGGTGAATGGCAGCAGTTAACAGTTACTATTTTTTACAGCGCAATAGCATTCACACACACAACAGCTGCTTAACAGCAACATAAATTGACAACATAAACAAGACCTGGTCACATCGCACTCAATTCGAGGTAAAAATCTTAAACAAAAAGTCAATCGTGATAAAAAAAGTGCACTGAACTTCCGTAAAGGTAACGAATTCAATGTTCAATACTCGCAGACAGTAAACCAAATGGCATTAACAACAAATCTCACAAGCAGACTAAACCCCCATATTACAATGCATTTTTTGGCCACCAGCAAATTTTTCTGTATGCACGAGTGTGTGTGTGTGCGCAGTGCTTATGTGTTTGTTCGTGTGTCTGTGTATGTGTGTGTACGTGTGGACTGTGACTGGCTGCTAGGGGAAAACAAAGAAAACTTCAAAAAAGAACGACGTAAAAACGCATTTGAAACGCATTTATTAACTGTTACCAGCACAGTTAGTTGCCTGCTCCTTTTTGGCTAGTAAACCAAGAGTGAAAAAAAATAAAAAGACTCGATTGGTTATTGATTATTTTTCTGTCTTGATTCTCAGTGCATTGCTGCATGTTGTTATTGTTGCTGCTGTTGTTGTTGTTGCTGCAGCTGCTGATATTGTTGTTGCTGTTTGCAGCTGCGCGTCGAAAACTAAACTGTTGTTTCTGTTGTTGCTGTTAATATTGCTATTGCTGTTTCACAAAAGATTTGTGCAATGCTCAAGTGTGTGCGTAACTGTTGCTGTGCCCATATAAGGGTTAAAACTGTTAAGTGCTGTTGTATAGAATGGGGGGGAGTAACAGCATAGCAGGACAATTGCTATCAATTTACACACATAAATGCCTACATACATATATATGTGTATATGCTTACAAGCACACACACACGCGCACAGGCTGCCATGTTGAGGTTGCTTTTATTGTTGTTTACTGCTTTGCACCTGCATTTCTTCTGCATCTGCTTTCCACACACACATACATATACAGTCAGCACACTTTCATGACGATATTCGTATCAATATTTCTATCTATTGTTTGCTTTTAATTTCCTTCTTCCAAAAATTCTTCAGAGTGCAGCAAACAGCAAACAACAACAAACAACAATAATAGTGTAAACAGTTAAATCGAAAATGGATTTTGTGCATGCCGATAACGATAACGATAATGAGCATAATCCGAATTTATCCTCGGCAAGCAGCAGCGCCAGCATCAGCAACAACAGTAATTTGCAGCCAGAGCCCACAACCACAACAACATCTGCATTAACAGCAACTGTTAATGAAACTGCAGTCACTGGCAATAGCGCAGCTGCAGCTCTGTTATTTAACATTGACAACATAGACCAACACCGACAACAACAAGACCAACAAACTGAAGCTGAACATGAGCATTCTCCCACTCCTACTCAACAGGCAGCCGACAACTTAACAGACGCCGCACGTCTTGAGGAGCAGCAACAGCAGCAGCAGGAGCAGGTGGAGAACGATCAGCGACTGCCGCCTCCGCCGCCGCCGCCAGAGTTAATTGAAGCGAACGTCATCGCCGATACGATAGACGCGGGCGCCATTGATAACGATAACGATAACGACGCCGTCGTGGAGCGTATCGACGATTACGACGACGAGGACGAAGGCGAAGGAGAGGGCGAAGGTGACGAGGACGACCTCTACGCTGGGGAGCACAATCACGACGAGGAGGAGGCGGAGGCAGAAGACCAAGACCAAGATCAGGCGCAGGAACAGGAGCAGGTGCAGCAAGGCGACGCTGCTGCCGTTGTCGTAGTCTACGACGCTGCCGCCGAAGTCGCTGCATCTGGTGGTTCATCTCAGCAGCAGCGATTACATTCAGTGGCCGTTTTACCCAGCTATTCCACTGCACGTGCACCACTGCCACCGCTATTGCGAGCGCCTCGCACCAACCACAACAACAACAATAATAATAATAACAACAGCTCATCAGGGGGCAGCTCGCGCCGCACGCGTCACTTTTACAGTAACAACGGCAGCCACTTTAGCAACGATATGTACGCCGGCAGCCACAAAAGCTCCAGCCAGAGCCACAATTCACCACGCACAGGAGGAGCAGGTGGAAGCGGGGCAGGATCAGGTGCAACTACATCATCGGGTCGCAACTTCAATCCGACTCAGCAATCGCAACAGCAAGTTCAGGGCGTAGATCCACTGCGTCTCCTCTATCCCAATGTCAATGAGAGCGAGACACCGTTGCCACGCTGCTGGAGTCCACACGACAAGTGCCTCTCCATTGGACTCTCCCACAACAATCTACGTGTCACCTACAAAGGTGAGTTCTCTCTCTCAATATCAAACATTGATCTTTATGCTTTACTAATGTACAGCCAATCAAAAATTCCGAACTATATAAACAAAATTGTATAAAAAATAGTCACTAATCGCTGTTGCCATGCAATTTGATTAGGGGTTTTTTTTCCTATTTTTGGCTTAATCGCACAGTAGAAACAGTAATGAGAGTTGAAACCAAGTATTTTAATGTTTTCTATTCTACCTAAACCTAATGTTTTCTATGCTATAGTTAACTTTTTCAAGTTTAATTGTTTCCATTTGGTGACATTTTTTCGAAATGAGTCATCAAAGCAAGCAAAGTTCTGGCATAAGTATGTGTATATTACACACAAAAGAAAGTTAGAAAGCTGCTAAAAATATGTGTTAGATTTGTGCTAGAAGCAGCCCAAAATGTGTAAGAAGTAAAGCAGAAAAAACGCTGATAAGCTGCAGAGACATTTTACTATTCTACTGTTGGTGCGGCTCAGACTATGTAACTCATTTAACAGACAGCGACAACAGTGGCGCACAGCTGCTTTGTTGAGCTGCCATTTTTGGACAAAGAGCAACAGCGAACAAAAAAAAAAGGCAAAAGCAACACATAAAACGCCAACGCGCGGTTGCCTTGAGTGAAGAACACCCCATTGCTATGTGCACAGCAGTGGTCTCGCTCGCACTTGCGTGAACTATGGCTGCTGTTGTTTTGTTTTTCGGCGCCCACTTCTCACACGTAAATTCGCGTGCTGCAAGCGCTTGTATGGGTGATTGGCAAACAGCTGATTGGCTGCACACAGTGTAGGGGTGGGGTGGGGTAATGGGGTGAAGCGCTTACAATAAGCTGTTCATATATTGTATAATATAATATAAATATGAAAGTTTTATAGGCTTATATTTCACTGGATTGCTTATGATCTATTTCGAATAATTTTCGACTCTCAATATTAGGCAAATACACATTAATTTAAAATGTTAGGTAATACATAAATTGATGATTATTTTATTTGTATGTCCCTTGCAGGCATGGGCAAACAACACAGCGAGGCAGCAGGATCTGTGCGCACAGCATATCCGATTCCTTCGTCCTGTGGCCTGTACTATTTCGAGGTGCGCATCATTTCGAAGGGGCGCAACGGTTACATGGGCATTGGACTGACCGCCCAACAGTTTCGCATGAATCGCCTGCCAGGTGCGTTTTGATTGAGGTATTGAGAAATGCATACGGGCATATCTGAAATTATATGTGCACACAGGTGGGGACAAGCAATCGTATGGATATCATGGCTACGATGGTAACTCGTTCAGCTCTTCGTGCAATGGGCAGTCGTATGGACCTACATTCACCACCGGCGACGTCATTGGCTGCTGCGTCAACTTTGTGAACAACACTTGTTTCTACACCAAGAACGGCGTCGATCTGGGCATTGCATTTAGAGACTTACCGGTCTGTTATTATTAACTTTACTTTTATAATTTTCAGTCAATTATATTATTTTATTATATTATGCTATGCCGCACAGACCAAACTCTATCCGACAGTGGGTCTGCAAACGGCCGGCGAGGAAGTGGATGCCAATTTCGGTCAAGAGCCTTTCAAATTTGATAAAATTGAGGAGATGATGCGAGAGATGCGCGCCAATGTATTGCGTAAAATCGACAGATATCCACATCATCTAGATACCCCTGAAAATTTGATGAATAGGTAGGTATAATAAGAATAATATATTTCAACAATATAAATATAAATGCTGTCTTCTCTTGCAGGCTGGTCTCCACCTATTTGGTGCACAGTGGCTATTGCAAGACAGCCGAGGCCTTCAATGGCTACACACAGCAGCCCTTCGACGAAGACTTGCCCTCAATCAAGACACGTCAAAGTTTGTGCACATCATATATAAAATTGATGTATGTATTTAAAATTATTATGTTGTATTTGCAGAGATAATCAAGCTCATACAGACGGGCAAAATGAGCCAGGCCATTGAGAATACGCTGCGCGCCTATCCGGGTCTCTTGGAAAACAATAAAAATCTTTGGTTTGCTCTCAAGTGTCGCCAATTCATTGAGATGATTAATGGTGCTGATGTTGAGGTGCGTTCCCTAAGTATATATATACAAAAACGAAAATATTCATTTGTTTTAATATGCAGCATGCCAATAACAAAGTAACCGCTACCACACAGACCATGCCCACAAATCAGACTTCGGTCATACAGTCGACCAAAGCGTTCAAGCACAGCAAAGGCGGCGGCAGCAGTTGCACCACCAACCAGCCACAAATCCACACTGCGAACTCAGCTGTGATAAAACCAGGCGATAAAACAGATCCCAAAATGTGCGTAGTCGTACAAACTGCTGAAACATTTAGTTCGTTGAAGCTTTGAATACTTGAATGTCTGTCTCATTCGCAGCATGATTATTGATGACAACTCCAACAAGTGTCCGGAGCACGATTCGAATAGCATGGATGTGGAAATGGAGCCTTGCAACAGCCACTCCAATGGTGCGTGTGTATTTTATACAAAACATATTTTGTAGCATTCTGTTTGAGATTTTGGGAAACTATTACTTACACAAATACAAAATTATAGAATTGTTTTACATATATTTGAAAATATTTTGTATATAATTTAAAATTAGATGACTATTAAGGAATTTCAAGTAGATGACTTTAATCCTTTAAAAAGAATTAAGAATTGATTGGTTTTGCAAGCATAGGAAATAGATTAGTCGAATTGATTGTTATCGAGCATATATATATGAGTATGTATTTGTCAGGCGATTCCTGCTCTAATGGCAATGCCAGCGTAGCACGCAACTCTCTAGATGCCATCGATGAGGAAATGGGTATGAAACCAATCGCAACACAAGTAATTCCAACTCTTATTCAATCTAACTACATTTTGCAGATGTTGATGTGTCGCCCTCGTCTCGCAATTATGGGCGTGTCATTGAGAAGATACTTGAATTTGGCAAGGAACTGTCCAGCATGGGTCAGCAGCTGGAGAAGGAGAACCTCATGACTGAAGAGGAGCGTCAAATGTTGGAGGTGCCTTAAGGAATAACTAAACTCTCAAAATGTATACAACTAAATTGCAATTTATGTTTATTATATTTGGCAGGATGCATTTAGCTTGATTGCCTACTCAAATCCTTGGTCCAGTCCTTTGGGCTGGCTGTTGTGTCCTTCGCGACGTGAAAACGTTTCCACCACGCTCAATTCAGCCATATTGGGTACGTAAAAATCGTTCATATTAGAGAGATTATATACATATATATCATATAATTTGTATTATTGCAGAGTCGCTCAATTTTGAGCGCCGCCCGCCACTTGAATATTTGGTGGCGCATGCGGCGGAGCTATTGAAAATAATTGGACAGCATTCGCTGGGCGAGGATGCTTTCATTACCATCGACGATGTGTTTCCGCAAAATTGACCCAGTTCGCCGACGCTGCTGAAGATGTTCGAGACCACGCTGACAATGCCGCGGAGCAGCGTGCTAACCGAACCGCTATGTAGCGTACCATCCACATCGACGGCCGCCGTCCAGACCAACAAACGGCGACGTCGTCGACGCAATAAGCGTCGCCGCAAATCGTCCATATCGAGCAGCGAGGCGGCGGCCACATCAAGAACATACGATCCCGTCATGACAGCCACCAGCATACGCGGTAGCAGCAGCAGCAGTTCAGCGGGCACAGCGCGTCGTGGTCGACATAGGGGCGTCAGTTCCGCATCAGCAACAGCAGCAGCGTCGGCAGCAGCAGCAGCAGCAGCGGCGGCAGCAGTAACAACAGCAGCGGCAGCAGCAGCAACAACAACAACAACAGCTTCATCAACAGCTCCATCATCGGCCATTGGCGTTGGCAATAGCCAGGCGATATTTGTGGAACCGCACGACTTCTTCGAGACGCTCGACTAGATTAAGATTATAAACAATCTGTAATCAGTTATAGGTTAATTCTGTTGTTACTTCAAATTTTTTTATATGCGCCCATGCGCCTATTTAAATGCCCTTCTTTAAATATTTTCAACTTACGTAAAACTAATACGGTGAAATTCAATAAGTTCCGCAAATTGTGGTTTGGTTACTTTTTTTTTGGTTTAGCGAGATTTTAATAAAGTTGTAAAACATATTTTTATATATTTAGCCTTTCGGATATAAGCATAAAAAATGTGTGTGTAATATTATATTATGTATAATTAAACAATATTGAAACCGTGCTGCGCCACGCCCACTCTGGAAATAACTAGCCCACATGTTTTTGTGTATTGTTTTGTTTTATTTGCGGATGCGCTCGGAAGATCACGCGAAAACAACACCAAAATAGTCTTTTAACAAAAAAAAAAAACACCAACGCAAATCTTTAGCATATTTAAAAAAGTGTTCGTTCATTTAACTTTAAACTAGAGATTACAACAATTTAATCGCTTGATCAAATATAGCTAACAAAATTGTGAACAATTCAAATAAACTCTATATATATATGCATATATTCTCATCTATGTGAACAATAATCGTTCAACTCCAAGTTCACTTTTGGGGTGCAAGAATACTAAATACACAAATTTCGATGGATTCTGCATAGTTGTATGTGTTATATTTCGCTGTAGTAACATTAATAATTAATCGATAATATACATCAGACTTCGTTTAAATATACAATATATGTATATATATATATATATATATATATATATAGGCATATGTGTTGCAAGAAAATTATCTACAAATTGTGCAGTTTTCCTCGCATTTATAGGACTGGGATCAGAGTTCTTAAAAAGAGATCAAATTAAATACGCACTTCCCAGAAAAAAAAGAAACAAACCACTTGCACATGAAACAAGAATATGTGATTTACTGTTACTCACAATCAACAATTACTAATCATAGGTATTTTATCTTAGTTCTTTTTATCAAACAATATAAGCCCCCAAAAATATTATATAACACCAGCTCTACAAATTGGGCTGCCTCAGGCGCTGCACACGTTCGGTGTTTTTGACATGTTGCTTTAACATTTCCATAATTTCGGTATTATATTCGGGCGGTGTGGGCTTTGTGTTTGTGGCCCAATAATAGATGTCCCAATCGTTGCTGACACCATTGATGAGTTGATCGTAGAGCGCTGTTTGCTCTGCACTGAAATCCTTCAGATACTTTGCCACAAACGTGCTCAGTAATAAATCATTTTCGAGCATGCCCCTCTTGCGCGACTGATACAGCAAGCTGCGAGATATAGAGAATAATGTGACAATTTTTATGGGCAATTCAAAATTCGCCTACCGCTGCTTGCGAGTCGCTAGTGGTTCGTCGGGTCGCAACGGGTACTCCGGGACCGGCAGATGTGTGGGATCCTCAAAGTCGACCACTTCTGGTGGCGTTGCATACTCGGTTTTGTCCAAGTTGCTGGCAAAGCGTTTTGGCGTGGCCAGCGGCAACAGCAGACGTTGCGAAGCTGTGGCACCCTAATATAGCGTGTTACATAAGTTGCAAAGTTTAATTAAGCGTTAAACATACCAATAATTGACGAAACATTTTTGTTCTTTCAGCGGAAAATCGAAAGTACGCAATAATAAAAACAGCTGATTTGCAACCAGGGCTGCCAACACTTATGTACGCCTGAAATACATAAGCGTGTCCAAAACACAGAGGAAATGCCTTTGCATAAATATATTAACTATATGCGCCGCACTGCTATCAAAATTAATCTGCCTGAAAAAATAAAAACCACATTTCTCGTGAATTTAAATTAAAACTGGTCGCGCTCAACATCGATAACAGCTCTGAAGTTAAAATTATGTTAGCTAGCAGAGCGTTGCCACCTACAGAACAGCAAATGTAAACAATGTGCATGCGCTGCTGGTCTGGCAATGCCAGAATCAGTTCGAAAGAGACAGCGTGAGGCAGCAAAAGTGTGTTACAAGTTTTTGCACACCCGAAATATTCCAATTAAATTAGGATTAATGCAAATATAAAACAGCGTGGAACTGTCAATCCTTGGCACAACGGGTAATTGTGAACTTAATCTGTGCTTGCCAAAGTTACAAAAGGTGCCAACGAAAAAAAGAAAATAGAAAAGAAAAAGTACTACTGAAAACCCAAAAAGCAGAGCAGACGGGGCAAAGAAGAGGGTGGCCTCTCTGCGCTCTGCTCTGCTCTGCACAACTCTGCTGCGCTGCTCAGCTATGCGCTGCTCAGCTCGTGTGTGCAAGTGTTGTGTGTATACGCTGGCGCTGGCGCTGGAAACTAGGCGGTGGTAAAATGTAAAGCCGAAAAAAAAACCGAAGAAAATTGCGCTCACGCTGCCCGCCTGCCCAGGCGGTGGGTGGGAGACTCTGAGTGTGCGTGCGTGTGTGTGTGTGTATGGAGAGAGTGCGTAGTGTGCGTGAGAGTACGAGCGCCAGAGTGTAAGAGAGTGAGAGAGAGAGTGTGAGCAGCGCGGCACGAAACTACTAAATGGAAATTTATACAAGCGCCTAAAACACCACCCAGCAAAGCAACCACCCAAATCCAACAAGCCAGTCAACTAAAAAACCGAAGAACCGCGACGCACCCACGCAAAATGCCGCATCAAAAAAAAATAAAGAAAAAAAACTAAAAACGTTTTTCCATCAGGCAGTAGCATTAATCTAAATGAAGAAGAATAACTGTAGACCAGGCAGTGTCTGTCTCCATGTCCACACTGATAGCCGGCACAGGCAAAAGCGTTTAACACATCTTTGCGCCTACGCCCACGCCTTATACACACTCTCAGACATACATAAAAGCGCAGGACTTGGCCAAAAAAAAAACTACATGATAAATTTACCAAAAAGCGCAAAATGTTTACTTTCCCTACTTATTTTAGTTTTTTTTTTAGACATTTCCGATATCAATTTCTGATTAGATAAATAGAATTGATGAATATTTGGGAATATATTATATATATTTTCCATTCAAGCCATATGTAAATTAGCCGCTGCTGTTGCTTTCCCTTGTTACTTGTTGTTGTTGTTGTTGTATTCTGTTATCAGCAGCAACAGCAAAAGCGCAGTTCAATTATAGCAGCAGCGCGCCCTATTGGACAGACAGACAGTGGCGGTCATAAAATTAGGCGCACTTGTCAAGTAGGCACCACTGTTATCTCAATGCCGGTGCGTGCCTGCGCCTCGTTTTGTCTCTACATATGTATGTGTGTGTCTGTATGCGTGTATGCGTATGTGTGTGTGTGTGACTCATTTCTCATTGAGTTGTTGTCACTTCCCGTGCCTGATCGGATGAACGGTCAGTTGTTATTGTTTATGCAGAAAAAAAAATCCAATTGGATGCTGCGCGCTTCGCTGCCATTTCCCTTCGACTTAAAAAAACATATATGTTTATAAATAAAAAGAAAAAAATAAATACGAATCGTTCGCTTGTTTTTCAGTGTGTAAATTGTAATTTTAAGCATTTTGTAAATAAAAAGTAAATTAAAATAATAAAACAAAAATTGCTAAGAAAATATTTAAAAGAAATAAACAAAAACGCACACTTGCTGTCCACCTAAAGGCTACCCGTAATCCCTTACTGACAAGTGCTGCCACAGCAAAAAAAGGAAAAAAAAAAAAAAAAACAACAAATAAAAGTAAAACAACAACAAAAATGGGCTGCACTACATCGGCTGAGGAGCGCGCTGCCATTCAACGTTCCAAACAAATCGAGAAGAATCTGAAAGAGGATGGCATCCAAGCGGCAAAGGACATTAAACTTTTGCTACTCGGTAAGTGCTATTGACAAATTTACAACTCAGACAACATTCACTCAGGAAGTCGTATAAACATTTTTGTTTATACCTACGTAAATGTAATTTCTTTATCAGTTGCTACGTGTCTCACAGATTTTCTTTTACAAATGTGTTGATAGAATAACTTAATGGCAGGCTCAAAAACTGTTGTCTGGGATCCAGCACAGTGGTATATGACTTAGATTATGTGGGTAGTCATTGTTGTAAGTGAAAAGGTCAACGGAAGTTCAGGTATATCAAAATACAAAAATAGCATTTTATTGCTACGGTTTTTATGTACACTGTCCTCATTAAAAATGTATTGAAATGGTTATCATGGGGTATCATTAGGAGTTGTTAAGTTAAGACATATACATATACAGTCATGTACTATTGTATTATTACTTCATTTCTACTTCATTTCTATCAATGCATTAATTTTCTTTTTATTACTTTCTTATCATTTTAATCTATGTTTACATCAATTCATAAATGACTAATGTATACAAATATGTTTTGAAAACTGTTCCTAAGAAGGAATTCACCCAGCAGTTAAAATATTCTCCTCTCTTCATTTTTCTGTGTTGTTATTTGATAATATTTAAAAAAAATGATGAAGTTATATTATTTACATAAATATAATATAAATATATAAATTAATAGTATTTGTATTGACAAAAAAAAAGTAAAATAAATTCATAATTTATGTAAGAATGCTCGACAAGTAAAAAAGGCCATCTATTTTGCCACTCGTAACTTTAGCACTCAATTTATGGCATGACACATGACAAGAAAATGTGCTAAAATTTAACCCCCAGAAAAAAATAAAGCAAATTTAAAGATGAGCAAAACGTAGCTCAAGGCTAATGCCCCATCCAGTGGCATGACAGTTTATTCTTAGCGTGTGTGTGGCCAAGGCAACAAAAGCGACCGAAAAAATAACAATTGGGTCAAATGCGATGCATGTTCAGGTTGCTCTCCTTGTTCCACATCAACACACAGTCTCTCTCTCTCTCTCTCTGTCTCCGTTATTTGCTGTGACAAGTTTCGAGGGCTCATGCATAAGCAATGCAATGCAATGCGATGCGATGCATTGCGATGTCAACTAATGACAGCTGACAAATCGACGAGCATTTAGCGCAATGCATTTTTAAGTGCTCTCAGACCACGGTGCAACAGTTGCGGCTGCTGCATTCGAGTGTGTGTGTGTGTGTGTGTGTGCTGGTGCAACAGACTGCAAGCTAGACAAGATGCGCTTGCCTCAAGTGCTCCTCCTTCTCCTCCTGCTCCGCCTCCTTCTCTTCCATCTGGCATCCGCCAAAACGCCACTCGAGATTCAAGCGGTTGCACGTGGAGCTCAACCTGCCGATTGACATGAGCCACAAGCCGCAAACCACAGAATGGGTACGTGGCATGTAGCATGTAGCAAGTGGCAAGTGGCATGAGGCATGTGGCATGTGCTGCAGTTGCTCTTCCTCTTGCAAACGAGAAACTTACTCGTCTAGCAGTTAAGCACTTGAGCCGCCTGCGACATTGACACTGGTTTCTTGCTAGTTAATTCCAAAGAATGTTTTTCATATTATGATTATGATTATCATTATAATTATTTACTGATTAATCTTTTTAAGCCAATAAATGTTTAAATATTGAAAAAAAACGCAATATACTTAGATATATATATACTCCAGTGCTGATGAAATTATTCTATATATAGCTACACCAGCTTTACGAGTTATTTATTCTACAATTATTCATTTTATATTTTTAGTATATTTGATCGATAATTGCCCTAGTTTCGAGACGGCAATTTCTTATCTAAGAAATGGTCTTTAACATAATTTTGATCGACTGTATAACTGGCATTATGATCGTTTGGGAATATATATGAATATATATCAAAGTGTACTTTTTGTTTTATTAATTTGCATTGCGTCAGCAATTTTTATAAATACAGTCATTTTGACGATATTGGATATACCCTAGTGAGTCAACAAATATATAACAATATTATATGATTTGATATAATTATTTTATATCTATGTGAAGCCATATTTTAGACTCTTTTGATCTGTTTGCGTTTTTCTGATATTTGTGTCTGCCTGTCTAAAATGTACTCCTCGGCAAGGTCATCGGCAAGTTCTGCTGCTGATGCTGATGCCAAACTCGACTTTATGGACTGAAAAATGTGTTTATCAATACAAATTCCATGTCAAAATTAAAATTCATCCCGCAAGGACATCAGCATAAGCATATCCAAGTCACTTGCAGCTGAAACTTTTAATAACTTTCTTAACAGTTCAGTTTTCGACGAGCAAATACCTTGTAAAGAGCGCAGAAGTTTTGTTTCAAAGTACCCCTTTTTAGCCTTGTAATTTCCTTTGATGATAATATGGCATATGATGTATTTAAAAGACTACGCGGCTTATTCAGACGGACTCTCTTGCACTCTCTGCCGAATTGGCGGCAGGGTATTCACAACTACAGGTGACAGGCAATTGCAACTGGGCCACTTAATGGGATCGCTGTTGTTGTATATACTTTTGGCCAAAGACGAATGGCAGGCCGGAAGCATGAAATGGCGGCAGGAAACAACAACAAACACTGAATGACAACAGGCGACAACAAACGCTTGTCTGTATAACTGTTGCCAGTTGAATGTGCATGTGATGTGTGTGTACACACTGGCATGGTGTATGGTGTATGTGTGTATGTGTGTGTGGGTATGGGTGTGGTTTTTCGGTCTGTGGACAAAACATCGATACTCAAGTGCAAACTAGTGCTACACTTGCCCCCTTTGTCCACTTGCCTCCTTGCCGCCTTGCCAACTTGCCTGCCATTTGTTTTTGTGCCGAGAGCCTGCCCTGCTTCGTCGAGACGGAAGCTTAAACACTTTAACATAATTTTCCAACCAAAAGGGGGCTATTGAGGAAACATTTTCTGCTTGTGTTTTATGGCCCAAAGTGCACAATGTGATATGTGGCCAAGAACAAAAGAGAGTGAGATAGATAGATACAGAGAGAGAAAGAGTAAGATAGAGAGAAAAAAACGGGCTTATGCATCTGGGCAGGTTTAGACATTTAGCAGTAATAAATGCAAAATGATTTACACAAATTTGCTTCTATAACCTGAGTAAAAAGGCTATAATTTAGTTGTTCTGAAGTGATTAACAGACAGAGGGAAGTATCTCACATAGTGATATGTATTCATAATCAGGATCAACAGTCGAGTTGATTTTGCCATGTATAAGCAAACGGGTCTCAGAGACTATAAGAGCCAAAGACTTCAAGTTTGGAATACAAGCTCTCCTTTAAAATGCGCATAACAAGTTTATTTTATACTTTTCGATTACTCCTCCCATATCGATTAAAATCGATTTCAAACAGCAATCAAAGCTTCAATTCCAATTGTTCAATTCTGTTTCAAGCCTAATTAACATTCTTTAAATCCTCAAAAAGCAACTAAATCGAATGTTTTACTGAAATAATAATTCAAATAAAATAGTTTGACTTACGTTTAAGACAAATTTTGTGCAATAAACAAGTAGAAATTCGGATTTTAAAGTGTAAAGCCGATTGGCCAAGCAATCAATATTGGTTTTAATTAGAATATCCTTGGCAACTCATTAATGTGATGCATCTCTCGGCACACACTGCGATAAACCGAAAGCCAGCCAGAGATTTGCAAGAAGTGCTTGCTGCACAGAGCCTGCCGCAAGCAGGGGGGAGTCCACTAATCTGACAGTGGAACAGTTAAATGTGGCGATAATTGGCGTCGATGTCAGAAACTGAAAGGTAATTGCATTTCATGGCAGCAAAACGAACAAAAACGAGCAAAACGAGCAAACTGGGCAAATGGCGTGCCAAGGCGACAGACATATAGACATAAACCCCCCGGTTTAACGGGTGTTTTTGCGAGTTTTGGGGCTCGAGAAGGGACAGAAATTCAATTGAATCATCATTTGCAAGTGGCGTGGAATATGGAATAGCAACAACGACAAACGCCGGACATAACAACACAGTCGCAAATAGTGAAAACAATGAACAAGTAGCACATTAAATTATTGAATGAATTTCGTATACAGCCAAAGGGGGTAACATCAAACAGGGAGGATTGGGGGAGGAACATAGGAACCAAAACAGCCACAGCAACCGCAGCCAACAAAAACAGCAAACAAATTGACATATATATAGTATATGTATATATTTTTTATATTATCACGCGAACTCTTTTAAATGACAACTAGTGGTGGGAAGAGGGTAAAATATGTGGTGTACTCAAAGAGTTGCTGTCTCTCTCTCTCTGTCTCTCTCTCTCTCTCTCTCTCTCTCTCTTGCAATCTACCTCTTTCAAATTCTGTCTCTCTCTCTCTCTCTCTCGCTCTTTCTGTCTCTCTTTGAATTCCGGGGCCAGGGCCTTTTGGCACTTTTCTGTGACATTTGACTTCAGTCAATTAAATTCGATTTGTGTTGTATTTGGCATGGTTTTTTCATCTTTAGTTTATTTAACCGAATCATATTTATTTGCATTAACCAGCGGGGGCAGAGGTGAGCAGATGATGTGTGTAAATGGGTACATACATTGCATTCATTGGTTTACTTTAATTAACAGCAGTGCAAGCAATCCACAAGTTTTCCCAATTAAACCATTTCGCCATTTTAGCTGAAAAATCAATTTATTTTTCTACTGAGAACTTGGTTTTTGTTTGGAATTTTAGGCAATTGAATAGAAATTTTGATAATTCTATTTGGTATATACAGAAATATTAAGTTTCACAGATTAACTTAAATATATTTTGCAATCACTTTGATCTCTTAACGTGATTGAAAAACAGTTATATAATAAGTTGCATGATTTCCGAAAATTTAAATAATGCCACCTATTTTTTATCTTGAGTTTGAACTTTTCAAGAAAAAAAAGAAGAATTTTCTACATTTTAACAATATTCTAAAAATCAAACTGGACTTGACCATTTATTAATTGTTTTTCTTTCGGTTGTTTTCTTTATAAAATCAAACTAGCCAACGAATATAATCAGAAATCTAGACTACATTAGGAATCAACATAATTTCCATCACATGCCACATGCCACATGCAACGAGCACGAGTATCAATTACTTGAACAACTTCCAAATGGCAAAGTTTTGTATAATAATGGGCAATAAAAAGTTATTTACTCGCCTTTTGAAATTCTTGGCTCTCATAATTAACGGAACTGAAAAGGCACCATTTCGCATGGTAATTGATTGAGGGCTGAATTGCATTGCGATCCTTCCGTTTTTATGAGCCATGCAATAAGATTAATTGGTCTCTGTGTGTTGTACTGTTGTATAGTATTGTAGGCTGCGGCTTACCTGGTGTTTGATTTGCTTTGGGGCTCGGGGCCAGGGAATGGGTTGGGAATGAAATGCGATATGGCTCTAATTGAACGTCACTTGAATTGTGGGCGGCAGCGGAGGCGTGGAGGAAGAGCAAAAGCGCTCGGTCAATTAACGCTGCCAGCCGAACATTCAATCAAACAACCAATGACAATGACAGAACACTATTTGTTGACTGCCTGCCTGCCTTCGTCAGCTGCAGCCATCAATTGGCCTCTATTTCTTTGTACTTTTTTACATTTTGCTGCTCTTATTTTTTATCTATCACGCTGCCGGTGGCAGTCAGTCAACGTTGTTGCTGCTGTAATATCGCTTTCCGGTCAAAATACTCGACTTGTCGGCCGAGAGCGTTCGTCATTTTGTCTTAAGCACTCGTTGCCTGATATTAGCCAATGCGCTTGAGTTGACTTGACTTGGCTAGCAGTCAGTCCGTTGCTAGCTTTTACATATATGGCTTAAAGCTGACTTTCAAACACTTGTTTGCCTGTCTATGTGTGTATGTGTGTGCTAAGCGTGGGCAATTCGTTGCTGTTGTTGTCCTTGCTGCGTATGCGACACTCGCTGCTGTGCTACTCGCTGCTGTTAACTTGCTCGCCTAATTTAACCAATTGCAACGTTTGCTCGCACGCTCTCTTTTCCTATGCCTGCTCTCGCCCGCTCTCTCGCCATGTGCTTTTTCGAACATTCCAGCCTGGCAGCCTCAACTCATACTCACAGGCTGCTGCTTGATGCGCACGCATCATGAGCTTTCGCTCCCACTCTTCCACTTTCTGGCCGCAAAGCTTTTGCAGTCCATTCAGTAATGTGTATGTGTATTGCGCTAAAGCTTTCTTTGACTTCAGCTGCCTGCCGCCTCTGAGTGTGAGTGTGTGTGTTTGTTTGTCTGCGAGAGAGAGAGAGAGAGAGAGAGCGCTTCCTCAATGTTGGCGAGAGTAAGTCGAAGCACGTTTAGGGCGGCTCCATTTGCCTGTGTGGCTGCCGTCCAGCGAGTCCAGTTCAGCTCCAGCCAACTCAGTCAGTTGGTTAGTTTAAGAGCAAAGCGAATCGTTCAACAACAAAATTCACAACGCACGCCAATTTTTCACACTGTGTAAAATCGAAAGCGAGAAAAAAAGCTGCATAAATTGAATTTAAAATTGTGTATTTCATATAATGTGCAAAATCAATCCAATCACAATGCATATATATACATATATATATATGTATATCAATAAAAACAACAGTTGAATTTTTGCGCGAACGTTGGCAGGCGTGCGACAAGTGCTCGATAATTGTTTGACAATTACACGCGAAAATTAGGGCTGCTGCATCATTTTCATGCATGAATTTTTCTTTCAACAAATTTACGCGTATGAATCATTTTTTTTGTGCTCTGCTGGAAACGTGCAACAACAACAAATAAACAAATAATCGAGAAAAACGAAGAAAAAAAATGAATTAAATAAAATTCTATTTTCCGTGCTATTCACAAAAGTGAAATAGAAAAGAAAAACTGTAGCAACAACAAAAAGAACAAGAACAAGAGCAAAAAGTACTTGCTCCGTTTGCTTTGCGTCAGTATCAGCAATCCCCGCCCTTCCGCGCTCTCTCTCTCTCTTTCCCTCTCTCCCTCTTCAACACACCCCCACTCCTCTTTTCCCTCACTCAATCACTCTTCCTCTCCCCTTCTCTTTCGCGCGCCGAGTGTGAATGTGTTTATGGCCACTTGTAAGACCAGCGCAGCGCTAGCGAATCGGGAAAAACAGTTTTCCATGAGCCATGAGCCATCGCAAATAATATGCCTGTCTATTAATTTTGTATATCAGCATTATTTATGGCCACTAACAATAATCGTCTATGCATACATACAAACAAACTTACATTTGATATGCATTATCGTTGACTATGGAACCAAAAAAAAAACAAATAGGAAACTTTCAATGTATTTCGCCAGCGTATTTTATTGATTTTTATTTGTAGTTTTGTTATTTGTTTTCTCCCCTTTTATTTGTTGGTGTCTGCCAAGGCTCTAGTTGCAAGCATAACACGCTGTTGTATGTTTATGTATGTGTGTATACTTCTGCCTCCTAACCAGCTCCTAATCCTGCCCCCATCTTCCCAATCAAGCCAAAAATCTTGTATATGCGTTGATTGTATTATTTTCTATTACAACTTTTTCGTTTTTCTTTTTTTTGTTGCTCTTTGGGCTAGGAGTCAAAAAGCACAAAAGCTTTTATCGAAAAGTTTCGAACTCGCTCTCGCGAGAGCGCACAATTTTCTTCCAGCTGGACGTACGAGTAGGAAGCGCGAAGTTGAACATTTGGCTCGCTGATTCGCTCGTCGCTGCTCGTTTTGTTCATTTCGTGCAGCATCCGCTTGGTGGGCGAATGTGTCTCGGGACTCTTATCCAGGAATCGCTCGTGTTTGTCAACAAATGCGCATAAATTCAATTGTTGTTACGGTTATGTCACTCGCTGACAAGTGTACGTCTTTTAAATAACACAACCTAAATTGAATTCCACAAAATTTTACAGTGCACTGAAAATTAAACGCCATTTCTAAGCGAAAACAACAAAAGTGTGTGAAAAATCGAAACATTTTCTTCGGCAATTTTGTAAACAAACCTTGCACAATATTCAGCCGTTGGCCGCCCGAAAGCAAATTGGTGTATTGGTTGATTTAGTTAAGATTTTGTTTGACTTCTGCCCCCAACGTATTCGGCCATTGATTTGGCCGATATCAAACGACCTTCAAAACGTTTTGCGTCGAGGCAATACGCACCATGGGCTGCGCACAGTCTGCCGAGGAGCGAGCCGCAGCCGCCAGGAGTCGCCTGATCGAGCGTAATCTCAAAGAGGATGGCATACAGGCCGCGAAGGAGATTAAGCTGCTCCTCTTGGGTGAGTTGTCCCCTCTCTGTACATCTGTCCCTCTGTCTTTCTCTCTTGCCCTGTCTTGTTCGCTTATCCCAATTTAATTATCATAGCATACTTAGCGGCTGGCCAGCTCTGCGTATAAAAATGATATTAAAGCGCTGGCAGAGCTACTGCTGCTGCTGCTGCTGCTGCTACTACTGACTGCTACCAGATGATTAATCCACCAAAATTTGTTTGCTTTTTTTTTTTTTTTGGTGCGCACACACAACTCATCAAATTTGGGGGATGTTCTGTATGTAAATGCCATAAATTTAATAATCACAATAAAATATTTTCATACCCAGATGCTTTGCGAAAAGTTCAAGGTCATCCAACGGGTGTGGGAGTGGGTGTGAGTGTATCTCACACTTTGCCACCTTCTCCCTCCATCGTTCTCCCCCTCTTGGTTTTAGTATGTGTTAATTGTATGACTGCTTAGCGCCGGGAATTGTTGATTGCCAACTGCAATTGTATTGTGACCATCTAACTTGAATCGCAAGGACTTTGAATGTCGTATATAAATATATATCTATAGTTGTTATGATATATACAAATAATATACACTATAATTTATCGCTTAATATCTCAAGTTTAAGCTAGCCAACATACTGTATCCCAATTTAAATGGCTCTAACTCGAAAAGTCTCTTTCCTTTTCCTACAGCAAAAATGAAATTGCTATTGATTTATCTCATAATGCTAAAAACACACATGAAGTGTTGATATTTTGAATTTAAATGCATTGAACAATCTACTTCTGGAAATAATTCAAGCATAAATAATACTTTTCTTGTGAGTTACAGACACAAAACCAAAATGCAATTAAAATATATGGCATTTATAGATATCAATGTGCTAAAGTAATTTCTCTAATTCAAAATAAAATAATTGTATTTTTTTATGTTGGCTTGATGGTAAATGCAAAAATGTTTACATCAACTTTAAATATCATTATTATTTAGCAACTGGAATTTCTTAAGAGTCATCTGCTCGTCTTGCTCGTCATTTTACTAACTTTTACATTTATATTCACGGTTAAATGAATAATATACACAGTTTAAAAGCATCGTCCTCTGTTTTATGCTCGTTTTTCTCTGCCTCCTGTATGTGTTTTATTTTTAATTTCCCCCAATTTTCTCTCTTTCGCAAGGTGCCTGCATTTTTGCTGATGATTACATTTTTTGTATTTCATTTAATTTCCGTCTCGGGAATGGGCAAAAAGATTTAATTTCTGACAGTTTGGCGTGTTTGTACAAAATGTTGAATTCTGCTTAATATGTGTACCCGAATTGTATGTATTTGTTGTATGTATGTATTTATGTGTGTGTGTGTGTGAATTTTTTTTGTTTGTATTTGTGTTTGTTATTCTTACACTGAAACATTGTTTACTTAAAATGTGTTTCGTGTGTGCGCGTGTGCATTTTAAAAGTCGATCCAAAATTCATAATAATAATAAAAAATCGAAACTTTTGCCTCGACCTCTCGGTCTCGTATCTGGCTGCCTCGATTGCTTTATTTATGCAATTTACGTGGGCATAGCATAGCACTTGCCTTCACTTCCATACAAACATTTCATTTATTTCACATAAGCAACAACTTCCAGTTAAAATACGCTAAACGTAAACTTGCAATGTGAATCATTTTTTGAACTCACATTTTAATTGTTTCAGTAGAAGTTCATCTCACATTGCTGCACTTTCGTTTGTTCTACAAATGTACATTTGTAATTACAAAATGCGGAACAATAACATATCCGAAGGCATTAAAGTTCATATCTGCCACAGCAACAAAGCAGCAACACCCAAACAATTTTCATGGCGTATTGTTAATTTATGGCCATGGATATAGTCCAACACATGTAAAGGGGGCGCAACACGTTAAGTGTGCGCTGCGGGTAAAGACCCTTTCGAATAGATCTATATATAGCCACAATACTTAATGGATTGTATACAACAAGTAATTCTCTTGGCTTGTCATTAATAGAGCGGAGCGAGTCAAGTTGCCCCTGAAGGGCTTTTTAACCCGTGCTAATCAGTGCTCAAATTGCTATCAATTCAATCTCTCAAGGGTATTATTTGTGACGATCTATTGGGTTGATATAAATGAATTCATTTTGTATCGATTGTGATATAGAATAGAAAATAGCTTGAATTTTATATTCACTTTATTATGATAAACACCAAAATTTAATCAATGGATCGGTTCGGAAATTGGGTTTTGGTCTCCTCAAAATCATGGTTTGATTCGAATTTGATGTTCTAAGAAATTAATTTCAATTCCAATAGAGTACGCAGCGTATATATACAATCTTCGAGCAAAATAAATAACTTGCCTAGTTGACTGTTGTTTTTTACTTTTTGTACGTGGTATTTCCTAGTCGAGTTTTTGTCGACTACACCGCACTTATTTGTTTAAAATTTGCTTACGCCTATCGTTAAATCTAATCTAAACTATAAAACAATATTTTCGTATGTAAATTAGTTTCCTATGTCAAGCAAAATAAACGCGCATAAAAATTCTCGTGAAAAACTGCACAACTTGAAGCCTGTAAATTATTCCTGGAATGTGCTAAGTTTGCAGAACGCTTTGTCAACCATTTTCCAACTGATTAAAATGCAGATTATCAACAAGTGCACGCTAAGCAACAACAAAAGCAATTCACTAAATTTTACAAGCAAAAAAAAAACAGAGAATGGAAAATTATGATGAAAAGTGGAGGGAAAAGTGCACAAAATTGTGCAAAGAGCGCTGGATTGAGAGCAGCTAAAATTAGACCTGAAGAGCAGCCATAGAGTGACCCTAGCGGTCAGAGCAGAAGCTGGGCAGTGCAGGGAAAATGTTTTGTAAAAAATAGTGGACAAAGTGGACAGGAAATCGGGTAGAACAATTAAACCTTTGTTTTGTTAGATCATCTGACTGAACTGTTCCACAGCCGACGGCCAAGTCCAAGCCAAAACTGATGATGATAATACTGATGATGGCCATGATAATAATTACGATAATCATGATGACGCTGTGTGTGTGTGTGTGTGTGTGTGTGTGTGTGTGTTAAAAGCCATTAAGCTCTGCTTGTTAAATACAAAGCACCCACATTTAGCTCAACAACTAAGAACTATGCACTTGTAATCTGTGTATAAATACTTATAACCCCTTCGTCATCCTCCCTCCCAGCTTCACTCCTCTTCCCTTTTATCTGTGGCCCCCACCTCGGCTACTCCCACACTTGCCCACACTGCCGTCCAGGCCTGGCCTGAGTACGTCTTGCGTCACTGCACACAATCAGACGCCTTCTGTATTTTGCACTTTGCATCTTTGCCACACACACACAGGCCTGGGGGCAATTTGCCGCTATACTATACTCATCTCTTGTGGTAACATCATTTTTCCATGAATTAGGTATGAAAAGTTTTAATCGTCTATCTGTGCAGTTGCAACTTTGTCGAGTTATTTCCTATTAAAAAAAACTGGACACAAAATATTTTCTATGCATTATTAAATGAAAAATGTACAACAGTTGAGATACAATAAATAGTAAATTATTAAATTTAAACACACTCAATTTATGTACACTTTAAAAGGGGATTTAATCCTTTTTATAGATATTTAATAACTTATCTCATTTACTGTTTATTTACAGGGGCCGGTGAATCGGGCAAAAGCACAATAGTCAAACAAATGAAAATCATTCACGAAAGCGGGTTTACTGCGGAGGACTTTAAACAATATCGACCGGTTGTCTACAGCAACACAATACAATCATTAGTTGCAATATTGCGAGCCATGCCAATTCTTAGTATTCAGTATAGCAATAATGAACGGGAGGTGAGTAAACCATTGCTGCCCGTACCAATCCGTGCGCGTCATTCACTTGAATATCTTTAATCTCTAAATCTCTCATCACTTATATATATATTTCTCATCTATTTCCAGAGTGATGCGAAAATGGTGTTCGATGTGTGCCAACGCATGCACGACACCGAACCCTTCTCAGAGGAGCTGCTGGCCGCCATGAAGCGGCTCTGGCTCGATGCCGGCGTTCAGGAATGCTTCTCGCGCAGCAACGAATATCAATTGAATGATTCCGCTAAATAGTGAGTAACAATGTCTTCTAAGCTCCCCAGCAATCAACGTAAGATTTGCTGTACGCTGTATCTCCTATATATCTATATATGAATATATCTTTTATATATTCATTTCTTTCTGAAAGGTTTTGTAGACAAACATGTCACATAACTATGCTTAGCATACTTATACAATCAAGATATCAGACAACTAATCCCAATGAATAATCGATTCCACACCATTTGTATACAATTTCTATTTATATTTCCTTCTTTGCTTTCTTTGCTGTCTGTGTTCCATTTTCATTCCAATTTCATGGCATTCCACAAATGGGAGCATGATTAATGAAGCAAAAGTATTGCATACTTCTTGGCTCTTTATTAGCTACGACTTTTGGTTGCACAGTACAGTAAAAACTAAACTAAATTAATGACTAAAAATGTGTTGTATACAAGATAAATACATGCACAATGTGCGCTTATCTGCTGTCCAAGCTCACAGATACGTTTGTATCTCAAGTCCATTTGCTTAATTAAGAAAAAGAAAAATCGCGTGACGGCAACTGGAAATCCAACAGCAAGCAGCAAACAGCAACAAAAAAAAAATACAAACGTTTGCTGCGAACTGCTAAAAATATCACTGAGCCGTCCTCTGTGTATGCCACAGCCTCCTGTGGCAACGTCAAAGCCTACATGCCTCCAATGCTACTCATTCCGTGGCATCAGTTTGAAATTCAACGGTGATTCTGGTATATACGTGGAGTTAACACGATAAATGAACTCATCGGATTCATAGGACACTTGATATTTGCGAAAGATCTGTGAAAAACGCAAAGAACGAGCGTCAATTAACAAAGTGCACAACAGTGCCTCAAAACAGTCACAGTTGCCTCACCTTGGCCAGCAGCGTATGCAACTCGATTTCGGCAAATCGGCGACCCACGCACATGCGACGCCCGTAGCCAAATGGCAGGCTCACAAAGGGATGTATCTTTTGGCCAGCATGTGGGCAGCCCTCAGCTGTTGTGCAACACAAAAGAAAAAGAGGGGCGTTTCAGTAATAGTTGCCCCTTTAGAGCCATCCACAAAGCATCCACTCACCTGTGCCCTGTTTGAGCCAACGTTCGGGCAGAAATCGTTTGGGCTCTGGAAAATATGTTGGATCATTCGAGACAACCAAGTGTGGGAAGATGACGTGCGTCTGTTTTTGGAATACATTGGGTTAGTTTATATGGTGACAATCATGTGCAGCTGCAGCCACGCCTACTTACGCCTTTTGGCACATGGTAGCCATTAATAACTGCATCGGCCTGCAAGTTGCGTCCATTCGCAATGACAACCGGTCGCATGCTAATAATTAATATAATATATATATTATATATATAGTACTCTATGTGTGTATATATATATATATTGTATATGTTGCACTTACCGCAGCGTTTCCTTGACGCACGCACGCATGTACGGCATCTGTTCGAGAACATGCTGATTGATTTGCGCATCTTGCGTGGGAAACACACGTTTCAGCTCCTCGAACAAACGCTGCTGTTTATCCGGATTCTTGGCCAACTGATAAATGGTCGACGAGGCCGCCACCGATGTCTGCGGATATGGGGAATGAGGAGTGAGGAACGAGGAACGAGGCAGTTGATTAGATTAGACAGCGATACATTTCACAGTTGCCATTTAATTACATTATGGCTTTTTATTTATAGTCTGCCCGTCGTAGCAAGCCTAATTAAATACGTTTTTTTTTCTATTTATATTTTTAATGTGATCAAGACTTTAATAAAGTCGTGCATGAATTTAATTTGATGTTGTTATGAATATATTCTGATTACACACATTCAACTAAAGGCGCTATAAAATTTGTTGTGAAATGCTGCTGCATTTATTATAGCACATTTGGCTTATTCATTTTGTGCCAAGAAATATTGACAATTTAAGTTATGACTCTATAAAATTTCCAACAATAGATTATTATTATTTATTATTACATCATAATCATAACATTTATAGTTGTGACTCTTCTCAATGAAATGAACTATAATATTTTAAGTGAAATAATGATTTATTCATTGTAAGCTTATTCCTTCTGTGCTGATAGATCTTGACAAGTAAGGTCGTAAATTTCATATGCACCAATTTGTATAAAATATAACACAATTTTTACTTACCGTATCGACGCCGACAAGAAACAGATCCAATGCGAGAACCGCAGCCAATTTGCGATTGCCAGTTTTGCGCACAATGCGCTCCACAATGGAAATGTCCGCCTCGCTTTTGGGTATGGCCTGTGCCTGGTCTGCGTCCGCCTTGTCCATGGTGTGGCCGATGTTCTTCATGCAAATGCTGCAGCGATAAATCAATCAAATAAATCAGACTTGATGGTGGGCGGTCATGGTTTGTTTAACCTACGCGGAGAACTGATCCAATGCGCGTACAAAACTGCGATAGGCTTTTGTGGGATAGAGGCGCCACAGTGGCATGCGCAGCTCCAGTTCTGGCACCGCCCAGAAGAACGTATTGATTGCCTCGATAATTTGTTGCGCCTCCGCGCTGCCCTCCGGCGTCAAGCAGCCCAATCGAGTGTCCAACGAGACGCGGCCCACAGCTGCACAAAAACAGACAAACACAAACGCAAAGCGAAGAAAAAACCCATTTTTATTTTAAACAGCTTCGACAAAATGTTCGGCTTCTGCATGGCTTACATTCTAGTGCCCATTTGTACAGTTCGTGCAGAAAGTTATCGGGCAGCTCCTGTCGCTCGTTGCGCATCTCATCTATGCTATATAGCATCAGCAGCAACAACATAACGATAATAATGATGTGGTTATATAATAATGAGGATGGCAGGACCCCATCCCATTACTTACCGCACCATAAACTCGCTGGCAATCTCATTGAGGGGGGGTATATACTTCTTGGCTGTTTGCGGCTGCAGCAGTATGTGTTGCACCTCCTGGCGAAACGCCTCCCACTTCGGGCCGTGCCTAATGATGATGATGTTGCCAAGTTTGTGTGTTTGTGTGTTTTTGAGTTACTCAGTTGTCCTTGCCAAATGCAACGTAATACTTACACGCCAATTAGACCGGCCACATCGCCAAAGAAGTCGCGTCGCAATTCACCCTTGTAATGCCGCAGCGATGGCATCGAGGGTCTGCCAAAAAACAAAGAAAAAAAATGAATATATATATATATACATGGACAGGTACAGACATACATAGACACTCATTTGGCTTAAATGCTTTTGGGCAATGCGACCCATGAGTAATTTGACGCTTTTTCCCTGCTTTTTTAAGACATGATGTCAAACACACAACCCACAACCACATTTTATTTTCGCATTCGCCAAAAACTCACATCACTCGGTTGCAATTTATCGCGTGCCAGAGACATCAAACAAAAGTAAAAAAAATGAAATAAAATAAAATAAAATTCTGGCTAAAAAAGGAAATCCTGAAAACCAGATTCGTAGATACATTCGTGTATATTATAGATACTCGCATTCATATTTACATTATTGCGGCGCTCGCATGTCGCAATATAAATAGTCGCATTTCATTTTGTTTGGCGACATTAACTCCACCACTGCTCACATTATTTTATAGCAGGGTGTAGGGTGTCCGGGAGTCGGGGAAGCAGGGTGTAGCGTGTGCGACTACTCGTATCTGTCAGATCTATTCTATTCAGGTTTTTTGTTGGCCTCTTTGTCTATTGGCTTTTATGGCTTAGCAAAGGGTATTCAAATATTGTCGTGCTGTGTGCACATCTCCAACACAATTGAGAATATATATATATATATATTCTTGATCAACCTAGCTGATAGACAAGTTTATATAGCCATGTCCTTCTAACTGTCTCTATCCATGCAAATATTCTTTAATTTTTTAAGCTATCCTGTCAATCAAAATATGCATTCCTTAATGAAAATCTGTCTATTTCTAAATCTATTATGCAATTTAGAGGTGAGCACACAGAAGTGTATGTCATCTTCGGTGTGCCTTTGATAGCTTTTTTTTGTTTGTTTTTTGTTTGTGTTGCCCCAGGCAACACAATTCAATTAAATGGCATAAAATAAAAAGTCATGCGACTTTATTTACTTTGCAACTGTGCGCATTGCCCAAGCAAAGCACACACAGAGCGTGTAGGTCTAGTAAAACAAATCGAAATCAACTTTGAATGTAGAAGGTCGGAGATGTCTCCTTTTGACAGTTACATAAGCTTTCACATCTTCAATTTCTGAGTACATGGTATACAAATTACTAATGTGACTAAGTTCTAAATCAGTGCTCAGGCCAACGCACATCATATATAAATAATTTAGCGAAGTATATGGGGAATATGAAGAGTATTCAAAATTTAACTTCAACAATCTGCGCATTTAAGTAATAGAAATTTGTTGTAAAGCCAAGTCTACAAATTCAAATTATTATATTAAATTATAAAACTAGTTTCATGTTGCTTAATTCCCTTAGTGCTGTGTATGAAAGAAATTCAAGTTTTCTTTATAGTTTTAAACGAGCTTCAACATTCGGCAGTTTATTTATTTGGCAAAAAAACAAAAAACAAGTTCTGTGGGCACATTCCACAAAGGGCCTAACCATCAACCAACATCAACAAAAAAGTACTTTAAAACTGGCTTCACATTTCTAATATTTTTGTTTTCAAATTAGCCAACATGTTTATTTCATCAAATGATTATGATGACGTCAACGCTGCTGCATCTTTTTTTTTTTTTTTTGAATAAAAAATGTGCATTTTAATTTGCATGCGAAGGTCAACCAATTGTGTCCAGCAAGTTGAGGTCTCATTAACATGTCAAATGAATGAAGATGCGGTCTCAACTTCAAAAGACTTGCATTGTATTGCAAATGCAATAAATGATTAGCAAGTTAAGCATTTTATTAGGCATAAAATTGTGCATTATTTTCATGTGGAAATTGTAGAGTTTCGTTACATATTTGTTTCGCAATTATTTTAGGCCAACTACATATTGTTGGCGCTTTTGCAGACAACGTGTCTGTGATCTGCAAAGATTATATGTGAATGCAGAGTTAAGCTTATGCGTTAGTTTATCTTTTTTTAGCCACTCATATATGTTTCCCACACTCATTTCGTTTGGCATTTTATGCAGGCGCTTCGGAGTTATGTTATATAGACATAAAATGCGATAAGTTTATCTCTTTCGGCTATCTGTGTGGGCCAGGCCCACTCGTAATGTGTTGAGTGTTGGAATGTCTTCATCAATCAGTCAGTTTGGTTGTATTATGTTTATACAGATATGTGCGTATATGTTTGTACTGCACACATAAATCAATCAATTAGCGCTGAGCTGTTCATCAATCTTTAAATGTTTAAACATTTGCTCACCTTTACGCATTACGCCTGTGTCAATTTATTATCAAATTTACCCCCGCCAGTCTACGACTTTTCAATAATGACTTGCTATTTTCGTCACTCAAAGAGAACAACAAGAAATTGACAGCATTTTATTTTATTTGGCTAAAAGCTGTCTCGTCGACGACCCGTCTGCTTGATGATTATTATTTTATTTGTGCGCTCACAAATCTCATCGAAAAATTGGTTCATGGCCAAATGACAAGGCATAAGCAGATATGATCTGCGAAAAAAAGAAAAGAAAGCTTAACAAGCTTTTCAAAACTTGACTTTCTTTGCAATAGCATATGTAATATGAAATCCATATTCAAAAGCTAAGCAACAAAAAAAAACACAACTATTTATTTCGATTGGCAACTGATTTTTGCTTTAAATGTTTGTATTTTTTGTATTTCACACGTTTTGCGTCTTCTTCAATACTTTTTTATTCATTCAAGCGGTTTTTTGTGTTTTGTTAAATTTGTAGGCCTATTGCTTGGCTGAGTGAAAGTTTTAAATGGGTCATTTGAGTTTGAAAAGACAGCTAAATTTACTTAAACTTGTGCCAGACCTATACAATTTCTATCTATCTATCTTCAATGCGAGACAGACAGATACAAGCATATTCTAATTGCATAAAATCGAGCACGTAATGTTGCCAAATGCCACAATAATTACTTCTAATTAACGAAATAAATGCCAGACAGCAACAAAATCTTGTGCATTGGCTCTCGCTGCTGGCCAATAGTCCCACACACACACACACAGACACACACACTCCCACACAGTCGTGCATAATTTAATTAGGAATTTAATGCAATATGCGCATAAATAAAAAGCCATTTCTCATGCTTTTTAGTTATGCAAAGTCAAATTAAATCGATTGTGTGTACCATGCCACAAGCATCATGCATCACGCTTATGCAGCTCCCCTATTTCTGTGTGTGTGTGTGCATCGTAGCAGTTGCTGCTTAGGTGCAACCATGTGGCAAATTCCATATGTCAATTAATGTGCAAAAGATGGAAATTGTGCAACTTAAGTTTTCTGTTTAGTTGCAAACATTCACTTTATGTCGCATTTCTTTAAAGTTTTCTAAACAATCGCTGGTGTTTGTGTTTTCCTTAAATATATATCGATAAATATCGATAGATATTCCGACAAACTGTGAGTAATTCTTATTTTAAACAAATATCAAGCACATTTCCCCCTCAACTCATTTAACAGCTCAATTGCCTTAAAGTCTCAATCCTTAGCCCAGTTTATAAGAGTAAACAGTTAATTTAAAGATAAGCCCGCAGCTTAAAATGTGCAAAATGGCAAATCACGTTCAACTTGCCAAACAAGCAGATTTGTTTGTGTAACATGCATGTGAAAATGGCTTTTGTTTGAGCATTTGCCAACTGGTGGGGTCCTCGTGTCCTCGTGTCGAGTCAACAACAACAGCAACCACCCATGCCCCTTGCCCCTTGCCTTACCTGTGCGGCATGGCTTCCTCCTTTTTGAATATATTGCGTATTTCGTCGCCATCGAATACAAACAGCAAATCCGGATGTCCAATGAGTCCGCCCACTTTGGCCATTTTGCCATAGTTGACATGCAGCTCGTGCATTACCTTGTCCAGGTCGCTAATTTTGTACGTGCCTGTGAATTGGATGTGACTATATTAGACTATCGACATATGTGCTATATGCTATGCCAAACGTTTAGCTAACCAATTAGCGGCGCAAAGCGCCAGGAATTGCCAATCAATGGCAATGGATACGGACCGGGCACCTCCTCATACGGACGCACCGCATTCGATGCTGCAGTTTTTGTTGTTGTTGTCGTTGTTGTTGCTACTTCTGTTGTTGTTGTTGTTGCTGTCGGTGCCAGTTTTGTTGTTATGCCACTGCAACAAAAGAGCGTGTACAAATGAAATGTGGCATCTACAATTGCAGTTGCTATCGAAACTTACCTGATGGCCAATGTTGAATTTATGCGCTGCTTTTGCTGCTCTTGCTGCTGCTGCTGCTGCTGTTGTTGTTGCTGCTGCTGTTGTTGTTCCAGCTGTCGCTGCAATGCTCCAGACGCAATTGATTTTTCAATTTCCGTTGCCACGCCAACGCCATCGTGTGGCAATGCAGCCCCAGCCGCAGCATCGCTGCCCGCACCACCCACAACACCGCCAACCCGTGCATTGGGCCGCAGCGCCCTCGTCGCTGAGTAGGTGGTGCGCCTTATCAGCGCCGCGGTGGATTTCCTTAAGCCTGACATTTATTTTTGTTTCTGTTTTTTTTTGTTGTCAAACTTTTTACCTATGTATTGCTATCGTTGTGCGTTTGTTGTTGCAGTTGTCCTTAAAAAAAGTTGGTTGATTGTTATTAAAGTAATTTGAAAGAGCAGCTTAAAAATTGTGCACTTAAAGGAAACACACTTTCAGAGTTCAAAGTGCTGCCGAAGATGCTTCCGATTTTTTATCTGTATTTATCAATATATTTATCAATATTTGCACTTAATCTGCAAGCTCCACTTGAATTTATGAGATTAAGTTCTTATTGTATTTGATATGCTGTGGGCAGCATATAACACATATCTACTGCTCATTGCATAACTAAAATGAAGAAGTCTGTTAATAATCTAGACATAATATGTATATAGCTTTGGGGCAGACACATAAAAGCAGACAAGTTTAACAAGTTTTTGTGCTTTGTGGCATCCACTTGGAACTGCCAGAAGAGAGTTCGTGTAATTTTCTAATAAAAAAATAATAATTATGTTGTTTGTTTCCTTGTTGATCTTTTTTGTTAGCAAAACTTGCAATTGCGTTGCAAACTTGTGCGGTTCTCACTCATCACAGATGAGCTGTAATTCTAATTTTATGCAGCTTCCCATTTGCTCACCAATGCGAGATTGCAAATTGATAGTTAAAATACATAAAGATGCTAGATAAATAGAATTTGCGAGAGTAAATAAAGATGTGGTAAGAGCATCATTATGATATTTATGGATAGTTTAGCCAGTAGTAGAAAGAACAACAAGTAAATGGGATACATGGGAAGCCGTCGCCATGTTTATCATGTACACAACAAAAGTTGTTGAGCTGTTGTTTTAAGTGTCAATATTTGAATTTCCGAAGGTTAGGCTGGGTAAACAAAACAATTATGCATAATGAATACGGGGACATGTATCGACAATCAACTAAATTTGCAGCAGAGCAGGCATTTTTTTTTAGGGCATTGATGGGGCAGCACTTGAATTAAGCCTACCTTTTAGGCCAAAGAGGTTTCAGCCAATTGCAACGCAATGACAGCACTTAGTTGGAAAAAGCAAACAATGAGCAATTTACAAAATCTATGCAATCGTCGTCTCAGAGCAAAATGAAAACAGGGGGGAAAAAAAAAAACACAAACCCGGCAAATAAAAGCCAAATGCCTTCAAGCAGTTTTCATTTGATTTTTGGGCAGTCAAAAGTCTTCGGAGGCGCAACTCAAACATGAACTAAACAACGCGTATTGTTAAAGTTCGACGCTGTGTGCGGATGTGTGTGTGTGTGTGTGTGTGTAGTGCCAATAAAATTGAAGTGCCTAACAAAAGCATTCAATATATATATATATATATATATATATACATATATATGAGCGTCTATACACTTCAAAGCGTGATTTGTGTGGCACGCCGCGTATGAGCAATATTGAGATGTATTGAGATATTGCTCATACGCTGCACGGCGCTACCAACACAAAGCGCTGCCATTGTCGCTCCCTCTCACTCGTTCTCTCTCTCTCTCTCTCTCTCTCTCTATTTTTGTCCCGCTCTCTGTCTCTCTCTTGCTCTGACTGTTTATTTTGTGCGCCTGCTCCAACAAGCGACTTCTTTGCGCTGGTAATTTAAATCCCATTTGGCACACACAATTTTTATAGCTCAATCTTTGTGTGCATGTGTGTGTGTGTGTGTGTGTATGATTGTGTGTGTGTGTGTGTGTGTGCATGTATACACATAATCTTGGCATTATGCTTTAGCTGATATTCTTGCCCTTGCCTTGACAAGCGGCGACCTTCAGCTGCACGTCCAGCACTTCAGTGCTGTATCCAAAGGCAAAGGCGCTGAACGAGCCGCCGAGCAACACCCCAAATTCACCCACTGTCGCTCACACTCACACTCACAACACTTGTGAGCCTTATCGTGGTAGCATGCCTCATAATGAACTTGTGTGATAATCCTTACGGCCGCCAAAAATGAAAATATATATTTTTATATACATATTTAAATGAAAAGACAGCAAAGTGTCAAGCTGCTCCCCTTCTCAAGCAGCTGCTCAAGTTGTTTGTCTTGTTGCACTGGTGTTGACTTGGCTTTGACTTTGTTTGGCCAACACGATGGCACAAAGACTTAACTTATCGCGGCTGCATTGTTCAAATCATTAAATAAGCAAAAGTTTCCACATTTTTAATTTCAATTGTACATTCAGTTTTCAAACTTGTCATAACATTGCTGTGGTCTTGAATTGCCAAAGAAACTTGGCTATTTACCTGATTCACAATATTATTTACATTTTATTTAAGTTAATTGTTTTTCTTAAGCTTATTAACATCAAAGTGTAAATTCTATTCCATGAATTCTAACCACGTCATTTAAAGCAACGAATAAACAATAATATTAATTAGCTATGGAATGAATAAATTAAATAAAAATCAAATTGCGTATTAAAAGTGAAATCCATTTCTTTGGTTTCTCAATTCAATAAAAATCTATTGTCTTAACACTTGTAAGACTTGATCTTGATTATTAAAAGAGTTGTATTTGAAATCAAACAATTCTTCTTCGTATTTTTCTTCAATGTTCTTATGTCCAATAATACAAAAGCAGACTAAATCTGATTCCACCCACTCACTAAATGCACTTCAAAAGTTCAATAAATTAATTTAGGCAAATGAAAATTTGATGAGATTAGAAAACTGCGCAATACATTTCCAAAGAAGTCCACAATTTGTGCTCTTCTCTTGCTCCTTTATAAAGGAGCTGACAAGCGCTTCTTGAGCTTGTTTCAAATGTATAACGATGGCAACCTTAAGTCTCAATTGAGACTTCTAAAGTTTTCCCAATAAGAGAAGCCCGTCCCGTCCTCTCCCACAGCTCCCCGCTGTGTGCACTTTTGTTTCCATTGTTATGGCTGCTCCTCAAGGTGCCGTTTCGCACGAATAGCAGCGAAATCGAAAAAATATATATATATATATCTTTAAAAAAAACAGCTATTTTGCAAACAATTTGCTAGATTTTTGCGCATTTGCAATGCAACTAATAAAAGATTCTACTTAGCATTCTTATGCTAAATGCTTGGAAGTTGGTAAACCCCGGCAACATGAAAGTTGCGAATGTGTTTTGTTTACACAAATTATGTCATTTTCAAACTATTCCAATTTCTGTTCATTTTTTTTTTTTTTCAGTCGCTGCTTTTGTTGTTTGGGTTTCGCTTTGACAATTTATTGATTTGACTTTAGTGCGCAGAGATTTTACAACAGAGATCTGCCCGCCTAAGCCTGTCCAACATTCATGAAATCTATATAACTATTAATTATGCGTTTCAAGGTGTGGCAGCTGAGGTTGCTGAGGGCTGCTGCCACGCCCGTTGCCACAATCTGTGCCACGGCGAGTGTTTGCTGTGCAGTCGTCAAAAGCATTGCAAAGATTATCTTTGCTTTTAACTGCTTTTTAACGGCTCTGCAACTGATTTAAGTGCATTGCACTTCAACTAGTTTTTTTTGTTTTTTTTTTTTGTTGACTCCGCTTAACTAGCTGGGCATTTCTGTTTAGACATCAACTAGTTTTACTCACGCTGTCAACGTTGTCTGAAATTATGAGATTTTCTAAACTCTTGCGTCAAATCGTTTTTTTTTTCTCCATTTTTAATATTTTACTTTTTTATCCGACAATTAAATGAAACTCAGCTGCGATTTTCTATTGTTGTATGCCGATTTCACACACACACACAAATACTTATATATATATATATATAGATGTGGTATATATAAGTAGATTCACTCACTCGGTGGAGCACTTCCCTTCCACTTTAGAGTTTAAACACCAGCGTCACGCAAGCGTGCAAACTTGTTGTTGTTGTTGGCCAATAGAAACCGAAAGTCGTGCAACAATCGTTGCCTTTTTGCCACTAATTCAGCTCCGTTGTTGTCTCGTGAAGCAAACGCGACGCACTAAACGCGATCGCAGCGCTTCTTAGTCTACTTATAAGATCCACTACAGTGGCACGGCCTCACAACAAATCAAATCACATCGCATCGCATCGCATGGCATCGCTCCGCTCCGCTACGGTCCGGTCCGGTCTCTTTTACGGCACGGGTCTGTAGATACGTGCGCTATGCGGCATCTGCGACAGCTTTAAGCTCTCTATGCGCAAGCGGTCAAGCGCTGATCTTTTGTGGTTTTACCAAATACTCTTTGCCCAAAAGGTACAATGGCATTATCATCATCATCATCATCGTAGAAAAGATTGTTAAACACAATTTTATTCATTTTGTTTACATATTTGATTTATTATTCATATTATAATGAGAAATTCGAAATTGATCCTAACAATATTATACAAATTTCATCAAAATAGCGTAATTATAGAATATACTTTGAGAAATGCAAATAATCTTAAATATTCATATCTTTTGAAGACATTAATAGTGAAGTTTGTCTTTGAGGGATTATATTATTTGGTGTAGAATATTTGATATTATTGTCATAAGCATCATGTTGCTATATCTTGCAATTCGCATAAATACAATTTTATTGAATTATCGCTTTTCAGGATATTTGTTAGTCGGCTTTGTACAGATGGAAGTTGTAGATTTTGGGACTGTTTTGTTGGTTTTATTGTTAAGATAGGCTCGCTAATTACTCTCACTCTCTTTCTCTGTCTCGCTCTACATCTCCGTCTCCGTCTCTGTCTCCGTCTCAGTCTACCTTTCGCTGTATATTTCTTTTTGATTTGAAATTGAAAGTGTTTGTTGCTAATCAATCTTACTAAAAGTAAAAACACATCTTTTTGCGCTTATTCGTAACGCTTAGTTACACACTTTAATTCATTTGAATCAATTTTATCTACGTTTCATCTACTTCATTTTCCATTTGTGTGTTTGGCAAGACCCTAATTGCAGTCACAGTGTGCAGTCGTCGTTGAGAAATTGGCTAAAAGACAAATACAAATGTTGGCATTAAAACTAACGACGCTTTTATTTGATTTTTGTCTCTGTTGGAGTCTCTCGCCTTTAATCTCTGTCTGCGAATTGTACATGAAATTCACATAATGCACTGGCTCCTAAAGCCAATTTGGCCAAATGAACAATTCATTTGTTGGTTTTTGCCATGGTTAGAATTTCAACACCATAAATCACACACATAAGTATAAGTTTATGCAAGTCCATGAATAATACAAATAAATAATAAATAGTTGCAAATCCAACACTACACAATATTTGTATACTAAGTGTATTTAAAGTACAATTATTTACCTGCCACTAGTCAAGTGACCATGGCGGTTATCAGTGCAGAAAATAGTTAGCCAAGTCCAACAATAAACGCAACTAAAAGAAACAGCTGATTAACATATGACTTCAATAACTGCATCGACTTAATATAGATCTATTATATAGGGCGTTTACTTATTTCAAATCTTCAGAAATCAGACCAGATTTGCGTATAAAAATATATTTTATGACTTGGTTCCTTCACAGCATTAATTGATGCCATCCATTTGTCTTTAAGTGTGAAATTTTTGCTCTTCTGTTTTTTTTTATTAACTTTTCCACTAGCTCTCTTTTTCTCTCTCAATCCCTCTCCCTCTCTCTCTCTCTCTGCACACATAAAGTGCTAACACGAATACCCGGCAGCATATTATGCAATCGGAGACCCAAACAATTGACCAATTGTCCGGACATAATCACACAGATCCACGGAACATATAATAGTGAAAATTGTGAACATCTTTTGCTGGTCGCTGGTCGCTGCTCGCATTTGATTAGCGTCTGGCTCATAAATGTAACAAATATTTACGGTGGTCAATCGTAGGTATTAGTGCAACTATTGTAGGAACCATGTATGATATATATATATACACATATTTAGAGGTTTATCTGTGGTATTATGCACTCAACTTTTCCACCTGAATGAGCTTTAGCTTTGGCTTTGGCTTTGACTGTGGCTATGGTTGTGGTTGTGGTTGTGGTTGTGATTAACGTTATGCCATACACATTTAGAGCATGGCGTGCGTGACTCGGCGATTTTCCCTAACAGGAAAGTGTGCCACGCTATGTTGCACTTGTGGCAACGTTGCCAGACTTAGCCACAATTACCAGTGCAATTGCGATAATCGAATGTACGACAATATTGAGTCACAAGTTAAATAACTTGGGTGCAATAAGGCAGTTGAGATGAAGACGGGTTTCGAAACAGTGCCAGACATTTTAGGAATAGGAATATTGTGTCTATAATAAGTATTTGAGGTAGTAAAAGAAGTCAGGGTTTTTACACACATGCCGCAAAATGTCTCTCCAAAATCTACATTGCCGAACAATGGCATTGGAATTATTTTTGTATAACTCAAACGAAGAATCAAATTAAACTAAACCAGAAATCAGAAATCTTTTGCCAGGATTCTGGACAGAAAGCACTAAGTCTATTTTGTCTGGATCGATAAGGCCAAGAAAGAAAATGTATTCGTTTCCAAGGGTCAACCAGGTTCATTCATTCAGTTCGTGACAAAATTACAATACCCTTTGCGAGGGTATAAAGTGGCTTACAGCGAGAAGAGCGCCAACTGTAAAGATTATTTACGAGCCGTCTAAGCCAGAGCTGCAGACTTTTTTTGTTGTTTCCCTACTTCTTTTTTTTGAGTTATATGAACTTTACTGCTGTAAGCAACAAATGAAATGTGGCTGTTTGCTTATGTGTCTTTTGCCAAATGTTGCGTGCTCAACGCGAATTACGGCTTAGATCTGGACACTGGTCTTTTGTGGCGTTATTTCTGCCCCTGCCCCTGCCCCTGCCTCTGCCACTGCATCTACCACAATTTTCTATTTCATTTCTCTGTCTGACCTACTTGTTGAAGCTGGTCTGTGCACGCAACCTTTGACTGATTGAGAGTCACACAAATACAAGTAATTATGTGGCCCTAAATGAAATACACTTGCGCAACCTGAATCCACATTTGTATTTACATACAAGATACATATTCAGAAACTTATTTGTATCTTGCAGATACATTCGCAGATATCCATTGTTTCCGTTTTAATTGTTTGCCCATCGCTTTGCCAACGGCTCAAATTGTGTTTGCCACGCCAACAGCCAACAGCAAGTTACACAAATGTCTGATGCCCCCTAATGCCCCCTAACACCCCTAACGCCCCGTCAAGAGCCCTACTAATGATTGTGTGTGTGTGTGTGTTTGCTCTTTGCAGTTTCCTGGATGATTTGGATCGGTTAGGCGCCAAGGACTACCAGCCAACCGAACAGGATATCTTGCGCACCCGAGTCAAGACCACCGGCATTGTGGAGGTTCATTTCTCCTTCAAAAATCTAAACTTCAAGTAAGTGAATCAATGAAAAACCAATGCTCAAGTGCTCAATTAAGATAGTGACTGGTTGTACTATTAACTTTTAAATCAATTAAAATACTTTGTTAACTAAATTGTTACGCCCTTTTGCAGATTGTTTGATGTGGGCGGCCAGCGGTCGGAGCGTAAGAAATGGATACATTGCTTTGAAGATGTGACAGCGATTATATTCTGCGTGGCCATGTCTGAATACGATCAAGTCTTGCATGAAGACGAAACTACGGTAAGTACACACATATTAATGGATAATGGATATTGGATATGCCCTTAATTAATGATACATGTTTTATGAACATAGAACCGCATGCAAGAGTCCCTGAAACTGTTTGATTCCATTTGCAATAACAAATGGTTTACGGATACCTCGATTATTCTGTTCCTGAACAAAAAGGATTTGTTCGAGGAGAAGATACGCAAGAGTCCGCTCACAATTTGCTTTCCCGAATACACAGGTAAGTAATTGGCAAATACAGAAATCAAACTTATTATGATCTTGGCCTCTAAAAGGGAATAGATGAAAAACCAATTTTGAAAATAATATATATACAATAATATCCTCAAGAGCAGATGTGACAAGTCTGCTACAAAATAAATATAATATACAATTTTACAATTTTATTTATTTGAATTTCTTTAAAAGAAAATACACACATTCAAATATTATTTTTCATCTTGAACTGAATGCGGACAACATTAATATTTATTTGTGCATATATTATAAGCGCTAAAGGAGAGTATTTATTGATGACTATTGTTTTGTTGTAGGCGGCCAGGAGTATGGTGAGGCGGCTGCCTACATTCAGGCTCAATTCGAAGCGAAAAACAAATCAACCTCGAAAGAAATCTACTGCCACATGACGTGCGCCACAGACACCAACAACATTCAGTTTGTATTCGATGCTGTCACCGATGTCATCATTGCAAACAATCTGCGCGGCTGTGGCCTGTACTAAGACGTGATGACTGGGCTAAACGGGAACCGTTACGGTATTACAAAAAACAAAAATAAAACAAACAAACAAACAAAAAAAAAAAAGAAAGAAAGAAAGAAAGAAAAGCAAACAACAAAAAAAAAAAAACAAAAACAAAAACAAAAAAAGAGCGCGGGAGCACAACAACCCACCAGCATTGATCAAAAAGCAAATGATGATAGAACCAACAACAAAACATAAAATACACACACAAACACACACGCACACCACGCAAAAGCAAAGCCCAAAGAACTTTTATTTGTTGCAACACACATAAGTATGAGTATATATGTATGTAAGTGCTTAACAATTGTTGAGGATGATTAGATGACAGTCAGTTGTCAGTTGTCAGTTGTCAGTTGGCGAGGCAACTGACAAAGCGCGGATCAGATCAGAACAGAACAGATCGGAACGGAACGGAACGGAACAGAAGAGAATAGAAGCCGAAGCAGTAATTTAAACATATTGAATAGCATTTCCTATATTTGCATTACATTTGCATCATGCAAGCTACATGTATGACATGAAACGCACACAAACAAACACAACAAACAAACACAACAAACAAACACAACACACAAACAAACACAGACGCACAAACATACGCAGAAACACACAAGCATTATTGCATATTATGTAGTTGTTGTTTGGTCTGAATAATTTTATAGAATTTCATAATTTATGTGTAGTTTAGTTTCTCGTGTATTTATTAAAAAAAAAAAGAAGAATAAAAACAAAAAACAAAAGAGTGGGAATCGAAGAAAACCAAAAGAAAGTATATATAAAGTATATATATATATATATATACATATACATATATGTATACATTACGCATATATACCGACATCTAAGTATATAAATATTATATTATATATATTAAATGTTTCCTGTTGCAATCTCTTTGAAATTATTCATGCCATCAACGCTGCATTTTTCATGCTTGCTTAGGCTTAAGTTTAAAGTTTACAAACTTTGCGCAAATTAAAAATACATACAACAAAATCAACAAAAAACAAACAAACAAACAAACAAATTCCCTGGGCAATGAATTAGCAGAATGCATATAAATATAAAACGAAAAGTAAACACAACTAAATTATAAAATAAAATCTAATGCATAACGTAATGATAAAGCAAATGAACAAACCAAAAAAAAAATAAAAAAAAAAACAAGAAGAAAAAACGTAAAACTCTAAAAATGTAAGGCCTAATTTAAAGTGAGATAAACACAAGAAACGCAAGAAAACCAACACCTTCAAAACTATTTGTATTTACTATCAAAATTGCGAATTTGATGCAGCCAACCAGCCAGCCATAATTCGATTGATTATATAGATCGATGTAAATTGTAATATGTTGAAACTTGCGTGTGTGTATTGATACATATATACAAACATACATACATACATACATACATACATACATACATACATACATACATACATACATACTACATACATATATATAGAGCTGACGCAGCTACAAATCGCACACAAATCACACACAAATCACGCACAAACACAAAAACACGCACACAAAAACACACACACACACACACACATCATGAAACTAACTTTAATTTTTTTGTACACTAATTTATTGTAATTAATATAATTTTGTTGCATTTATAAAGCCACATACGATTGTATCTTTTTTATACATATGCAATTCTATCCAAACTTGACACAGAAAAACTCGCAATAGCAACTGAGAAAATGATAATGAAAGGGCAATTCTCAAAATAGCAAACAGTTGATTGTAAAACGCATTGTATGTAATATTTATAAAGCATATACATACTATATATAATAATGATAATAATAATAATAATAATAATAATATTAATTGTACCATTTATTGTATTTAGTGAATGGCATTTAACACTGTGCGGCGGTTGCAGCTGTTAATTTTGTTTAGACTTATTTATACACTTATTACTGTATTTATGTATTATGCATATGCATATGCTTATGCATCTTCTTTTTGTATCTATGATTGTGCATTTTAATTTTACACAATGAATTTATTATTGTTATTTTATAGTATTTTTGTATATTATACAACAGCGCTCTCTCTCTCTCTCTCTCTCCCTCTCTCTCTTTCCCGCTCCCTCTCCTTCTCATTCTACCTTCCAATCTTCCGTTCTATTGTCACTGTCTCTTCGAATTCCCTTTTTATTTATATACTAGAATGTTTTTGCAATTTTTTGCTCTTGCTCCATGCGAAATCCATTTATGTTTTATAGTTTCTAAGCATTATTTATGTCAACACACGCAACACACAACTTAAACAAAACAACAACAAAAAAAAAAAATAAAAAAACAAAAACAACAATTTAGTATGTTTATTAGCAAAATAAATATCATTTAACGTTTTGAACCATTTTTGCTTGACAAGATTGATTCCATTCTTGGGCATACCTCTCATAAATCAAACCCAAAATACACTTGAAACAAATCCAGTGTGTAAACTATACAAAAGTTGTTGAACAACACAATTTTCGTAGATACTTATGTAGTAGTTACATTGTGTATCTACGAGATACGAGATACTTTTGTAGTCGAATGCCATGTTATGAGCAGTTTTCTAAGCATACGCAATACAATTTGAAAACAAATTAAGTCTAACAATCCAAACACTCCCAATACCAACACAAAAGCATAAACAACCACAACAAAAAAACAAAAAAAAAAAAAAGAAAAAAGAAAACAAAGAAACACTGTAATATTTATCGTATGTATTTTCCATTCAACTTGTAAAATTCTACCAAAATACAAAAAATAAAAAAAAATCATTTTCAAATAAAAACTATTTATTCAAAAACAAAACAAACAGCCAAACTCTTTATTCTCCACGTTTTTCTTGCAGCTGGTTTATTGAGCTGCAAAAACATTAACACAAAATTGGATGCCTCAGGCAAAACACACACAACACAATACAACATCACAACACACAACACAACACACACTTACACACAGCGCATATACCAAAATAATTTTAAAAAGAAAAAGAAAGAGTATTAAGCAAACCGGTGTGAACTCTTCTAAGTTAACTAAACTGTATGTAATTATATATAAATCAAATATATTTATTGAATATTTAATTCAACCAAAATGAAAAGAAAGATTTGTAACTACAACTGATGTAATTTATAAATATTATGTAAAACACAAACTAATTCATTTAACTATTAAACAAAGGATCTTTATAAAAACATATATATATACATATATATATAGAAATATAGTGGGAAGAAAAAACCAAACTAAATTACAACAAACACATACACATATGTACAATATTTTGCTCGTATATATTATGTAAGCGGAAGCGTACTTCTAACTACATACCAAATTAAAACATAAAACATAAAAAATAAACCATAAAACATACAGAACAAGACTTTCACTATTTGATTTTTCAATACGAGTACTTAACCGAAAACCAACTATAATTTTCTTCAAATTCAAAAATCGTCTAGCTCAACTTTGTAATGATACAAAAAAAAAGAAGAAAAACACAACAATTTACATAATATATAATAGTGCATATATTAATAAACAAAATACATATACATATACCATAATTCGTAAAACAAACTACAAAATAATATTAATAATAATAAAAATTTTTCCATTTTTTCCATAAATAATAAAAACAAGAAAAATAAAGTAAAATTTACATAAAGTACATTACAAAATCAAATCATAGCTAACATAATTCATATTTTTCTAAAATCAGCTCATACAACTTTTTGCTCCCATACATAACAAACACACACACACATAAATTCGCACGCACACACACAGAAACAGACACACACACACAAACCACGCACCACTACTAAAGTGAACAAATTAACTATTACTTTAATAGCAGTTAAAAATTTATAAGATGCAAACACGACAAACATTGATTTGTGCAAAAACCAAAGAAAATAACATTTATAATAAAAATAATAATGTTGATTAACAAAAACTCAACGCAATGGCAAAAACCAACAAAAATAATGTTGAAGTTTGTAATGAGCTGGAGATTGGCTAACGGAATGTGGAACCAGAGTTTATAGGTAGACAAACTTTAGATGTTGTATCTAATTTGTAGCTTAATTCGAATTGCTTTTGTTGTTCCCCATATATCCCGTATAGCCGATTTGTTTCTCATGTTAAACTTTAAGAACCTAATCAAGCAACAACTCTATTTTTATTGTATTTTGTCAGAGAAGGCAACTTGAATTTAAAATTGCATAAATTCAGAGCGATCCAAACGAAGTACAGAGATTATTTTGCATTCCGCACAACTCGCGTGTACGATTTATGTATGAACCAAGCCCTTGAGCAGCAGTTTTTAAATAAGAAACGAGCAAAGAAACAAAACAAAAAGAAAATATAAGAAAAACAAAAGAACAAATTACTAACGTGACGTAATGAAAGTAAATTGAATCGTTGAATTACAAATTTAATATAAACTATAATTATAATACAACAAGAAAAACAAATACCGAAAAATGAAAATAAATAAAACAAAATGTTTGTATGTAAAAGAAACTCAAAATGTTAGATCATCTAAAATTTAAATAAAAATTAAATTAAAAAACAAACTTATTCATTCATATTCATTTTCCAGTAAGCTTTTTAAGGAAATGTCAAGTAAGACTCGTGTGGCAGAAAGTAATTGCATCTTAAAGTAGGTAAAAAAACTCGCATGGAAATCTAATTTTTAGTACAAATGTCTTGCTAAGCTCAAACAGTTCAGCTAACACAAGACTTGGCTGATTTTGGATATGTACAGCACTTTAAATCGGACTAGGAGAAAAAATACAGCAGATTCTCGATTCTAGTTTTTGAATTCTGAAAGTATGCACTATAAATGAAATTTTTGCATTCCTTTGAATACAATGTACTTTTTACTGCATACTTATGGGCATATGCATTAAACAAATCTCTCAACATTCCATTCCTGCAGAAATCATTAATCTGTTTTGAGGCAAGCCCAAAATGATACCCTATAAAATTAAATATAGAAAGTCATTGCATACTTTCCTGATGTCTTCCTTTCTAATATCTATATATTATCCGGTAGGACATGTAATCTTGATATTCTCAAAGAATATTAAATATCCCGAGTTCATCAAATTAAAAACCATTTCGATATTTTTCTAAAAATTTCAACAAATTCCAAAGGAGACATAGATGAAGACAGACTCTGAAAATCATTCTTTATAAATAAAGAATTGGTCCATCAAACCAGTATTCGCAGAAAACTTGTTTTTGTGGTAGTTAAGTACAGTCACCGACGCAAATTAAATGTCAACATATTCAGACTGCAAACCCGCAAAAAGTAGTTAACCAGCTGGCATCGAGAAGATTTAAGGAGGCATTATTGGTGTGCGTATCTGTTTTATTTAAATATAATCATAATAATATAAATCTGTTAAGGCTTAGGCCAAATTGGTCGTACTCGTAGTATTAGCTAAGGGCGAAGCTACTCTAACAGTTTCTTTTTGGATTTGGGCGTGGAAATCGTGCGCAATGAGACGCGTCGTGGCGCCTTGGCGTTGGGCGTGGTAGGTTTCGATGAGGCATCAACTGAAGGTGCAGGGGCAGATATAGGTGCAACTGTTGCTGCTGCTGCTGCAGACGGTGCTGTTGTGGGTGCTGTTGCCTTGACCGGCGTGCCGGCATCCTCTTGTGTATCCTCGTAGATAAGTCGCATGTCTTCGGTGCGCTCGAAAGTTGCCTCATTGATGGCCAGCTGCGAGTCCTGCGCCTTTTTTGTCTCATTCAACAGCTCGAAGGGAGATTTGTCCGCCGACAGCGGACTTATGCCATCCACCAGCGGCCACGCGTCCATGGCCTCCTCAACGACAACAGGCGCACTAACGACACTGGGTACAGCGGTGAGCACGCGAGGCGTACGCCGCACCGCAATGGGCGTGGCATGTTTGGCGGGCAATGATTTGGGAGTGTTGCTATTGCTGCTGCCCGGCGTACGCGGCAGCCTGCGCACCTGGATGGGCGTGGCCGGTCTGCACTTCTTTTCCGGTGACTCGAACTTTTCCTCCGAGCTTATGATCTGCTTGTCGAGCACACCAATTGCTGGCTTTGTCACAATCTGCACCGGCTCCAGTTCCACGCTTGCCTTGCGCTTCACAGTTGGTTCTATTGAAATGACAGTGGGCGTTTCTGTGGGGGTGTCAGCTGTGACTTTACGACGAATTGCAATGGGCGTGGGCTCCGTAACTTTGCGCGGCGAGCGCCGGAAGGCAATGGGCGTGGGTTTGATGTCCGCTTTGGGTACAGGTTTGGGGCTGCCTGATGACTCAGTCGAGCTGCTGCTATGCAGCGAGGAATCATTATCTGCATCCAGGTCAATTTCTCCTTTCTGCTTACACCCATCTAACTTGCTGTCTCCGCTGGTTTTGATTTCCTTCTCGATGTTCGCCTTAGTTTTTTCCAGCAGCGGTTGCCGTGTGACAGATTCATCCATCGATGGTTTTTGTCTCCTTTTGCGCTTGATTTTGCGATGGCGTTGCGGCGCATTCTCTGATGTTTTGGCTGCAGCGCACAGCACTGCATCCATTTCCTCATAGCGCTCGCCCAGCTCGTTTTCCGAAAACGTAAGAAGCGAGCAGAAACCATCGGTGCTGGACACGATCAGTACATTGCCATCATTGGACCAGGCCAAATCGGTGAGACGTGTGTAGTGTATGTTGGACACAATTGCAAATGGCACCGGTTGCTGTGTGTCGTAGAGGAACACCGAATTCTTGGTGGCCACCGCATAGATCATGCGATATGGCAGCGTTATAATTGGCGGATTCTTATCCGCATTGTACGGTCGCAGACAGTACAGCACGGGTGAACAGCGCACCGCCACGGTATATTCATTCGGACAGGGCAGCACAAAAGCCGGCTGACTCAGATCGTAGCGACTGTACCCATACGTGGTATTCGTCGGCTTTATCACGCCATCGTAGTCCGTGACGCCGGCGGGCGTCAACAGCAGTTTGCCATCGGGCGTAAAACACAGCCGCCGAAAGAACGTTTGCAGCGTGCCGTCGTGATACAGGCGCACGCTTCGCCCATGCAGCTCATGTCCCTCCTTCACAGGCAGCGTGCATTTGCTGACTCGATGCAGCACGCGTCTTGTGTTGACATCAAAAATGCGCAAATGCCTACAAAGAAACATAAGTTTGTTAATATAGAAAGAGCATTGGAACTGCAAACTGATGCTAGAAATATGCCACCCACCTGTCCGTACTCATTGTGGCAACATATTGATTGCACGGATCCCAAGCCACGCCCTGTACATAGCTCTTGTGATCATCCAATATGGCCAGGGATTTGCCCTTGTGGACATCCCACAACATGGCCGTATTATCCACGGAGCCGGTGATCAGAAATTGCGAATTGGGCGCCCAGCTCAAATCGTATACATCCTCTCGATGGCCACGCAACACTTTCAGTGTCAACCACACTTCGCGATCCTGTTCGCTATTCACGCCCGCATCCACAATGTTGACCACTTCGTGATCCGCTTTTTGTTTCCATATGAAGACAACACTTTCATCGTCGCCGGAGGCCAACAGTTTGCCGTTGGGTGACCAGCGCACCGTATTGACAGCCCGCTGATGCCTCGCCAGATCTGCCGCCAGTTCCAGTTCAATGGCCTCTCCACCGCAAAGATACCAAATGAGAACATGTGAATCGGTTCCTCCTGATGCCAACCGACACATTGTGGATGAAGGTAGGCCCACACCATTGTACTGTATGTCTACGCTTAGCACTGGATCGCGATTATGCCAAGAGATTTCGGGTATTTTGCACTTCATAATTGTTTATGCGAATCAATTACTTAAAGTATTATTATATTTCTCTGTTAAGAATGCTGACTTCGCGCCCAAAACTTGGCCAGCGATGTGTACTGTGAGATAAAAACATTGGTATTACGATTATTTGCACAACGATAAATTATGCTAGACACGAATAGGTCAAGTATCGATTACATAAATGAAACTGATCGACAAGAAAAAAAGCCAAAAAGGCCCAATCAAATATTAAGACGATACAAAACAGATAACTGTGATAGGGAAAGCAATAAATATTTATTAATCAAAAAGAAAATAATCGTTTTCTAGACAGGATATGTTTCTCGTATTTCCAGCTAACTTAAATTTATAAATGGCAATATGGCGAAAACGGCAGCACTGCTCTGTGGATTTGCAGACGATATATATCGCATCAATAGCAGCCAACTTAACTGGTTTCGAGCTCGAAAATCGCAACACAGCTGCTAAAATGGTAAACAAATGCCGCATTTTATTAATTTATCCAATATTTTTTAACTGATTTCATTTCTAGTCAGTAACCTTGCACACCGACGTAGGCGACATTAAAATCGAGCTGTTTTGTGAAGCTTGTCCCAAGGCCTGCGAGAATTTTCTAGCCCTCTGCGCCAGCGACTATTACAGCGGATGCTGCTTTATCAGGAACATCAAAGGATTCATTGTGCAAACAGGCGATCCAACCAATACAGGCAAAAATGGCCAGTCCATTTGGGGCACCAAGTTCGATGATGAGTTTAAGGAAACAGTAAAGGTGGGAAAACATACTGAATGTGCTATACGTTTAGATTTCAAAATAACTTTATTTTAGCACACGGATAGAGGAATGGTCTCCATGGCAAATAATGGTCCCAATGCGAATGCCAGTCAATTCTTCATTACGTACGCTGCACAGCCTAATCTGGACTTGAAATATACGCTCTTTGGGCGTGTAATCGATGGCTTCGATGCACTCGATGAGCTGGAGAAGCTGCCCGTAAACCCAAAGAACTATCGACCCCATTTTGATAAGAAAATTAATGGAGTAACGATCCATGCCAATCCGCTGGCAGCGTGATAAATGACTCAAATTGCATTAGCTGATACATATATTATCTAGCACTTAAGTTTAAATAATTGTTGCATTTACAAACAAATTAATTGAGAAGCAATTTGTGCAAAAGCTTCGTGAATTAAAACTAACAAGTCAGCCAAGTTGTTACACAAATTTTAATTTAGTTTTGTGTAGAATTGCATTGCTCATTTCGCTTAAATTTTGCTTTTTTTTATCTTGTAAAAAACGTTTTTCCAACACTTTTACACTTAAGATTGAAAACTTAGATTAGAGACGATATATGTTTGGATGTTTGTAAAAACGAATAACTAGAAAAGTAAAAACAAATGCTAACAAGAATCTCTCAAGACTGCACTACAAGAGGACTATGGACATTATTTAGACACGCCGTTGGTGAGCTTCTTGGCGGGCTGTGGATGATCCTTCATATGCTGCTCGAACATGCTGCGGATGTCTGCCAGCGCCTGGCAAATGTTGTTCGCGAAACGGTGCACATCCTGAAATAAAGGCAATGTTGTCTTTAGATTTAGTTTTTAGTCGTGGGGATTAGTCGCATGCATACCGTTTGCGGACACGTGGTCTTTGCTGAGATATGGAAGAACATTAAATTTTCTCCGGCGATGATGTAGGATACGCCATAGCCATCATCGGCGACGGGTCCAAAGCCACCGCCGGCGCTAATGCAATTCGGATGCTTCTTTAAATCCATTTTGGGCGTTTGGCCATGCGGGGTTTGACTAGTTGAGAGGCGCCAGGGTTCGCTTAGCACCTCGTTCAGGAAGGGCGAGTCTACTTCCAGGTACTTGGACACCACATACAGACAGAACAGATGACGATCAATGCCTCGTCCACACATGGCATCCTGATAGCCCAACTGATGACGATCACATGCATCCTTCAGCAGCTGCACACGATCATCGTTCTAAAATATAATAATAAAATGCTTATTTTGGTGACATCCAAGTTGAGAAAAAGATTTACATACCGTCGTGCTGGGATCCATCATGGCCTTTACCCACGCAGCCGACTCAATGGTGCAGGGGCGCACAGTTTCGGTGCGTCCCTCGCGGAACAGGCGCGTCATGGAGGCCTCATATGTCAGCGAGAAACGTCCAGCATCGCGATAATAGGCCAGCTGCAGGGCCATCTGAATGTACGCATCCGGCGAGAGGCGGCACTTCTTCATGAAGCCCTTGCCGTACTCGCGATGCACCAATATGCGTAGATCCACCTCGTTGACCAGCTTTGTGGCACAGATGGTGGCCTCCTCGATCTGCGGCAGACACGGTTTCAAGTCCCAGTTGAGGCGAGTCGGCGTTGGCGGTGTGAATTCGGGTGTGCCCTTTGTATTGCCAGTTTCATCATATCTGTTAGAATTTCGATTGTGATCCAGAATTAGTGAAGCACAATGAATAAAATGTTTACGCATAATATGCAAAGTTGTTTAGATTTTTGTATTAGTATTAGTTTTAAATTTTGTTAATTATGAAATGCGTTTAGAAAGTTAGTTTTAGTATAGCTATATATAAATTCGATATCATAAAGAAACTCATTTAAAGTTATTTTCTGTTGAGATTGTTTTAAATTAAAATTTTAGTTTTTAGATAAAATTTTAGTTTTACCCATCAATATCATCACCAAATATATATTCCCATACGTGTCCCATAACCGGAGCGTCAGCCCTACAAAAAAAGGGACAATTATAATCAACAACCACAAAGCCACAACCAATGTTAAAAGGAATATTATATAAAATATGTACAATATACAATCTGATAAATAATAATTGATAATAATAATAATAATAAAAATAATAATAATAATAATAAGATCAACGCAGCCAACCGACACCAGCAAAAGGATAACGAATGTCGGAGCATTTACCCGTCACTCTCAAGATCATCAACGACCAGATTCTCCCACATGTGTGAGGCGATGGCAGCGTCGGACCTTTTACACAAATTTTTCATAATTTGATGAGATTACAAAATATAAGGTAAATATATGCAAAAAAAAACTCTTCTGCTTACTTATGGCAGCTGGGAGAAATAATAATATGTAATATAGTAAACCGATGTTGGTAATAATAATTTCATAAATATTTTTCGAAATATTCGAAGCATTAATCACTTGTATTTGCTGAGATTCGTTGAAACTTTTTAAAAGTCCTACAACTTATTTCATAACCAAACGTTTCTTTTAGAGCGTCAAATTATAAATCAGGATAGTTTTACGACATCACAGAAACAGGCGGACATAACTATATCAACTCGGATATCAATGTTGAAGATATGTTCCTCATTTTGTAATTACTTAAGAATAACACTTGCAAAAAAACATATGTCGATAACTCTGATTTGTGGCAGATAAAGTTGACGCCAACTCGTCGGGAAGTACATACCAGGTGTGCTCGGCATTGAAGCCGACGCGTCCGTTGGTGCCCACGCAGACAGTGAAGCACTTGTCAAACCAACGATTGTATCCATTGCCATGGAGCAGCTTCTTGCCAAACGAGTCCAACAACTCCGGTCGCTCCAAATCAAACTCGAATGGCTCATCGTCTAGCGAGAGGACAAACGCAGCGGATTCGATGGCATGCAGCGAAACATGATTGATGCCACGCGCGAAAAACGTGTTGCGTGCCTCGGCCCACTTGGAGCGATTCCAGGCGGTCAACGCAGCCAAACACTCCTCACCATCCAAGGGGGTCGCCTTGGATTCGAGTATGCTCTCGATTTGACTGCAATGTGCATAAGGGATATAAAGAAGTGACTTATATTTTACAATGGAGAACGCATTGTCAGCTTACACTTGTAGCTCGCAGGGACGTAGAATGCGTCCCTTGTGATAGATGGTCATCTTGTAGTAGCAGCCCTTGTGCAGCACCACAATATGATTGGAGTCGCGATAGTGAACTATGCGATCCGTTTCCAAGCCGGGCACTCGGGCCGTATTGAAGGTGCGCTCATATTGCCACGAGCAGAGCGGTATCATGCCCTGCACCATTATCGGTTGTAGCTCCTGATGCTCGATCAGACGCCTGAAGTTGAGCAGCAGTGAAATCACGTTGGCGGCACGGGCCGACTGAATTGAGGTGAGATTCATGAAGATGGCATCGGTGCCATAGAAATTGCTGTTCACACATAGGGGACTGCGACCGCGTAGATAGACATATTCCTCCCACCAATCCGAGACGTAGTTGGTGGATGTCCAGCTCTTCAAAACCAGATACAACTGTAGTTTCCTGCCAATGGTTTGCTCAAACTCCTTGGCTAATCCCTGCATGCGTTCGTAGTTGGCATCATCCAACAGTGGACGCACCGAGCGCAGATAACGCGCCATCGTATCGTGCACAGAGGGCAACGGAAGTCGAGGCAACGAACCCTGAAAACTGTACAGACTGGGCTTGTTCCAGGTGGAGAGCACACGGACAACGGCCACCCACAGAATTGTGGGCAGCGAGACACGACTGCCCGGTGCTCTCGATTCATACATCCAGCCCTTGTAAATCAGCAGCAGTTTCAGGGTGTATCGCATCGTGAAGCATATCGACAGCCAGATGGCGAGTGCCGTCAGGAAGCAGGCGCAAATCTGCCAGTTCATTGTGTTGCTGGGCAGATGCACCAGAATTCTGTTGGTCAGGTTGAAGGGCGCATTGTAGCCGGCAAAGTGCAGGCCCAACGCAATGGCAGTTATTAGCCACAGGCTTTGTATGTGCGCCGGATAAACACCGTTGCGAATGCCATTCTGTAAATATATATTATTATTATTATAATTATAATTTATTAGTATTTTTGGTTTAATCTTACCCTGGCACGGGCCACACGCTTCTTCCAGGAACGCACGCCCGAGTTGAAGACCAGATTGAGCACCTCGTGGTCATAGTTGATGTCAAAGCCCTCGTGCGTGATCGCAAACGAGAAGGCAACGGCGGAATGGGCTTCAGCCATACCTACAGCTTGTCACAACCAAAGAGTGCTGCAATTGAAGGCAAATATCACATATGTCAGAGACGGATTAGATTAGATACGAGTGCCACTTCCACAGCTTTTACATCAACAACACTCGAGTACATTATTATTAAGTCATTAACTTTGCTTATTGTTCTTGACCAGTTTACCAACTGCATTGCGACTTAATTAATATTAAACTGAACGAAATAGAGACTATCTTTCTGTCTGGCAAATTCCAATACTATTATAAAAATTTATTTATTTATATAGATAGCAAAATTGTAAACAATTTACCTTAATGAGTCTTACACTGCGGCCTTCAGCTAATTATTGGCAAATATTTATTTTTTCATGAGGAGCCAATAAGTTTGATTAACACTTTTCATATTATTTGCAAGTAAAGACATATTTTGCAAGTGCCAAATGTATGCGTATAAAGTCGAAGCTAATAGTTTATTTGCAATTAAATTAGTATCAGCAGTAGCAACAACTGATTACAAAATTTGCTACCAACTTATTTATGGGGTCTTAAATTTTGGAATGTTAAGCTAAAATAAGCAACAAATTGCAGCAATTAAATTTGTATATGCGATTCTCTCGGAAAAATAGTATTTCAACAATATTAAAGTTGTGTGTACATGTTAGATACGGTTGGCATTTAGTATTTGAGTGTTGCACACATTTGTCTGAATTTGAACTGCCACAAACTGCTCACGTTCAATTCGAAATTTGTTTATGGTTTTATGAATTATCACACATAAGTACTTTAGTTTAAATTGTTGACTGCATTTAATATTTTTTTGTTGACTCTCAAAAAGGTTTACCTCTTGAGATTTGAGCACAGATCTCAAATGTGTACACATAAATGCACTTCACAATTAACTGCAATGAATCGCAGTATTTTGACTTTGATTACTGCACTTTGAAACGTGTTGAGCGTTTAGCAACAGCTTTTGCACGGCTCGCTCTCACATACTCTTTATTTATTGTAGAGTAGTTATCGCTGTGAGCCAAAATGTGATCATTGACGTCATGGAGAAGTTCGCGGCTACCCTGCTGCGATAACCCCAGTCTATAGAATAAAAATTAGTATGAGAACCAGACTGAGAACTCAAGAGTCTGTGAGTTGAGAATCGATGGAGGCGAGAGGAAGAGAGTCAATCAAATGCTGAGCATTGAGTGCGATCGCAGTTCCATTGACACTTGATTAAAGCAATGAAAACAATAACTAAATGAACTAAGTGAACTGAGTGAGTGGCTGAACTCAAGCATTCAGTGAGATTTTTCAAGTGTCAAGTGTTTAGTGAGAACACTTAAATTGTCATTTGCATAAAGCTAATGGCTTGTGATAAATTGAGAAGCGATTGTTTCAATTTTGCGCCACACAAGTGAAGCACACAGATAAAATTAACGAAAAAAACCACACAAAATAATCAGAAATTTAGATTGAATTCTATTTGCTTGACAATTATTTATAATTATTGACTATGGTAAAATAATTGTCAAAATTCTAATAATTGATCATAGTAAAATAATTGCCAATTATTAAATATTAAATGCTTTTTTCTATATGCACATAATTATATATGAATTGTGTATCAAAAAATGTTCTCATTTGCGAGGTAACACTGTGTGTGGAAGTGATCTAGCCTATGTTGTTATTAGCAGCGACTATACGCAAACTTGAAAAATTGTTTACTGACAGAGCCATAAACCTTGATGCCAAGCAAAAAGAGTGGCTTGTAGCTGAAGGCCAATGCAGCAGCAAACAGCAGAAGCAGCAGTAATAATAGACAACAACAGCAACAACAACAACAGAGAAAACCACAACAGCACAATAATAATACAGAAAAACAACAGCAACAAACAACGACATTTGTGTTTATTTTCGTTTGACCCACTTTTGATTAGGCGCTTACGCGCCGTATGCGTAATAATTTTAGTAGACGATCACTACCGGCTTTTCAATATTCATGTGTGCATTCATTTCATTTGTGTTTTTTTCTTTCTTTCCTTTGGTGTCTACGCCGATAAAGCCAAACAAGAAATATATATAAATATATGCATGGGTGTGTATGCGTCTGTTGTTGTTTTTTTTTTGATTTATTTAGCGGTGGCCACGAGGGTTCAAAGTCCAATTTTAAATTTTGTTCATTTTTTTTCGTCTCTTTTTAGCATTTGCATTTGTTTTTTTTTATGTACAAAAAAAATACAGATGGCAAATTTTTTAAATTATCACAATTTCAAGTTGAATTTTAACTCAGGCAAATTATCGGTAAGCACTTTTATATAACGGGTGGAAAAAATCAGAAAAACGTAAGAATCTCAAAATGCGCTGATAAGAGAGACGTGAGACTTCGCTTGACGCTTATCACGCAGGGGGCCAACACTCAAAAGTGCGAGAACGTTCAAGGAAACAGAAAGAATGAATGAAAGAGAGAGAGAGAGAGAGAGGTAATTTCTTAAACTGGGGCATACACTAGGGAAAGGCAAAAAAAAGTACAACAATGACTAGCAGCAAGTGCAAGGTAAGCCAGAAGAAAATGCATATTAATTAATTTGCTTTGGTGGCCTTCTATTGAGAACCAATTTGTATTAAACCAACCTTTGGGTATTTGTGTGTAAACCGTTTCAATGATATGCACTTGGTTCAATTGAATTAACTAATTACAAAACCGAATTCCGATTATAGTTTGTGTTTGTTTTTTTTTATTTTTTGTTTGTCTTGTGTTGGCCAAGAAAATAGAGAAACGAAACAACTTGATCGCTTGAACGCCGAGCGTCAACTGATTCAGCTGCGTGGCAGAGCTGTCGTGCATGGGGTGTCTAGAAAACCCAAGCAAAGCAGCAGCAGCAGCAACAGCAACATATACATATGCAGACACAAATACATGCACAACTACTACAATGACGGATACACATATAGACAGAGGCACAGACACAGATGTTAGTGCTGCTGCGTCACAGTTCAGGCTAGTCAAGAAGTTCGTGGTGAGAGATCGATACGAAGACTGAGAGAGAGAGAGAGTGAGAGGGAGCCGGCGAATCGTTAAAGGTTAATCACACACACACACACTCACACATACATATGAACATGCATTTGCACGCTGTAAACATTCCCAAGTGCATTTCGATTAATTGCTGTAAGGGAATTCATTTAAATCTCATGCACACATCTCTCTCTCTATTTGTGGGGGACGGCGACTGCGGCTGAGATAAACCTACTATATGTGTGAGCATGCATGCATTTGTATGTGTTTATCCGTAACTATAAAAATAGCATAGAGTTCTATGCCTTTGCCAAGATAAAAAGTGAATTTTTTGCGACTAGCTAGCCGCGTAAATTATGGACGGGCATATATTAAAGGTTGTTCAAATGCTGAAACTATCACAGCGTTTTATTATTATTTTTCTGTTTTGTTTTCCATTGCTCTGACAATTGTCGCTGGACAAATAATTAACATGTGCCTGCCACTAGAGCAGTCAATACAACAATTACATTGACAACTCTACTAAATCAAATTTCGCTTTCTTATTTTTTATTTTCAACGCTAAGCGATTCATATGTTTACACTGTTAATATGGTATCCTAAAAAAAATTAGATCTGATTAAATTAAAAGCAGTACTTAAATCGTTATCTCGATTTAAACTCTGTCATTGATAAGATTGAAAAGATAACTTTGCTTTTCAAATACTACTAAGAAAAGTTAATTAGCGTAGAAATAGTAACCATTTCTCTTTTCGACATTGAGGGTTCCATTTTAGACTAAAACTGAGCACTTTTTGGATTATCAATAGTTTCGCATAGAGCATTGAGTGATGCTATTTAAAATGCGTCGATAAGATACCACTATTTTGCCATTATAATGTATTTTATCGCACTTGTCGTGAGCTTAAAGTTCAATTGCGTGTTTGGGGTCCAAAAAAGTAGAACGCAATTTAAAATAAATAAAAGATAAGCCTTAGGCATGCAGATTGATAGGTTAAATTTTTCAAGTATTGCAAAATTTTTACTACGAAATACATTCTTAGCGTATTCGTGACACATTCAAAGCGTCTGGTTGGCATTTTTTGGAGCAGACAACAAAGAGGTGCTTATCAGCTTATGGGCAACAGGTTCTAATCAAACTTTATCGGAAGTCTTTCCAAAAAAAATTTATTTAAAAAAATCCCCAACTAATGGAATCTGGCAGGGAAAATAAGTTGCAGCCGTGCCAGATCATAAGACTTAAAGACGCTTAACACACATAAGCCAATTGCGATTGGACTTTGAACCGTAAGCAATACACGAATGCTAAGCGAGCTAGCCGAGCAAATTCATATTCGTATTCGTTTCCTCTAATTAAAGGGGGCACTTAAGTTAAATAAGTAATATACATTAGGTTTTAATCGTGAATTCTAAAATCTATTCTAATTACAAAGTGAAATTTTTAGTATGCAAATTGAATCCGATTAAGTTTAGTTAATCGATTTAAGATTGAAGTAACTAAACTTTTCACAAGACCAACTACATAAATATTATTATTTATCTTGAGTTCCTCTCAGTTGTTGTTGCTCTCATTTGCGCCCACACAACTGCACCTGTCTGCTGCGTTAGTGTGTGTGTGAGTGAATGTGTGATGTTTACAATGTTGCGCTTGAGTCTGTGTCTGTCTGTCTATTCGAGAGCTTTTTGCTCACCCACTCTTTTTTTTTGAGAGAGCGCGAAATATTGTTGAGTTTTTTGGACTTTGAACCTGGCGCGTGAGTTAAGAAAATAACAAAGTGAAAAAGAAACACGCAAACAACAACAGCAACGACAAACTGTCTTGTAATAATTGTTATTATGCTTGCTGTCTCTTTCTCTCCCTCTCTGTTTTCCACAACAAGTTTCCATGTGAGTGGAAAATGGAAAAGAGGGGCTTGCTTATGACCCAAATAACAGAAACAGGTTGAAACGCTTTGTGTGTGTCTGTATTTTACTTGAAATGTTTTTGGTATTGAGCAATGCAGCGTCATTAATTTAGGTTGCTGGGCCACAAAACAAAAGGGATTTCAGGTAATCGTACAGCGTAACCAGAATCAAGTCTTGTACAGAGTCAAAGGTGAATGCACGGCGCCTGCGTGAGACGAAGCGCCTTTAATTTGTGTTTTTTTTTTTGTATGTGCTGTATTTATGTATACAGAATAATACCCTTCACTTACATGTGTATTGAAAAGAACTTATTTTACACGCGCTTTAATCCAATTAAGCTTAAAATAAAAGCGGAACGAAACGAAACGTAAAAAAAACACAAGACGCAAAGCAAGCAGAAAAGCAGATTGTCGACACGAAACGAAAAAGACGCGCGCGCAATGTTGTAAACGGTCCAACGCAACAAAAGAGACTGAGTGAGAGCGGCTGTAAGCGAATGCAGCCAACCAACCATATGATCGCAGCTGCGAGCGGAGCATGTAAATTAAATTAGGGTGACCATGTGGCTGATAATTCTCATTGCAGCAATTATTTATTATTTTTGCCAATTCCAAAGCACTTGCTTCAAGTTGAACTTTTACTTATACTGTATGTCTTTTTTTAGTTGTAATTTAATGTATGCTGAAAGTTATCCTACAGGTTCTGCACTTTCCTTATCCTTGCTCTCGACTGGATTTGAGAGTCCTCTTATGCTCACATCGTAGACAACTTCTTCAATTTTCTTCACATCGTATTTGAGCGCATCGAAACGCTTGCGAAGCCCATCATTCTTCATGTTGAGCAAGCGAAAACCCGTGTTTAGATCACCAATAAAATGAGAGATATTCAACGGTCGCTCGTAGTCGCCCATGGTGACGGAATTTGTGGCGAAGCGAGATAGTTCCGAGGCAAGCAGCAGTATGCCCAGCAAATAGTCCTCAATGTCCAAATGAAAGCCATCCGAATGTTTGATTTTCACTAATCGACATATAAATGAAACATTTTAAATGTGTTGTATCTTGTGTGTTGGGCAACTTACAGCCGAGCATCTCTGCTGCCGTTTCGCGCGTCACCAAAAAGCCCGCCTCCAGATAAATTACCAACGCAATCAAAAATATCAAGCGCTGCGTAATGTAAGTCCAATGATCCGAATAGCTGAATAAGACAACAGAAATCAGCACATTAGAGGACGCCTACACAATCTACAATTAGCGCTAAAATATTTCGAACTTGTCGTACCGGTAATACTGCCCAGCCGGCACCAAGGCGGATAACTTCTGATATTTCTCCGCACAGGCTTCGATTTGCTTGCGTGCCATGCCGCAAGCATTGCTAACTGTAGATTTAAGTAAAATATTGATTTAGTGGCTATTAAATTGAGAGATGTAAACAATAACTTACTTTTGCTCAAATCACAGTGTATGACTTGTAGTTGTATTGTGGCCTCCTTTGCCAGATGCTCAATTTCGCGCACCACAATGCGAATGTTCTGTGCAAAGATAAATTTATTTAGATAATTATTGCTGCAACTTGCACAATTTAGACTCACCTCACGCAACTCCTGCTCGTTGTCTATGTACTTCTGATAATTGGAGAAAACTTCCATGTTTACGAAATGCGACATTTTGTTTATTAAATTTTTGCTTGTTTATGCCGGCCTTTTGCAAATACACAAATACATGTATAGAAGACAATCGACTAAGTGACTACATATATCTAATATCAGTGTTGATTTCCATGCGATATATCGATATGTGCTCGCGCTAGTGTTGTGTAGCGACCAACAGACGTATTCCGTGCTTTCCGTTTTGTTAATTGAAGTCAAAGTCAAGTGAATTTGTACAAGCAAAAATGTCCTACGTAAGTTTGCCAGAGAAGAAGTTAGCAACAAACTTGCATTTTAACGCATCATCTCCTCACAGGGTGGCAGTTTCAATCCTTACGCTCAGCCTGGTGGCGGCTATTCCCCGCCCCCGGGCGCCTTTCCCCCACAAAACGCCCAAATGAACCAACAAGCCCAACAATGGTTCGCCATGGTGGATAGAGATCGTTCGGGCAAAATCAACGCCGCGGAGCTAAAGGCTGCTCTGGTCAACGGACGGGGCCAACAGTTCTCGGACAACGCTTGCAAACTAATGATAAGTAAGTTGACACACGCCTTACACACCCAGTGAAGTGGAGCAGAAAGTAGCAGAAAGCAGTTGGCCAATGACTCAGTGAGACAATTCTTTTATTCGTTGTACACATGTATACATAGTTTATTATAGTATCATATATCATATATGCTTCGGAAATGTATCACGCATTCTGCCGCCAGCATAAATGTACGTGCCTAAGTAATATAATTTTTGGGGCATTTAATCTTTAATGATCGAGTTTCTTTCATGTATACAAACTTCTTTATATATATACATAAATTTCAAAAATTTGTTATGTACCCCATATACAATGCTTATACTTGCTCAGGAGGGGGCTTCTTCAAAAGTGCATATTTGTTTAGAATATCTACCGGACTGATAAACACATTTTTGCTTGTTTACTTAAGGCTTTATTGTCTGTACTAAACTGAAATTATCTTCCAGGTATGTTCGACAACGACGCCAGTGGCACTATTGATATGTTTGAGTTTGAAAAGCTCTACAATTATATCAATCAATGGCTGCAGGTTTTTAAGACCTACGATCAAGATGGCTCTGGTCACATCGAAGAGAGTGAACTGACTCAAGGTAAACTATAAAAACGATTATATATATATATTAGCTGTATTAATGGCTTTTCTTATGTAACAGCTTTCACTCAAATGGGCTTTCGCTTTACGCCCGAGTTTATCAACTTTCTGGTGAAAAAGAGTGATCCCCAAACTCAGAAGGAAATATCGGTCGACCAGTTTATTGTGCTATGCGTGCAAATTCAGCGCTTTACGGAGGCCTTCAGGCAGCGCGATACTCAACAGAATGGGACAATTACCATTGCCTTCGAGGACTTCCTGAGCGTTGCCATCGGTTGTTCATACTAAGAAGAAAAAAAGAGGATATTGATTCCCAACACGCCCCAGAAACTCAGCCTTTATAGATTAAAATTTGATTCCGTTAATTTTGTGCATTTCGTTTAAATATATGGTGTATGTTAATTCACATTATTCCCTAACTCGCCGATCACATTGTAATCTCCACTGAAACAGATCGAGTATTGTTATCATAGCTTGAATCGCATTAAGTACAAAATCAAAATAAACACAGTATACATATATGTATATAAATATTTATATTTGTAAATGTAAAATAATTGTGTTTTATTAAAGTGTGAACATTGTGAATATATAGATTAATGATAATACATGTCTTCGTTTTCTTCAAATTGAATGTTTTAAGCAGTTTCACTGCCAAAAAATTCCAGTAAATGTCTTCGTTTTGCATCATTGAACAAATACTTTAACTTAATCAGCACTTCATTGGAAATTAGTTCGTAATAAATCTACTCAAAATGGCAGTCAAGAACTATATATATAAATATTTAAATACATTTGGGTTTATGATGTATTTAATATTTGGTTTGGGAATCATAATAAAAACAATATCTTTTTTTATGCTTTGTGATTTTTTTTGTTTACTTAAATATATATGCGCTCAGTCTTAAAAGTCAATATGATATTTGATGCATGTATGAATGATTTTGGTTGTTAAAATAATAAATTTTATTCAATCCATAATCGATTTGTGATTTTAAAATTAAAATGTACGAATGATTAGCTCTAAATCAGTCAAATCCTTTCAATTAAATAAATACCTAATATGGCATAAACTGAGGAGATCGCTTGGACAGGTTGGAAAATAATTCAGGAATATGCTGAGTAAATAAATAGATAAAGAGATCTTTGGGCATGGACAAAGTTTGGTTAAAATGGAAGATTTGGGCAAGCTTTCATCAATTATGATCTACAATGCATACTTAATGGACAACGTGATGGGTAAATCGTATGTATCGTAAATAAAACGCTAATTGTTTTGGCATTTTATTGTTATGGATATGGATATGGATATGTGGTCTTAACTTTGACCAACTCTTAAATATCATTAAATAAATCAATGTGTGTGTGTGCGTGACCTGTGGGCTTAGAAGTAAACATAATTTTGCAGAAAATAATCGTTTGGTTTATAAAAATTCCTACAAAAATATTTGCTTATGTCAATTAAAATATCATTTTGCAAAATATCAAAGTCGCTTCTTCTTCTTTCTTCTTTTTCATTGCTTCCCTTTTTTTCTGTTTTTTTTTTTTGTTTAAAGTATAAAATTATAGATTGAAAATGGATGTATATAGATGACTTAATACTAATTAGTTTCTTTTATGATTTTGATTAAATGCTTGATTAGAATTGTTTGCACTCCTTATAAATTATAAATTATTAATACATAAAACGTAGAATTATAATTCTTTTAGGATGACACAAAAAATGACAAGAAATAATTCAAAGGATTTTCATTTTCGTAGACAAATTAAAAAAAGACAATTACGGTAATACATAATGGGCGAAAACATATTTAAAATTCCAACTTCCAGTAGCCGTAAAGTGGTATTTATGTATTTGGTATGAATCGTATGTGTCAAATGTAAACTCCATTTCAAATCGCAATCACTTATTGCAGTCAATGATCAGCTTGCCCTGTGAATCATCCGATATGGAGCCGCTATAGCTCATGTTGCCGCCCTCCATTTTAATGGAGTACTTGGAGCGACGCTTGCTGGGCAGCTGTGGCAGTTCCGTGTGGTGTTTGCGCACATGGACACCAAGATTGCCGCGCTGCTTGGACTTATAGGGGCAGTAGGGGCACTGATGAGCCGGCTCCTTGCCGCCACACTCGACATTCTCATGGCGGCGCAACGTGGACTTCCAGCGATACTTTTTGAAACAATGACGGCACTCATAGACGGGCTCACCATCCAGACCGATGCCATTGGGACTGGTGATGCTGCCGTTGCTGCTGCTGCCCCCATAATCGCTGAGTGTGAACTCCAGTTGGCGGAAGGCCTGAGCATGTACCTCCTTCATCGAGCTGGAACTGGAGTTGTTGGCAAACATGTTCATCGAATAGTTGCCAAACTTGCCGCCCGCAATAGCACTCGACTGTTCCATCAGTTGTATATCATCAAAGGCATGGAACCGTGCATCGTCCTCATCCTCCGTGGATGAGCCCGGCTCATTCTCGCACTCCGAGTGCCGCATGCCGCGCTGCTGCTGCTTGCGCAACAGGTTCTCCAAGATTTTGGTCGGTGTCTCCGCGTCATTCGGATCGGCTTCTTCCTTCAAGCGACGATGGGGCATCTGCTGGCGCAAGACTTCCTGAGCGCGCAGTTGCTGCTGGAAACTGTGCAACCCGTTGCGCATTAGTGCCTCGGCAATAGCCGCAGCTGGTGGCTGCTGCACCGGGGCAACAACTGCTGCTGCTGCAGGATTGGCAACTAGCACAGACGTGGGCACGACCGTTATGCTCGGCATGCAAATATCTGCGGGCACCGCATTGGCACCGGCCGCTGTCTTCATCAAATTTGTGGGGCGTGGATGAAATGTGCCAGCGCCAGCGGCAGCGCTTAGTTGTTGCATTTCATCAGCCATCAAGTTTTTTGAAGCCGTCTCGGAGGCGGCACCATAAACGGCAATCGCAGCAATGCTGGACGGCTCCAGTGTCTCCGCCGAGGTGGGCGACACCTGTCCATACTTACTCAGCTCGGTCGAATCCTGTTGCAACTGCTGTGGCGGCTGTTGCTTCGGCACCTTCGCCGATTTGGTCTTGTAAAACTCGAACAGCATGTCGGACACCTCCGACACGGAGAGACGCTTGCGTCGCGATCCGGGCAGCTGCGACTTCTGCTCCTCGCGCTTAGCATTAAGTATGCTGCGCTGCAGTCCACGCTGTATGCCCGCCGTGCCCATTGCCGGTGCTGTGTTCTCCTTACGACTCAAATCTGTAAGCCAAAAAAACATTTCATATTAGTTTCAAATTACACAATTATGTTGAACAAATTCCGGCACAACACAGTTTTCTTTTTTTTTAATTTATTATGGATCATCGGTAAGTCTGTGGAACAAAAACATATATGATAGCACAAATGAAAAAGCAAATGATGGTTTTTTGTTGTTTGTATGATTGACTGAGCTGAGAACCTGATCTGCTGAGTTAGAATGCAGCGAATAAAATGTGTTAGTTGTGGAGTTAAAGCATGCAAAATAAATAACAAATTATATTAATTACATAAACTAATAATGGAATATATTAAAAACATATTTGGTCAATTAATAAATAAATAAAAGCTAAGTACACATGATTTAAAAATTTATTAAATTTATTCATAACACACACATGAAAAAATGAAAAGTGTAACAGCCACTGAAAGTTGTTTTTTTTTTTTTTTTTTTTTTTTTTTTTTTTTGCAATTTAAGCGAAAATGTGAATTTTTAGAATTTTTAATGTTGATGTTGATGTTGTTGTGGTGGTGCTGGTGGAGTGTTGTTGTTGTTGGCGGTGGTGGTTTTTGATTTGTTTGTACCGTAACCATGATAATTGATTTATGTTTACCTGCCGCATATCTAGAAAAATAAATAAAATAGGTTAGTCATTTTGTTTTGTTATTAAACAATTAAATCCAGCTTCCATTTAGATGCTCAAATCGAACTGAAAATAAAATAAAAAAAAGAAAAACAATAAAATTAATTAATTATTTGATGAGCTCAGTTTAAAATGCAGTTTAGCTTTGTGTTGTTGCGTGGAATGTGCGTAGAGCTTTAAGTTGAGCTTTAAGTTAATCACATTCACTGCACTAGAAAGCTTAGCTTTCAGCTCACTTTGCATACATATGTACATATGTATGTACATATGCATGTATGTATGCATATATGCACATATGTACATATATAATACACCCACGCGCAAGCGCTTGGAAAAGCGTCCACACTGCAACACAAACGAAACTGCACTAGTCGACGGGACAGCTTAACAATTTTCCAAGCACCGCAGCAGGCAAACGCATCCTCAAATCCCAAAGGCTGTGTTGCAGCTGCAACCAATATCAGGCAAACAACTGCTGCAACAACAACAACAACAACATTCGGGAAAAATCTCGTTTCGTTTGGCCTGCCTATGTGTATATATGCATGTGTGTAGTGTGTGTGTGTGTGTGTGTGTGTGTGTATTTTTGTGTATCTGTTGCTGCATGCACAGCAAGTGTACCCAAGGCTTAAGGCCTGCTTGATCCGGGTCCTTGATTTATTTTTACTCTTTGCTCATTTTCCCATTTTTCTACCTAGCTCGCATTCTTTCTATTTCTGGCATTTTCCAGCCTAAACTCTCCCACTGAAAACTTTCTCCGAGCAATAGAGAGAGAGTGTGAACTGACTCAGAGTTAGCAAGAGAGAAAGACCGAGCGAGACAGTGCGAGAGAGAGGAGAGCTAGATAGATTTCGATGGAAAGCATTTGCGCAGGCGCACATACCATCTATGCATGTATGTGTGTGTGCGTGTGTGTGTTGAAGAGCAGCTTCCGGTGGTGTTTCGGGTGTTTTTCTTTTCAATACAGCTGTTGGCACATGTTCAACAACAAGCGCAAACACATAAATACAATTGTGTGGTTCAAGGTCAATATATATATATACAGATATAGAATATATAAAATTCAAAAATTTAACAGCTTTAAAATTAAGAGTTTGTAGATACAACTGCCTGTTTGTCGATAGCTCAGAAATGACAAGAATTTGAGTATGATATTTCGCTACATAAATCCTTAAACACCAAATGAAACTATTAATTTGATATTAAAATATAAATGTCTGTTAAATTTATTATTCCCACAAAACAATAAGAACTAATTAAAGTCTTATTGTAATTTAGCTTGAAATTCTTCTGCTTTATGGAGGATATATATGAATAAAGGTTAACCCAATGAATGGAAAGCGTCGTCGTAATTAGTTAAAGAAATTGGAAATTATTTACGCTTGCAATACAACGACAGAGTCTTACAATTTTATCGAGCGCTTCCAGGAATTTCAACTCGAAATACATATAAAAATAGCTTGAAAACAATAAACCTGGAGCAGACCCTTCGAACTTGCATTTGTATGTGTATTTGTGTATCTGTGTATCCTGCTCAGTGGACTTTGCGAAGGCAAAGCCCAAAAGGAAACGAAGAAAATGTACAAAAATAAAATGCAGGCACGAAACAGCGTCTGCGTGCATTGCCAAATGGAAAATTATTGGAAATGCGCCGTGGGAAGCACAAAGCAAAAGCAAAAGCCGCTCGACAGGCAAACGAAACAGCATAAAAATAACACGAAATCCACACTAAAAACCACACAAAGAGCAGAGCGAGAGAGCCAGAGGGCGAGTGAGATGGCGAGAGAGAGAATGAAAACTTATTTTTAGAGAAACGCAGCTCAGTACGTGATTTATCTATGCACAAATGTATTTGAAATGCATTTGGCTTAGTTTCGTATGTGGGTGTTTGAGAGAGATCCCTAAAGTAAGATAAGAGCTGTGTAGCTGGTTGTACAGTCCTGTCCAGCTAGCTGCGCTTTGTGGTTGGCCAATTTTCAATAGGTTATGATTTCATAAATTTCAAGGACAGAGCCCGAAACTACCCCTTGCGTGCTGCACTGGAACAATGGCTTGAAACCTGTTTTGCTTAAAGGATTAGGATCTATTGTGTTCAAATGCGAACAGAAATTTGCTTCTTTTCGCACTGAGCATATAAAATTTGCTAATTGTTACTGAGCAATGGGGAATAAAAATATAATTAAATATTTAATATTTACCTGTTAGTAGCCACATTGTTTTAGAACCTTAAATAACAAAACACTGCAAATAAAAAAATAAATTAAAAAAAACAATATATTAAATATTGAAATAATCGAATAAAATCATTAAACAGAATACATACCAAGAAAGTAATATACAAATATTTTCCGGTTTGGTTTCGCACAAAACTAAAAAAAAGATATAAATAAAATTTGAATAAACTAAAAAATGTAAGACATCAAAATGTAAGCTATAGAATTAAGATGATTTCTTTTTGTTGGTCACTTGTTGGATCACTTGTTATTTATGTACAATTATTTTTAAATATTAAATCAATATATACAAATATGTTTTTGCATGCGCTTTATCATTTTCTTTTATTAGCAACAGATATAAAAAATTTAAATTGGTCCTTATTAAATGTGGCTTATTAAACGCCTATTTTAATTAACTATAATGACTTACATGCAAGTTGGCTACCAAAAAATAAACTTAGCTTGTTCACTCTCTTTTCCAAAAGGCAAATGAAAAATGCCTGAAAACGGCATTTTCGAAAATACAAATGTGTGCTTTAATTCTAAGCGAGTTTTGGCTGTTACTTAACTATAATAATAACTAGAAATATACCATCATTATCTCAAATACATAATATGTGTAATTTTTGGTCTCAATTTGGTAAATATGTGCTTTTAAATTTTAACAATACAAAAATCGACTTGGAATCCAAACTTCATTTCGCAAATTCAGACTTAGCTCCGTTTTTAAACTGTTATCAATTCATTCCTTTCTTCGTGTTCCTTATGTTTAATGACAGAGTAAAATGAATGAATAGTAATAATAATAGTTGAATGATTTAAGGAACTAACATAACAAATAATTCAATGAATGCAATGAAAAAAAAGTGAAAAGTTATTAAACAAAATCTGTTATTTTTCACATTAATCTTTAAGATAAAGATTTATGAAGTCATGACTCCTTATACATAAAATATGAAAAAATTTCGAAACAAAAACAAAAAATGAAAAAAAAAAGTTATAAGAATGTAAAATATTGGAAACTATCAGAAAAAGAATACATGTATGCTAGCAAGGGGCAACAAGTGTCAACTGCCTACTAAATCTTCAATATATTGAAATCTCGCGAAATTGTTTAAATCAAAACCGAATGCTCTTTGCGCATATGCTCGTTGAGGAAGGCCTGGGAGCGATAGACGCGGGCGCAGAGTGGACAACGATTGGATTCATATTGTGGCGTGCGCTTGGAGCTCTGACGTGGCAGCTTGCGTCCAGCCAAAAGGGTGCTGGTGTCAATGTGTAAATTCTGTGGCAAATGCGGCACTAGATGCTGCAGTGAGCGAGCCGTCGATATGGATGCCAATTGCTGCAGCGCTATTAGAGCGTCTGTGTTGTTAACCAACGGTTTTTTGCCATTGCTATTAGAGTTCGTGTTGTTGTTTGATTGAGGCTGATGTGCAGCTGTTGTGGGCTCCTCATTCTCACTTTTTGCCAACCGTACTAACGTCGACTCCTTACTTTTGGACACTTGCTTGGAGGTACTGGGCGTGGCTGCATCCTGACCACGCAAATTGTATTTTCGGGCCGTGCTCACTGCAAAGAGAAAACATTTCGTTGGCCAATCAAAATAATAATATAAATAAAAAATGTAAGAAAAAACCAAAACTAGTTAACAGCATTGCATTGTGGCCTAAACCAAACGGTAAATAAGTTTGTATATTAATTATTATTAAAGTAATCAATTAAGCAATAAACACACAGGCATACATACATATGTACACACGCAGAGAGTAATTACAGTTGGTAAAAAAAATAAAAATAATTATACAAATAAGAAAAGAAATGAATTTTCCATCTGCGAGTTTCTTTCTTCGTTTTATTTACATATAATATAAATTTCAAAATAGAAATTGGCATTAACGAGAACTTGGCTGAAAAATAAATCAGTTTCAACTTAAAAACAAAAACATATGGGACCAACCCATTACAAAATTTGCTTAACTTAATTCGAGATAATCAACATCTTCATTTTCCACTTTGATTTCAGTCACAAAGAAACACATCGGATCGAAGGCGCTCAAACGCCGACTTGATGTGCGGCTTGTTGCCGGCGACGTTGTTGTTGCTGCAATTGTTGCCAGTGTAGCTGCTCCTATTGTTGGTCTTGTTGTTGTTGTTGTTGCATGCTTTTGCTTTTGAATTTGCCTGTATTTGGATCTGCGCTCAGCGGCCAGCTTAGCTTCGTGCAGCTTCTTGTGGCGATTCAAGTGGGAGCGTCGCTTGAACCACTTAAGGCAGTGATCGCATTGGAACTGCTTAAAGTCCTGGCACTCCTCGCTCTGATGCAGCTTCAGGCGATTTATCGTGTGAAAGTAGCGTCCACATTGGCACAATAACTGATTCCTCGGGCCATATCGCACAAAACCTATGCAGCAATAGATGATACAAAAAAAAACAAAAACCAAAATGTGGCACCAATAAGTGACGGCAATGTTCAAATACAATATGTATGTAGCAGGAACATTACAAATATGTACAGTGTAATATGCCAGAGATGATAGTTTTGCTGGATGAATACACAAATTGGTTTGGATTAACAGTTTCGCTCTTTTATTATTGAGTATATGTGCTAAGGTGAAAGGCAAAAAGGTTTTGTTAAATGATTCTCTCTTTTCGTCTGGCGTCTATGACAAAAATACGTTTTTGGCTAAATATGAGAAGTTTTTAAAGACCTTTTTTTCAGTACATTAGCCAGATCTTAGCAACAATCAGCAGCGGCAGCGGTGCCTAAAAAAAAGAAATTCATATTAATAATAATCATACAAGAATATATAAACAAAATATAAATCAAAAATAATAATAGTTGTAAAAATATATATTAAAAAAAAAACAGCTTAAGATACACACAATTCACGTAAATTGTAAACATTTATTTGTTAATTATCATATACAATGTTAATGATGTAAGTTTTAAAAATTTAGTTGTAGTCTGACACAAATACTTGTTGTAGATTCATTTATGTTTTTAAAATTACTTACTATATTATGCGGTGTGTGTGAATTGAATACTTGTATTTTGTAGTTGTTCGTCAAACTGCACTTGAGCAACAATTAAAATAAACGCATATCGGACAATATGTTTAACGATAGTCGCATAAAACTGCTTCGACTAATATTATTATTTCATTAATTTCATTTTGTTTAGTTTAGTTTTGAGATCATATCTTTGGCTATATTACAAAACACTATACTGTTTGAAATAGTCAGAATGAAAAGTGTATAATATATGTATGTAAATGTACCTAATAGTAAAACAACAACAATTTCTAATGTATATATATATATATATATATATAGTATAACTGTAGTGAACTTTTTAAAATTAGGCAATCATGTTCTAGACAGACTTGCAGCTTACAAAGCTATAGAAAATTGTTACATAGGTGAAAATTAATATGGAGCTAAGTATAACTGTACCTGTAATTTTTCTTTATAGATTTTGTTTTGGTATCTTTTCATTTTCGCAGAATCTTCACGTGAGTGTAAAACTAAAATTAACTTGATTTTCAGACAACCTTCCCATTCTTCCCCAATTGCTCAGCTAGCCTAATTGCTTAGGAGCAGAGTATCGCCAGATTCAGAATGTTTCTGATTCATGTGTTTGCGCAAATCGGATTTGTATTTGCATTTGTGTGGACAATGCGGACACTTGAGCGTCGGCTCCACGCCGCATTCGTAGTTCTTGTGGCGCTTGAGCGAGCCTTTGATTTTATAGGTCTTGCCGCATACGTTGCATGCATATTTGGCATCATCGATGGCCAGCTCATTTGTGACCTGGTGCAGCGCCATAGTGGCAGAATGCACCCCACTCAGTCCATTCACATATAGTTTATCGGTCTGCTGCGATGAGTCGGCAACGCAGGGCAACTTATCCACATACTCATCATCGTCGTTCAATAGCTCATCATGCTGATCGCTTTGGATGACAGCCACTTCCAGTTCGCGCTCCGTCTCGTCAGCATCGGTTAGTAACAGTTCGGATTCGTGAGCGGTTACCATTGTGGTGGTGACCACCTCGCTGCCTGTGCTGGGCGCCATCGAGATGCTGGTGGCGCCATATTGCATCACATCGCGCAGCAGCATTTTATCCTCTAGCCGTGATGTGTCTATTTTAATGTACTCCTGGCGCGTTTGAGTCTGGGTTGGCTGCTGCACCTGCTGATGTTGCACATCGAGGCACTGCTGCAGCGACAATTGTTGGCGCTGTTGTTGCTGCTGCTTTACAATTTGTATGGTGGTTGCCTGTGGCTTGTGCAAAGTGGTGGTATTTGTATTCGTAGTGGCATTCTTGGTCAGAGCGGGTATCGTATACTGTATGTTGCCAACGGGATTGCCCAGATCATCGGGCGGCAGCTCCACAACAACTGTGGCACCGGACAACAAGTTGCTGGCATTGCCCGATCCCATGGACTGTGCGGTGCTCATTGTTTGATTCTGGCTCGTTGCACTGGCTATGGAGTACGGCACCGTCTCCAGTATGGTCCAGTAGCCATCTGTAAATAGAGCAAGAGTTGCGAATAATCCATTAGAACATCGACTATTATTGTAATATTGAAGTTAGGATATTCATAAATAATTACTTGTAGCAGTAACATAACAAATGTATCAGCTTATCATCCAATTGCTTTTGTTCTTCTATTTGGGTGTGTGTTTTGTGTTCCAGAAAACAACTTACATAAATTTAAAACAAAAATGCTAAAAAAATATAAAACAACTGAAATAATAAACGTAACAATAAGTAAATGTATATAAAATGCAACTGAAACTGATTTTCTAAACTGGGCATATAGATTGTATTATTATAAGTATGCTTTATTCTTAGTTCCTTGCATTTACAAATATATAATAAGTATAATTAGGTATATAAAAAATGTATACAGCTTTTGCTCTTCTTTGTTTTACAATTAATTAACTACAATGGAGCAGCTTATAAATTGTTTGTTTAAAACACCTACAAATACATACTGAACTTTAATGTGTCTCGATTATATGTGTCTGTATGTATATATAACTGAGGAATATTGGTAGTGGCAATTAATGGCGCTTTAAGTCTTTGCTTGCTTCACAATATTTATGTTACAAATTGTTATTTTAGTTTATTTTTTTTTTTGGAACTGACGCTGGCAAGATTATTTGAGAAACAGCTACAGAGTTAAGGAGTTTCAGAACACCAAACCCACCACAGACATTAACATTAAGTGTTTTACTTCATTTTTGGATATATAAATAATGTGGCCTTGGACCTTGTTTATAACTTAACCTAAAGGATAGGCACACGTTCAACAAAACTTATGAAATTACTAAAAAATCAAAATTAAATAAGAAAAAAAATAAAAATAAAAATATACGGAATGCGCTCGGAGATAGTTGAGTTAAGATATAGATAGTTAAGTTCACAAATGACATTTAAAAAGGACTTAAAAATTTATAATTACAGTTCGATTTAAATTTTGCCAGATCAACAAAAAAGTTGCTTTATTAAAATACGTCTTATCGAGGAGAGAATTCTAGTTCTAAAAATGGAACTAAATATGATACAAATTGCACCTAATGAAACGATATTTTTAGACATTTTTCAGAGTTAGAAATTATAGTAATTACTGATTAGAATTCTCTTCTGTGATAAATAGAAGTTGTATGTAATATGTCAGTAGAAGAACATTCTTCTAAATCAATAAGTAATTGAACAAATGTTTAGATAGAAATTGAAAGTATTAAAAAAAAATTGGGCTTTTAATTGTGTCACATGTGAACTTATTCTAGCAAAATTCAATTTTTTAAAGTTTCTTTCCTTTTTTTTTTTTTTTTTTCATTTTGTTAAGTATTTTGTGCGATGTGCGCAGGAATGTGACATGATTGAGTTCGCCACAACAACTGGCTAAGATAATCGGTATTTATAAGTGTGTTTATGTATATGGTATATATACGTTGGTTTAAGTTGATGTGAATATTCTATAGAAAAAGCTATGAATTCGCTGCTGCTGCTGCTGCTGCTACTGTTGATGCGGCAGGCACACACACATTTGGAGGTAGTTGTAGCTAGCACTGCAACAGACCTCATCTGAGAGGGACCTGAACAGTACAAACTGATGTGTATTCATTTGGTAAACATTTCAAATTACGCCTCACAGAATCGCTATAAACGCAAACAAGCACGGACATATAGACAGGAAGCGAGAGACAGACAGACGGAGAGAGGGAAGGGGCTTAGCCATCCTCATCGTAGTCATCATCATCCTCGTCGCTCTCCTGCTGCATGGGCACCGCGGTGATGGTCAGATCACGACTAGCGAAATCGAAATTGATCTCGCATAGAGCGGCAGCCACATCGCTATCCATGCCGCCGACATCGGCATCCTCGGCATCGTGATCGTTATCGTTATCACCATCGTTATCATTATCATGCTCATTATCATCGTTGCTCAAATCATCCTCGTTACGTATCAAGTAGAGACACTCCTCATCGTTGCGCAGACGCTCATAGAGCATGCAATGCTTGCGCTTTGCATGTCGCAGCACATGATCCTTGCGGCGCGAACGATACTCACAGGACACGCACTTGTATTTCTTCTGCTTCAGGCAGTATTTGCGCACATGCTCCTGCAGTTTCTGGTGCGACTTGTAATAACGATTGCAATGCTTGCACTGCATAAACGAATCTCGTGATAAGTTGTGCGTTGTGCTGCTGCTGCCGGCTATTGCATTGGTGGTGGTGGTGCTGCTGCTGTTGTTGTTATTGTTGTTGCTGTTGTTGGTGGTGGTATTGTTGTTGTTGTTGATGAAGCCGTAGTAGTCGCCGATGGCGGTGTCATGACTGCTGCCGGCATTCGCATTGGTCGATGTGTCCACTCCCAGCAGACTACCCAATATGGGATAGATGTCTGCGTTCGAGGTGCGATGAAAAACAAGAACAAAACATAACAATAAACAAATTAATCAATTAAGGCGTAACAAAAAAAATTCAACGAATATACTAATCAGAAAAAAATATCACAAAAATTGAAAAAAAATAATGTAAACTTAAACAGATTTAAACAAAATTTAGAATCGAAATAAATACGTATAAATAAAATATAGAGTGATGAGGTACTTAGTGTTATGTCAACTACCCGCTAGATACAAGTGTTGCATTGTTGTTGTTATGGGTTTTTGGTTTTTAGCAGTATGACCCAGGCGTTGATGAGCGTTCTGAATGATGATGATCATGATGCATGTAGCTGACAATAAGAAGCACAAAATTCCAGTGTATATATATGCACACTTAGCCCGTAGCTTTGAATACAGAAAAGCGTCAATAAGAATATTGTTTTTTACATAGTATGTACTATATATATATATATATATATATATATATATATATAGGAAGCGGGTACATAAATAACAGAAACAATAACAATTTCCAATAGTTACTCAATGGGGGTGTGTTTGCTGTGGTATGGTGCATTCAATAAACTACAACAATACAGCAATAAATACATAGGTTTATCAATATATTTAGTACTATCTTTCATTTCATTTTATCATTTCTTTTGTTTCTTCTCAAAATACAATACAAGAATTTATGCATTATGCTGCTCAAACGCAAGCTTCTCACATTATAGCCAAATAGATGTTACGCTTCCAGTATGTGTAAGATTCCATTTCGAGGCAGCATCTAAAAAAAGAAAAACTTATGTTAGTTTTGTTTTTTTTACTTCGTTCTTAATATGATAAGTTGTTGCTGCAAATTTGAAGATTTATGTTACATGTGTGTGAGGCAAAGACAAAGGCTTGTATTTTTTCTTTTTTTTTCTTTTTTTAATATATATTTTTAAATTTAGTTTTTTCCTGTTTTTACTTATAACAATTAAATCGTTTACTCGTTTTACATTTTCACATTGTTTTTTTTTAATAATTTTATATACCTTTCTTTTATTATATATAATAATAAAATTGTTTCACAAAAGTTGTTTAAGGCGTTTTTCGGCTCTATTCACATACATATACAATTGGTATATATATATATATATATATATATATTTATTTATTTATTTATTTGTTACTAATCGTTTGTTTTGTTTTTTTTTTTTTTGCAATTGTACATTTTAATGATTTAAGCACACTTTTTTTCTAACGACTGGCATTTTGAATGTCATTTGTCATTAGATAGTTAAATTAAATTTGTTTCTTTAAAACTTTATTTTAAACTACTCGTACATTCGTCAATACATGTAAAAAGCCAAATTTGCAAATATCTTTGAAATTGTAACAATATTTTGTTTGGGGTTCTATTCATTGTTGTAAATTTTGTTATAGCGCAAACTAAGCTATTTATTTTTTTTATTATTAAATAGAAATAGTATGTTTCACATATTGTATCTATGGTTTGTTATTTTCTATTTTTTTTTTTAATAGTGTTTTTTTTTTCAGGCAAATAACTCTTGAGTTTTGATTGTATGTGTGTGTGTGTGTTTAGCGTGCGTGAACAGCAATTAACAGTTATATTTTAAAATTTACAATCACATATGCATACATATGTACGTATATGTATATATGTATTTGTGTGTGGATAACTTAAGCTAATTTTATGTTGTTGTTGCATGTATGTAAACCCCATTTGACGTGTTTCTATTCTTGTAAATATGCTACTAAATGATTTGTATTAGTTTATAGAGAAAAAATATAAACAAGGAAAAAAGTAAATTATTGGATAGCTAAATACAAACAACTTAATAGTTTTTGTGTAAGAGTGTGGTGTGTGTGTTCTGTAATTTTGTTGGTTTTTTGTTTTTTTGTTTTTTTTTTCTATTTTGTAAAGAAAAGCATATTCAATGTTATCCAAAACCTATTGCCCCGCTTGCCTATGCCGTTCAATTCAATTCACATAACATTCTTGTTTTGTTTTTTTCTCTTAACAATCACAATTGATCACATCGATTTTGCTTCATTTTTATGCATGTATGTATCTATATGTATATATATATATACATATATAGTTGATATATATACATATATATACAATTTTAATAGTTATATATAATTTTACATTCACAGCTCCTTGTTTACAACGTTTTGTGTGTGGTGTGGTGAGGTGTATAAGTATGTGTGTCTGTGTGTGTGTGTGTTTAGTAGTAGTACTAGTATTAGTGTTATGCACTATTTATAAACTCCTTGCTACATTTGTATGTGATTAGTGTTAATTACATAGATACATTCAATTCGTTTAAGGCTTACCAAAGAAGAGAAAAGGATACATTTGTTAGCATAATAATAGGTGGTTAGTACAATTTCTCAAAAAATATGTTTGATGTTTTGTTGTTGCTATTGTTGATGTGTTTGTTTGTTTGTTTGTTTGTTTGCTTGTTGTGTTGACATGTTATTTATATAATTGTATATTTATACAAATATAACTGATCAACACAACAAATGGCTGCTGTGTTCATACACATTTTGGGTGATTATCTAAAATGTTCGTTTTTTGAATTCTTGCACCGTGCAAAAACCGTTCATTTGTTAATAAACTAGTTGTGTATATAGAGGCAAAGGCGCAACTTAAATTTAATTCCGAAAATACATAGCTGTATGTATGTATGTGTGTGTGTTTTAGTTGTATGTGT